GTATAGTATGATATGATATGATATGATATATTCAACTTTCTACATAAATAAATAAATCTATACAACAAGGCTGAATATTCCGCACCATATGCATATGGGAGTTAGATGACCAAGGCAGATTAGAGATCTAGATTTCGCCCTCCATCTAATCTACCTAGTAATTATTGCAAGTGGATAGAATATCTACCCTCCCAATAGCTACCTAGCATTCAATATCAATCAATCAATCATTTTCTTTTCTTTTCTTTTCTTTTCAAATTATTCCTTAAGTTACCTAGGTAAGTATGGAAGGAACTCATTTTCCCTAATCCCTGTTTGTAAGCAAGTTAGTTCTAGTGTTCCCATGATGGAGTACTGGTCTACTGGTCAAAAGGGCGTTTAGATTTTTAGATGGAAATCTCTCGATTTACCTAGTGCCGTTACAGTAGGTATTCAAAGTACATACTCCAATCGTGTAGCTGAATTTTTGAGGGTGGAATACTAGGTACCTAGGTAGTTGTTCTTCAGTCTTAGATTGAATTAGCGTGTATGTATCTATGCCATTCGTCCTCCTAAAGAGTATTAGTTAGAGGGGAGTTTGAGAAGATGAAATGATATAAAGGTGAGGTTCTTGTCGTTTAATGTGAGATACCATCATGTTATTCATCCTGTTCTGTTGAAGTCGTATAACTACCTAGTTTAAGTTCTTCGACTATTTCTACGTACTTTCGTTACATATCATAATCTATCTCTTTCTGGGTACTCTGTACTCTGTTCTATATAGCACTAGCTGTGTCTGTATCATGGCATCTCCTTCCATCAAGAATGTGCATTTCGTGGGTAGCATCTGTCTCCCTGACACATCCACCATATTCCGCAGACTCGGTACCACATTTCCCACGCAATTAAAGCGAATTCCCGACGGCGAGCCGGGTAATCGAGGGAACTTTGTCCTCTGGCAACGAAGTGTTTTCTACAGATACCCTTACCTAGTTCGCTCTCTATATTTCTCTCTAGCAAAGGATCCAGGACCAATCCCTATATCCCCGGAGAAAATTCAACTTATGCCTATCGGATATGACGATGCAGCCATCGATTCATATGCTACATTCTGTAGACTTCGATATGATGGTATTATACCCATGGGAGTGAAGTTTCAGGTTTCGCTTCCTACACCGATTAATGTTCTGCATGTATCGATCGAGCCTGCTTTTCAAGAAGCGCTTGAACCGGTCTATACAAAGGCTTTTTTGAAAGCTGTTCGTCATATTCAAGAAGAGATTCCTGCAGAAGATTTAGCTATTCAGTGGGATGTTGCTGTGGAGTTTGCATTTCTGGAAGGAATCGTATCACCTCCACAACCATGTAAGTATGATTGATTGCTCATTCCATGTTTCTAGCTCAGCTTCATAACTTCCAGCTGGGCTCAAGTTAGAGAACCAATCCTCCTATTTCAACCCTACTAGACAAAGTACTAACTCGATGTTTTCAGTGGGATCATGGCCTAGAAAGACAGTATCGTCAATCGTGTTCTTCAATTAGCAGACGCTATAAATCCATCCCGTTGAACTGGGCTTCCATTTCTGCTACGGTGATCTTGGACATCAACACTTCACGCAACCGAAAGACATGAGCCTATTAGTCGATATTGCGAATCGAATCTTGAGCGGTACAAGAAAGAGAAGATCTGTGAATTGGGTTCACATGCCTGTACCCAAGGATCGTCTTGATCGCGAGTATTTTGAACCATTGAGAGTTTTGCAAAAGAATGATACAGAGTTGTATTTGGGACTTTTGCATCAAGATGACCTAGACGGAACGAAAATCAGAATTAGAAGGGCGAGTGAATTTGTGGAAGACTTTGGTATTGCGACAGAGTGTGGTCTAGGTCGTGCGGATGCGGCAGAATTGGAGAGTATTTTGGAGATTGCAAAGGAGATTACAGAAGAATAAGATGGTGTTAAATGTGATGAATATATAAAGGTCAGTGAAGGATGATTGTTTTAATGTATAACATTTTCGTCTTGTATATAAATATTATTATTATTATTATTATTATTATTATTATTATTATTATTATTATTATTATTATTATTATTATTATTATTATTATTATTATTATTATTATTATTATTATTATTATTACAAATAGCAGGCTTGACTTCAAACACTACTTGTTTGTAAGTTTTCAACAGCTGAGTGTATGTTTAGTTTAGTACTTGTATACCAAACAGATCAAAGTCTGAGTTTCTTTATGAGATATGGATCGAAGAAGGTTGAAAGACTGCTTGTTTGGTGGTGTATACATCAAGTAAATGAATATGTTGCATTCACCAGCAGATAAACCCAAGTTTTGCTGTGGTAAATACATTTACCTATGATTGATTATGTTTTTGTTAGTGTGTGTTCTATTGAATTCCGTTTTTGGTGAGATACGGAGTACAACTCGTGCAAATGTCGTGAAAGTGATACCCCTGTCAATAGAGGGGTTAGTGAAATTCAAGCTCACCCGAAATACCAAAAACCCCACTATGAAGGAGGAATGTTCAGCTCCCCTTCCCCGATCCTCCGAATCAATCCAAATTGAAAGCTCCAGCTACTTTCAGTCCCTCCATATTCAAAATGACAACCCACGAACAAAAAGAATCTACCTCTTCCCGCTCCGTCCTCGATCCCACCACTAGTACCCAAGAAAAGTCCTCCAAAGACACTGCACCCCTCCGCGCCCTCGATCACCAATCCGAACGCGAAACATCTCAAAATGAAAAGCCGGCAACTATTCACATCGGCACACGCAAATCTGCGCTCGCCATGGTGCAAACCGAGCAAGTGAAAGCTGCGCTCGAAAAAGCTCATCCAAATTTAAACTTCGAAATCACCAAATTGGAAACTATGGGCGACAAGAATCAAGTAACTGCTCTGCATGATTTCGGCGCAAAGAGTTTATGGACGCATGAACTTGAGGCTTTGTTATTGGAAAGGAATTTGGATATTGTGGTTCACTGTCTCAAAGATATGCCTACGCAATTACCCCAAAAATGTACAATTGGCGCGATTCTCGAGAGAGAAGATCCTAGGGATGCGTTGATCATGAAGGCGGGAAGTAATTACAAGACCTTGTCGGAGCTACCAGCTGGAAGTGTAGTAGGAACAAGTAGTGTGAGAAGAAGCGCACAGATAGCGATGAAGTATCCCGAGTTGAAGTTTGAGAATGCGAGGGGTAATATTGGGACTAGGTTGAATAAGCTGGATGCGGACGATGGAAAATATTCATGTTTGATTTTAGCAGCGGCGGGTTTGTTGAGAATGGGTTGGGGAGAGAGGATTACGCAGTATTTGGATAGTAAGACAGAAGGAGGCGGCATGTTGCATGCAGTGGGACAGGGTGCATTGGCTTTGGAGGTTAGAGATGGCGATGAAGAAATAAACACAATGGTTTCGGCGTTGCAACATGAGCCGACTCAATTAGCAGGGTTGGCGGAAAGAAGTCTGATGAGGACTTTAGAGGGCGGCTGCAGTGTACCGATCGGGGTTGAGACAACCTGGATTGAAAAGGGGAAGCTGCTGATGAAGGCTATCGTGGTTAGTCTTGACGGTACGGAGAGTGTGGAATCCGAGAGATTGGAGGAAATTTTAACACCCAAGGATGCCGACGAGTTTGGATGGACTATCGCTCAAGATTTGGTTAGCAAAGGTGCTGCCAAGATACTGGAGGCCATTAACCTTAATCGACCCGTTATCAAAGAGGGTGGTAATGCGTGAATGATATCGGAAGAAGCTCCTTTTTTATGGACATATGGCTACACAAAACAAAATTTACATAGCTCAGCTGGCTGGACCACCAATAGCTTCTTCAAATATTTCAGGAGACTAAAGGCTGCATACATATATGGATGTAGCTAATCCAATATCATTCCACTTCAACCCCCATGTTTGTTGAATAAACTCCACTCCCAAATACCCATTCATCAATGTTGAGTTGAATTTTCCATCTATGTCCCATCCATCCGTGCAATCATGCCCTCATCTCATGTCATATACCAGCTCATAAATCACTCACTATTCTTCAGTAGTAAATGCCTTATAAGCACTCTCATCCATCAAACCCTCCAAATCCTTGATGCCCTGTTCCCCAACCTCGACCCGGGCAACCCAGCCTCCTGCACTTGTTTCATCCTCGGGACCCTTATTGATAGTGCTTGGGCTTTCCTCCAACATCGCGTTTGCCTGCACAATCTTGCAAGTAATAGGGCTGTTAATATCGGATGCGCTCTTGACAGACTCTACCGCGCCAATGGCATCCCCAGCGCCGACCTCCATGGGGACTGTTGGAAGCTCGACGAAAACGACATCACCAAGAGCATGTGCGGCATAATCACTAATACCAATTGTGCCAGTCTGTTGTCGGGAAGAAATGAGAACCCATTCGTGGTCTTTGCTGTAAAACTTGCTAAAAGCTGTTGAAGAAAGAGGATGTTAGTAGGTATTAGTGGGCATTGAGATAGTATTGGGCAGGATTGATTTTCCGCTGAATCTGACCCATGATTAAATACAAAATGTACATGTGCCAAAGTCTTCCAGTTTCGTTGAAAAAGAAATTGCACAACTTCTTTAGTCTGCGAATGAATTCTACAAAATAAAGGCCCCGGCATCGGATCACTTTTGATAAGAAAGATGAACTCACCAGTTCTAGAAGATGAGAAAGCTCGAACAGCTCCAAAAGAAGAAGATCGCCATGACGGAACAGTCTTAAATGCGCTGGATGTAAATTTTGAGGCGCATGGCCTTAAAGTCCTTGCGATTGATGCCATTATGGTATATGTAAAGGGCGTTGAGGGGTAGAAATTTGGGGTACAAGTTGAGCTTTAGTCAAGGAATGGTTCAATGGATTAGAGAGAGGTGTGAAATAATAAAAATAAGGTTTGTTTATATGGATACATGTAATTTTAACCAATCAGGCAAGGATAATCATAAAATATACCATAGTAAAGCCGTCGAATGCAGGGCGCTTTCAAACGGTCACTGTGAGCTACCAAGTTGATATTGTCGAATGAAAATCCTCCATCTGAGTAGAACAAACAGAAAAACAGAAAGATAGAAAATTAGAAAAATAGAAAAATAAACATAAAAACTCTACTCTATTCAGTATAAATCTCTTGATTTGATAAAACCAAAAACTCACGCGCGTAATGGTCGATACTTATGCTTTCAACCTTCCTAATAATCATATCCTACATACATAAAAGAATAGAACTTCATTTTTCTCTCACATCAACCAACGATTCCCAATAGATTCGCGCAGGAAAACGCGTTGGAATAGTGCCAATAGTCGGAGAGTTAAGCAGTTATAGCAGCTATAGTGTCTTTTCTCGTTCTGGTTCGCATGCCCCTATGCCCCAAGCGCCGAGCCACCGTCTGACATTTTGCTGCCTTGCATCAGATTACGAAAAGGAAAACCCCCTGGATATTTCTCCGAATAACTTCAATTCCATCCAAACAAATCCTATACAAATCATTCAGTGGATCTTAGTCATTCATTTCTTGACTTTATCATCGTTTACATCTCACGCTACTTATAGATACCTGGACAATTTTCAAAATACCAAAATAACTTACACTACAATTCAAGTGTGGATGATCTACCACCACATCCCAGTGTTGATCTCCTCCTTTCAGCCGCCAATTCGATATCTCACCCTTTTTAAAGAACCATAACCTTACACATTCCTCTCTATAATTACCCATAAATCCGACAATCTGGATCTGACGACTTTTCCAGTGAGCTCTCCCGCTCAATTTCACGACGCAGTAGACTCGATGGACGACGAAATCGCATATGAGAATCAGGGAGTCGACCCACCTCAGGACGATGCTATGGTTGGAATAGAGGAGAGAGCACATACGCCAACACATAACACGCGACACTCTGCATCTGCATCTGCAGATTTTCAAACCCCATCACAATATCCACAAGAATACCCTGCCTCACCTCCACAAGAAGATTCGACAAACGGTCGATATCCTACTCCTCCCACAGCCTTCCCTGCGTCACTGTCGCGTCCAGCTTCCGGTCTATCAGGAAATGGCAACTATGGAAATGCATATCAAGAACAAAATTCAAGGAGTTCAGGTGCGAGTACGGAACAACAGCAACAACAACAACGAGGCTCGAAGAATAGCGTCGTCATCAAAGTTGGCATGGTAGGGGATGCACAAATTGGGAAAACCTCCTTGATGGTCAAATATGTGGAAGGCAGTTGGGATGAAGATTATATTCAAACCTTGGGAGTCAATTTCATGGAAAAAACTATATCGATACGAAATACTGAGATCACATTTTCAATATGGGATTTGGGAGGACAGAGGGAGTTTGTGAATATGTTACCACTTGTTTGCAACGATGCAGTGGCTATATTATTCATGTTTGATTTGACGAGGAAGAGTACGTTGAATAGCATTAAGGAGTGTATAGACAGGGAGAGGCTTCATAAAACGGCGATTCATTCTGGTCGGCACTAAATACGATCATTTTGTGACTTCTGAGAGAGGATCAAGAGAGATCTCGATCAGTAGTTCAAAATGCTTGATTTTGATTCGCTTTGAGATGTGCTGACAGAAGTGATTTTAGGCTCGAAGATTCGCAAAAGCAATGCGCGCAAGTCTGATTTTTAGTAGTACAAGTCATAGCATCAATGTCCAGAAGGTAAGCCAGTCTATATATCATTACTACATAGCTATTCATGCTCCCGCACCATCTTACTTAATTACTCTACATCAACTAACAAACCCCTTCACTTCCAGATCTTCAAAATTGTCCTCTCAAAAGCCTTTGACCCTTAAATGCACAATCCCGGAAATCGAAAATGTCGGCGAACCTCTTCTCCTTTACCAGTCCGTTGGTTAGATTCCTTTGCTGCTAATCGGATATACCCTTCTTCTATGCCTCCAACAAGCACTCCACCAGCCATAACCCTCATACTCGCGATTATCGTTCTCTCTCTCCATTGTGACGTCACCAACTACAACCCACCAACAACCAACATCTAGCATCTAACACACCTCTGATTCGAGCCTAAAAATGCGAAAGGAATGCATAAATTCCGACGCAGGAAAAACCAAAGAAATCTTCACACCATACACACCACACCAGATTATTCCATAACCGAAATCTGGCATTATTTCACACATATCAACCAATGGGCATTCAGGCAAGGCAAGGCAAGGCGCGCGGGGGAAATTGGGAAAGGGAATAAATTCATTGTAATTTTATCTCTCTAACTTTCTACAAATCCATTTTTGTCTTCATCTTGACTCGGCACTGCATCACCGCGTCATTAAGTCTTATTAAGCTTTTTCAAAGGAAGGGAAAAGCATACCTCGTATCTATCTATTTATCAATCAATCAATCAACCAATCAATCATTGATTTTCACAAACACAAACACAAACACAGACACGGATAGGGGCAAATGGGAAGACAGGAAGGGAAGGTAAGGAAAGTGAAGGGAAGGAATGAAAGGGAGGCAAGAACCCCCAAAGTTCTTTTAAATGTAATAAAGAAAGAATTTTTTTTTTTTTAATGTACACTTTCATGGTTATGGTTATGGTTATGGTCATGGTAAATGAAATCCAGACTCCGGAGAGTACCTAGGTAATGAAGTAGTAAAGTAGCAAAGTAGCAAATCGAATACGGTTTGATAATACCTATTTAATATTCACTTATTACTCATATATATATATACATACTGAAGATTGTTCATTAGTAAGTTCAAGCAAGTAAAATCACAACGAAAAGGTTCTCTATAATAAATATATTCAATTCATCCTCTGCTCATCCTGAGGCTCATTCATCATCAAGTTTAACAACAAACCCATCTATTAGACTAAAAGTTATAAACCTTCACAAAAAAACTCCCCCTCATAAAGAATGTAATGGAATGGATATAATATACACCCCCCTCCCCCAGCCCAATAACAATAATCACAACTCCTACACCCCCAGCCCAATAATAAGATACCATACCATACCTGTCTCCAACCCCAAAATCCACCTTTAAGACAAAATTTCCTCCAACTCCAGTTCTTCTTCCATCGAAACCGGCTCCACGATTCCCAAACCCAAGCTCCTAACCCTACTCCGATTAACTTTTCTTCTACTGCCACCGACACCAGTGACTCTTATAAGCATGTCAGCGGCCCAGAGTTTCCACACGGTATTTTGTTCAAGTAGCCACTCACAAACCCTGTGTTTTTTTCGTATTGCCGAATCCAAAGTAACTAGCAAATGCACTTCCGGCAGAACTTTGTTCTGAGGGAATTCTTCTTTTATCTTTCTTATTGCTCAAAGAAGGTATGGATGGAGGGTAAGCGCCAGAAATGTGCAGAGGAGTGATGGGCGAAGGATAAGGTGCGGCGGGAGATGGAAATGGGACGGGAGGTGCAACGCTGGCTCGACTAGCTACGCTCATGGTTCCATCTCCGTCTATCTGGGTAACACTGATCATGGGGTTTTCTTGATCCAAGGAAAGGACTTGAGCGAGTGTAAATTGAGCATCGCTTTCGTGTGAAGCGAAATCGTTGAGTCTAGGTCTTCGAACCTCTTTTCCTGTAGCGGATTTCTCATTGAGCTCAGTGGCTTGATCATTAAAATGGCTAGCAATTTTCATGCTATACTTCTCATATTCTGTATCCCGACTGGCATTAGCTTCCATTTTGACTCTATCGGCTGGAGTAATGCATTCATCCAGAGTGTGGAGACAATCTTCGTAGTTTGTGTGAGCTGATTGATCATTTTCACTGGTGTTGACAAGGGTACCACGAGGAAGGCGATGAGAATCAGGTGATGCGCTTTGTGATCCACTACCCTCTTTTAGTATGATATCAGGACAGCTAGCAACTCTGTGCTGTTTCACCACGGAATTTCTGTTGCTCGAGGCATCAGAAATGACACAACTTGCTATACGATGCTGTCGAAGCGGACTGGAAGGGCTAGAGTCTGCCGCACAATCCTCTAACAAGTGTTGCTGTTCTTCTTCAAATACCGTCAACAAATGTCCTTGTTCTTTTGCCAACACTGAAGCTGTATTGCAGCCTGTGATATTGTGTTGTGGGAGTGGACTGGCGATTTTAGAATCGAACTCGCAATCATCAAGCAAATGTTCCTCGCATTCGGAAATAGCGCTAGAAGCGATGCAGCTTACTACCCGATGCTGACGTAGTTTCGGAGTTGTCGACCCGGATGAAATATAGCCATTCTCGTTGATATAATTTTGGCCACTGACATTGCCTCCGCAGCTTGCAACACGATGCTGCTTGATAGGGCTGGCGGCTCCAGAAAGTAGGCATCCATCTTCCATCAAATGACCCATCGCCGACGAGCTTTTTTGACCAATTGAAGAGTTTTCAGCTGTATAGCTTGCAAATATCTGCTGTTTAGTGGGAAGAGGCGTTGAAGATCCAGTCGTGAAGCTACAATCTCCTAATAGTTGAGGATCATTTTCCCAATATGGACTCTTGCTGCTACCAGACGGAATAGAAGCGTGGCAGCTAGATGTACGATGTTGTTTAACCGAAATAGGACTTGAATCACCAGATAGCGCAGAGCAACCTTCTAAGGAATGCTGCTCACGAGCAACATTAGGGCTGAGAGTCGTACAACTCGAAGCTCGACATCTCGATAGTGATCCATAGATAGGCGAGTCTGATTTAAGGGTGTTCTCGTCCAAGAGATGACCATATTGGGAATACTGAATAAGAGGAGTTGAAAGATCGGAATCCTCCATAATAGTCGCTGAAACTTCATTGTGCATAGCCGACGATGAAGAGCTTGATGGAGATGCGGTCTCGACAGTACATTGCAGCGAGCAATCTTTTGAAGTGGAACTTGCAGAGCTGCCGGTAACAGGAGTGCCAGACGTGGTAGGGCAACTAACTATTCGATGTTGTCCCGGTGATTTTGGTACACTAGCAGTCTCCTTAGGTATAACGGAACAGCTTGAAATTCGATGTTGTGCTGGTATATCTAATAACCATGCAGCATCCACCGATTCAGCAGCGCACCTATCGGTACGAGGCCTGTTGACAAGGTCCAAAGCCGGCGTTTCAACAGCAGCTTCTTGAGAGGTATGCTGCCGAATCGTGCTTGAACTGGAAGATCTGATAGACTGTGTAGCAACATTGTTCGAGCCTAGCTGGTTTAACTTTTCTTTGCTAAAGCGGGTGAGACAGCGCACGATGCCTTTTTCTTGCAATCGCCTCTCTTCCTCAGCATAATGATCCAAAACAATCTTAGTAGCAGAATAATCAGAGAAATCATGAACATAGGAGAGATGTCCTCTTGCTGGCATCCTCGAGAGTTTCTCGCAACCTTTCACTTTCAAATGATGCTCGTAGAGCGAAGGAATCGGCGAGTCTGTATCGAGACTCTTTTTTTCAGAACCTACTCGGGTTTTCTGTTGTGAAGATGTAGCACCGTCAACCTTCGCAACATTTGTGCCAGTGGTGCTAGAGTTGATAGCCCTCCTATATGACTCCATAAGCAGATGATCTTTTAATGCCTCCACCTCGCAATTATCACTGCGGTGGCCATTCGAAATCTGACAACCCGCATCCTCTGTACACGATACTGCTACAGCAGGAACCTCCTGAAGCTCAGAATCTGTGTAGCGCCTCTGTCCTTGCTTGAATATCCTGTCCTCTACCCCGGGATCTTCAGCTGAAGTCCTTCGTGGCAAGGCATATCTCATTGGTTGCGGCGCTTTGGGTTGAATTTGGGACATCTGTGGACCACCAAAATCTTTTGCTAGTCCTACATCGCCTTCTCTAGCACGAACCTCTCGATCATGTTGCATCATAGCGCATGGGCCACAAAAAGATGACTTCACGATATCATTGCCCATGGACCCTTGAATTCTGTATTGAGCACGAATCCGGGCACGCTGAATAACAGTAAGACCAACTATCCCCGCTGGTTAGCAAATATATTCTGCATTATGGTATCGATGTATACTTGCTTGACAGGCAACAAGCAACTGTTAGAGCACCATGAATCCAGCACATTGAGTTGCAACTATCGGAAGACTTAAATTCATGTGGGTCTCGACCCAGAGATACATTCTTCAGTCGCCAGTGAGTCTTTCCATATAGAACACAAGGAGCGAAAATTCCCGTGAAAGCAGTTTCGTGATCACCAACTGGGTTATGGCAAAACGGGACCATCCAATCGCTTTGTCCTTTATGTTCAGACTTGTTCCTGTTCAGCGGTAGCTCAGATCTTTGCGGTTGATCGAGAATGGCATAATGCAACTGAGGAGTGGATTTGGGCTGCTTGGTTTCGACCATAGCAGGAGCAGGAACCGTTGCAAGCGACTGCCGATGAATGGGAGTATTTGGGTCTAAATTATATTTCGTGACGGGTGGATTTTTGGCTAGCTTTCGCTTTTCGCGGCGAGCTGTCATGTTTGGCGGAATGATACCTATGAATGAGCCTGTTTATTTTGATTAGTGATAGATGTCAGTATCGTTGTAGAAGGGTAACTTACGATGCACCTGTTTTTAGTAATGATTGAATGCCAAATATAATAATTTGATGATAGTTGTGTAGAAATCAAAAAGTGAAGGGGGCAAATATATACATCAACAAGAACAGCGGGGCTCTGCCGCTCCTTCCATACTGTCTACCACTTACCAGATGTCACTTTCTGGATCTGATAGAAACCTAAAGAGGGATGAAGCATGCTGCTTTTAGATTTTGAACCTTAATCCTGCTTCTGAGGTGTGGGCATCACTCGAACGTAGAAAATTGACTTTTCAATGGCAATCATCGTGAATTTTCACATCATTGTAGTGAGTAACAACTCAGTATGCAACAGCTTTTTCATTATCAATTCATGCCTCCTATGCTTTTCCAACCAAACACAGCTGCAAAACGGTAGCTATTTGATAAACCAGTCGCCCAACTTTGAAATTGCGTTAACTCATTAAGGAAGTGCACAAATTGCGGAAGAAAAGGTAGAAATGAGAACTGTAATCCACGACAATTTCCACAAAAATCTACCATTGCGCTTTTGTGAAGAATTTTGATACATTATGTACAATTACGGCGAGGTACATGATACATTATTGTACCTGTATCGTGGCCATAGACTTGCAAATTTAAGAGTCGGATTCTTTCTTATCCTGGGGTCATCGTTAGCATAGCTCATTTCATTCGCAAGGAAAGGCTGTATCCTCGTGAGCATATAGCATTGAGGACGTGCAGCCCTTTCATATATTCTAAATTAAAAGTAAATTATACCTCGGAACGGGCTGGGTCGACAGTCCCCTTGAGTCTGGCAGTCTCGGGAGCACCTTCAAGCTTTTGGCTTTTGCTTGGGTTATTTGTGATATCGGTGGAGTGTTTAGTATCGGTATTTGAAAGACCTTCCTGCTTGCCAGATTGAGTGTTCTTGCCTCCGGGTTCCTTTGAAGCACGGGGCTTGAAACGGGATGTTAGCCTCGAACATTATCATTCAACACGGCTCAGCATACCTTGTCCTCCGGTTCATCCTCCTTTGGTGGTGAGTTGTCCTCGCCTTGCTTGATAGCCTGCTTGCTCTCTAACCGAGCCTTCTTATCACCCTTTGCGTCGGGAAATGACTTGCGAACGTTTTTATCTGTGTCTTCAACGCTCTCATCGTCAGAAGTAGCTGGCGTGTCTTGTTCCTTAGCGCCGTCATCGCTATCGGATTCATCGGTCTTTTCGGGCTCCTTGGACTCTTCTTTATCCTCAGTCTTCTCCTCAGCCTCGGCTGTCTTATCTTCTTCTTTCTCTTCGGGCTTCTCCTCTTCGTCGGATTTTTCTTCCTCTTTCTCATGCTCTTCAGCATGTGCGTGGCTGTCACCGTGTCCTCCGTGGCCGTGAGTGTTGTCTGGTTTGTTTGAGATCAAAAACCAACATGTTGGGACTGTGACAGCTACTGCTCCGGCAGCCCTAAAGTGTGATGTATGAGTTATGAGTTCCCTCAAGAATTTAGAATATAGCAAGGCAAAGTAACACTCACCAAACTGCATCACCACCTGCCTTGGCATGTTCATGACCTCCACTGGCATAGGTTCTTCTGGCGACTTGGTTGACCTGGGGGCGAGCTAGGGTTGGTCTACCTCGGAAGTTGCGCAAGTTGCGCAAGATAGCTGCTCGTGAGAATGCCATTATCGGAGGGGTAAGATTGTTAGAAGAAAAATGCAATCTAATGAACTTTGGTCAGTAAAAACTTAGCGAGGGAGGAGGGGTGAAAAAAGATAGAGCATACATTAATTGATATTCGGGAGTAAGGAAAGGAATGTATTTGTACTTGGGATGAGGTAATAGAATACAATTGAAGCAATTGAGTTGCCGAAAAAATCCTGGCAGTCGGGGAAAGATCATGCCAGCTGGGTCTAATTGGAGCTTTTTCTGGAGCTTGGTGGAGCTTTGATTACCTACCTACTATTATTGGGCGTCCTGAGGCAGCAATAGCTCATTGATGATGACGGGACGTACCGAGCGTACATTATCAGAGCTTAACCCCACTACTTAGAGGAACGGGCTTGGTGGGATATCCATCTACCGTACTCGAGTTATATCGATTGTCAAAACAATACACAAAAAGTATATCAACACTTTATTGACACCGTCCTTCTTTACCACATGATTTAAATCAACCTATCTGTCGCGGTAACAATATACCAAGAGTAAGTCAACATGTTACTCTCTTTCCCGACTTTATTCTTGCTCTGGATTTTATTGCTTCAATTCGAACAGTCAGTCTACGAAGCTAACTCAACCCTACCTTTCTTTCTTAAGGCTCCTCCTATCCACGCCGCATATAAACAAACAAATAAACAAACATCTACCAGTCTCCAGTAAATAAATGATAGTTTGAAACTGTCACAACATTATCCTTCTTCTCCCAGCTATTACCACCGGCTCTGCCAGTCCATAGTGACAATGGCTTCTAACTCGATAACAACAAATCCGACCTCACAAACCGTCGCATCTTTACTTCCAAAGCTTCATGATGCGGACCCTGATTATAGATTCATGTCACTGAATGATCTTTTCCAAGTCTTGACGATTGGAAAGGCGGATCTCCTTCACAATGACTATAGTACAGCTGCAAAGACGGTAGATGGCATTATCAGAACCCTGGATGATCAAAATGGGGAGGTACAAAATTTGGCCATTAAATGGTTAGTCTGCAAGTGGCCGTTGACATAAGTAGAACCTAGCTGACCTGAAATAGTCTTGGACCGCTCGTCACAAAGTTACCGAGCAACATAATTGCTCCGCTAATAGAGAGACTTTCGACATTGACAACTGAAAATTCCGTTGACAACTCAATACCTGCAATGGCTCTACGAACAGTGGTCATCACTCTCCCAAGGCCCGTCAGTGGTGTTGCGCCGTCCAAAGAAGTCCTCGAAGCATATTCGGCGATTAGCAGAGTTTTGATACCAAGACTAGTAGGTCGTATAGTCACTTCAACATCTACCAGGGGCCAAAATCTTCCCAATCCTCCACCAGGAATGCTCGACCCTTCCACAAACTCAGAAATCGACTCTGACGCTGTTGATGTTTTGATTGAAGTCGCAAGATGCTTCGGCCCTCTTCTACAACATGCAGAAGTTGAAGCACTTCAAAACTTGGTCGTCAATATCTTAGAAACCGAAAAGGCTAGTTCTGTTGTCAAAAAGCGGGCTGTAGTCGCTGTGTCTCTACTAGCTATGCACTTGACGGATTCCGACCTCAGTGGCTTTGTATCTCACATCATCGAGTCTCTTCGTAACCCACACTTGACCCCGGTACAAAGACGTCTGTACATTACCATTCTAGGATCAATGGCAAGATCAATACCCGCTAGGTTCGGTCCTTATTTGAAGACCCTTGCACCCTTTGTACTTTCTGCATTGAGCGAACAAGAACTACAGGATCAGCTTGAAAATGCCGCCGAGGATGGCGAAAGTAATCCTGAAATAGATGATGTGAGGGAATCTGCACTCGTTGCACTGGACGGCTTTCTGGCTTCTTGTGGTACGGAAATGCGAATTCACACAGAGGAAACAATTGCGGCAGCTCTTAGATTCTTAAAGTATGATCCGAATTATAACGACGATGATGACGAGGAAATGGGAGGAACTGAAGCCGATGAAGACGATATGGGTGATTTCGACGACGATGATGATTTTGAGGCAGACAATGGATTTGATGATGACGATGATGATGCAAGCTGGAAAGTTCGAAGATGTGCTGCAAAAACTCTCTACACATTGATCTCAACTAGAGGCAGTGGTGATCTACTTGAAGATGGAACTCTATATGCTCAAGTTGCTCCAACCCTTATTCAGAGGTTCAATGAACGTGAAGAGAATGTTCGACTTGAAGTTATTGCTACCATGGCATCTCTTATTGGGAGAACTGGGGAAGGCGTGGTAGTCGAATTTTCGCCGGATGAGTCGTTGGCTTATGCAAATCAAGCACCCCAGAGTCGAAAACGCAGAAGAGAGAGTGGTGGTTCGGCTACTTTTGATACTAAATCGTTCATCTCGAGATCTGCTGGTTTGACATCACCAACCATTGAGCCGATTCCTGTGTCAGGCCCACGTGCAGACCTGGCAAAATTGACTCCTATGATTGTAAAGGCTGTCGTGAGACTACTGAAGACAAGCCCCATTCCAACGAAGCAAGCTCTCATAAATCTCTTGGATAAGATGGTTTCGGTTCAGGTTGGGGGTCTTTCAGAACACTTCAGTCAGCTTGTGGATCCTATCTTGGATTGTTATAAGCCATCATCTGGACCATCATCTACTACCGCCACTAGTGGTGGTGCTGCATCAGCGACTGCAAATACTTTGCGAATTGCTGCTCTCAAATTATTAGGCGACATTTCACAAACCCATTCTTCAAGTGTGTTACAGCCTCACCTCCCCAAAATTATTCCATGCGTAGCGTCAGCTGTACATCATAAATTTTACAAGATATCTAGTGAGGCTATTGGTACAGCTGAGCAGCTTGTAAAGGCTTTGACCCCGCCACGTTCGAAGTCGATTAAACCAACCCAACAAGAGGATGTTCTGAAATTATACCAGGTGATAGTTGACCGTGTATCTGCTACTGATGCAGATGTCGAAGTCCGTCAACGTGCTATACATGCCCTAGGTATCATGCTTGCTCGTACAGCAAGTCCGGAAGGTTCATCGCTTCTCACAGAAACCAACCGAAGTGATGCTCTCAGTATACTCAGTGACAGACTAAAAAACGAAACTACTCGCCTTGCTGCTGTAAGAGCTATCGATACTATTGCGGTTGGTTCACTTGAGGTTAGTTCAGCCGCTAAAGACCAACTGCAGCCTTCGTGGATCCGAGATGTATCCCTAGAGCTTGCTGCACAACTCCGAAAGGCCAACAGATCTCTGCGTGGTGCGAGTCTTGGCGCCCTGAAGAATCTCATCGTATCTCCCGCCGCTAGAAGCTCCCTCGACGCTCCCACTATTCAAGGCCTTATCGATGCGCTTCTTCCACTCTTGACCACAGTTGATCTTCATCTTCTAGGCCCAGCACTACTAGTACTGGCTACTCTGGTCACGGATGATGCAAAGCTTGTTGTTACTGATCAGCTAAATTCTGCTCTGTGCGGGTTATTGACCTCAACTTTAGGTGGCGCTGTACTTGATGCCGTCCTTCTTTTGGTCGCTAATATCGGCAAACAGGGAGTTGGCCAATCTTTGATGTCTGGTTTGTTGAGGGATGTAAGTACTAGTGGAGACTCCACGGTTGTGGGAAAAGCCATCGGTACACTTTTGGTATTCGGAGGATCTTCAGTTGGTGTCACACTCGACAACTTCTTAAGCGAACTACAAAACTCTTCTTCGGATGAAGCGAAACAATGCCTAGCCCTGGCTGTACTCGGAGAAGCTGGATTACAATTGGGTGAAAAGTCTCCTTTAAAGCCATCGACCTTCACAGCTCGCTTTAGATCTTCTTATGACAAAGTTCCTCTTGCTGCAGCGACCGCATTGGGACGTGCTGGAGCTGGAAACATACCTTTGTATCTTCCAGAAATATTGAATATGATCAAGGATGGAAACGAATTCTTACTTCTACATTCAATCAAGGAGATACTTCAGCAAGCCGGCAGCAACCCCACTGCCATCACCAAGCATACTACTATTCTTTGGGAAAGATTGCTTGCTGCTTCCCAAGCTGAGGACAATAAAGCTGTTGGTGCAGAGTGTATTGGTCGTCTGACAATGATTGACCCCAAGGCATTCATGCCACAACTAAAGGTTCGTTGCGATGGAAGGTAATGAATTGCATCAGCTAATGATTTCACAGGGCTACCTCACAAGCCCATCTGCTTCGATCCGGGCTATGGTTATCCAAGCGATCCGTTATACTCTATCCGATAGTGATGACTCGCTCGACTCAGTATTGAAAGTTATGCTGATTGATATGCTCAAGGTCATGCTGACTGATACCGAGTTGGAGAACCGTCGATTGGCACTAACTACATTGAACGCTGCTGCTCACAATAAAGCAGATCTCATTAACCCAAACCTTAACCAGTTACTTCCTCTTGTTATGAGTGAATCGATTGTCAAGGAAGAGTTGATTCACGAGGTAATGATGGGACCATTTAAACATAAGGTTGATGATGGTCTAGAAGTCCGAAAGGTAAGACATATATTATAGCTTTAGTCGTACATTACTAATCTAGAATACAGAGTGCATACGAGACTTTATATGCTCTTATGGAGACGGCATTCTCACGTATGAATATTCTTGACTTTTATGATCGTATCATCGCGGGTTTGAAGGATGAGCACGATATTCGATCTCTTTGCAACCTCATGTTGAACAAGTTGGTTATCCTCGATCCTGATGAGACATCTCGACGCCTTGACGCAATTGCAGATTGCTTCCGCGTTACTCTATCGGTTAAATTAAAGGAGACAGCGGTCAAACAAGAAGTTGAGAAGCAAGATGAGGCAGTCAAGAGCACCCTCCGCTCAACACTAAACCTTCATGCTCGCATCCCATCAGCAAGCACAGGGATGGGGGCGCAAGGCAGCCAACACCAGACGTGGAGAACCTATTTTGAATGGGTAGAGAAGGATTTTGAAGGGCAGTTGAAGTCCTTGAGGGAAGAGAAGAAAGATACCATTGTTTAAGTGAAGTGAAAGGGATCTAAACTCAACTAATGATGCGATGATACCATTGATGAAAAAAACGAACATGATGAAGACAGCGAAGATTTTATACGAGCAATGTTATGTATTTGTTCCTACAATAGCAAAAACCATATATGCACAGTATGCAATACATACGAAGCGGACGATTGAAGCAGGGTGGTACTAGTAGATATCAGGGTTCTCTTGCAATGCAGGCAGACCTGTTTGTGGGCCAGATAGCTCGTAAGAATCAATTATTCATACAAATGATGTAATAAGTAAAGACTGGTGCACGCAAAACAAAATCACCAAGATCCAAGATCAAAATGAGAGGAGTTTTTATCTTTCATTTTCCGCTGCTAAGAAGCCACCCGCCCAACCAACTAGCTAGCTACTGCTGTAATCTACAAAGAAGGAAAAAATAAAAGGGGGTTATGAAATTTACAAAGTGTGATATCGATTGAATAGACGAACTAACTTTCATCGTTCAAATATACAAACAATAAATTTGGTGAATGGGAGATTCATTTCTTTGTCATCTTTCTTCCTTTCCCTTGCTTTCTTCCATTTCTTTCTTTTTCATCCTAGTTTTTCCATCCACAATTTATTTGATTGTCTTGCGTTTTTGTTGCTTTGCATTGTATTGTATTGCATTGCATGTCCTTTTTATTCATTGCGTAGCAATATAATTTGCAATATAATTTTCCTTTATCTTCCTGCCACGCCACCCATTTCATACACGTTACATATCATAGCATCCGATCCATTCTGGTGTTCTTTCTCTACTGTAGATAATGGAATTGATGAGATGATTTGATTTTGATATAATTTACTTGATAATTCTGGTAACCAATCCAGTGGCGACGGTTCTTCCTCCCTCACGGATGTTGAAACGTTGACCGACTTCCATGGCGCAGGGCTTCTCAATCTCGCATTGCATCTCGACGTTGTCACCTGGCATGACCATTTTGGAGTCGGCGTCTTCGGTTCCCTCGGGCCAGTGGAGGGCAGCGGCTTCGTCGGCGGTTCGGATGAAGATTTGTGGGCGGTAGTTTTGGTGGAACCCCGTGTGGCGTCCTCCTTCTTCCTTGGTGAGGACGTACATTGAGACGAGGAATTTGGTGTGTGCTTTGGTGGTTCCTGGGGCGGAAATGATCATTCCACGTCGGACATCTTCACGCTTGATACCACGGAGCAAAAGTCCGGAGTTGTCTCCTGCGCGGGATTCGTCGCAAGACTTCTTGAAAGTCTCGATATCAGTAACCTTTGTCTTGATAACTTGGTCTCCCTTTCCGACAATTTCGACTTCTGAATCCTTCTTGAGGATACCGCGCTCGACACGACCGGAGGCAACAGTTCCACGACCGGGAATAGAGAAAACATCTTCGACGGACATGAGGAAAGGCTTGTCGAGATCACGTTGTGGGGTTGGGATCCAGGTATCAACTGCATTCATCAATTCATCGATTTTCTCAGTTCCGAGTTCCGGTCTGCGGCCCTCGAGTGCGCAAAGGGCGGAACCAAGAATGATAGGTGTCTCCTCTCCCTCAAATCCATATGTGGTGAGGAGATCACGCATCTCCATCTCGACCAACTCCAACATCTCAGGGTCCTCAAGAGCATCGACCTTGTTGACGAAAACGACAATCTTTTGAACACCAACTTGACGGGCGAGTAAAAGATGCTCACGGGTTTGAGGCATTTGTCCATCGGAAGCAGCAACGACAATGACGGCTCCATCCATGTTTGCAGCTCCGGTAATCATGTTCTTAATGTAATCTGCGTGACCGGGACAATCAACGTGGGAGTAGTGGCGAGCTTCGGTAGCATATTCAATATGGGCAGTGGAGATGGTGATACCACGCTTTCGCTCTTCAGGAGCCTTGTCAATGGCACCGTACTCGAGGAAATTAGCCATTCCCTTCTCTGCTTGTCTCTTGGTAATGGCGGCCGTCAAAGTAGTCTATGCATTCATGACCCATTAGCATTTGTTGCCTCCGTGGGGTTATCGACATGGACAATAATATATATACCTTTCCATGATCGACGTGACCAATTGTACCTACAGAACATTAGCAAAGACCCAGCATCATAGCAAACAAAAAGCATACCAATATTAACATGCGGTTTCGAACGCTCGAAAGCGGTAGCATATGAACGAGCAGCATTGATCACAGCAGCTCCATTTTGTCTTCTCAAAGCATGCTGTAAGGGACTGACAGCATTACCTTGACGCAGCGCCGATCGTGCGGTCTGGAAGAAAGGAGTAACTGATCTCGCAAACGCCGGCATCTTGAATGTAAGATGGAGAGGAAAGAAAAGAAAATGACAGTTTGGAGTGGGTTCTGCAAATACTGGCAATATTTTGATTCCATCTCGAAATAATTTTTTGGGTCTTTTAGGTCACCGTAGTGGAGGGTATAATTGGTCTGTGCGGTGTTTATGTCGATGATGGGAAAGGGATTTTGGGTTTTGACTAACAAATCTTACCAACTTTACTATGAGAGTATAGAATATATATAAAACTGGCACCAGTTCGCAAGATGTTTTACCTTGATAGTATATATACTACTTCCTTCCTCGGTTCTTTCTTACATAGACGGCAACCATGAACTTCAACACACCTCCTCGCCTTGTAAATTCACACGAGACATTACGTCAAAGTTCCCCAAATATGAAATTCGAACTAGTTTCATCTAGGACATTGTTCATTCATGTCTTGCTTGCCTCGTTCATTAAGCCCTTCAAGTAGAAGAAAATTTGAATATTCAACGGTCTTTGGTTGATTCTATTCAGACAGGGAGATAAGTAGCTCCTTCAAATTCCCACGTGCACCTAGTATGTACATCCCAGCAAACTCCCGCTTAAGCCAATACATATCAATCTACGCTAAATCACAATACAATCTCGAATTTCTTGGATCCCCTCGCGCCCCAAATGTCAATTTGCGCGAAAGCATCACGGATGCTGCCCCATGCATCTATCCGTCCTATTTCTGCAGCATCTATCTCGTTTGATATCTGTGCACTTGGCTGATATTCATGCCATGGCCATTCATTAGTCGGACATATTTCCCAATCTCCATCAAGAAAATCCGTTCCTTTCCCCTTTAGTTTAGGAGGGTCGGGGACTTTCCCCTCACGGAAGTATGCCCTTATCTTCTCGATCGTGCATCTAGACTTCGCAGCTATAGTGCAATGTCCTTCGGATTGTTGCTCGAAGAACCCCGCGTCCACGAACTTTGTGGCCATCTTCACACCAGCGATTAGTGGTGTAACAGGGTCTGCGCTATTGCTTATATAAAGCAATGGAAATGCAGTCTTAATTGGCTTTTGCCTGTGTGATGGATGGTTATCCCATTGCATAGGGGGATCGATACTTTCGATGTTATATCCAGAACACTGGATCATTAATGACATCCATGCATCCGCAAATGTCGACTGGGCTTCTAGGTCTTTAAACATGCTTTCAATTTCAGGGAATGTATGATTAAGCTATAGTACATGTTAGAATGTCGATCGGAATATGTAATATGGTACGCTTACTGGGTACTTCTTGTCGCTGCAAAGAATGGCTCTTTGCGCGTCGTTAGGATAACTCCACCGTGGCTGAGCATGTTCGCAGACAGGTTTGAGATCGTATGACAGCGGGGTTGGAGTGAACTCGAACCAATCACCGAGGCTACGTTCCAGATTGTCAAGCAATTGAGCAACAGATGCAAACCCCTGTATTGGGGCGTATAGCGCCCCGAAAATGAGCAATTTAACATCTGAATAGGTCATAAGAAAAGGTGTTTGGGTATCCTTCAGAACAAGTGATATTGGATTCTCCTTCAGATTCTCAATAACAGACTTAAACCTCTCTTCAATATCGACTATCTGGTCGTTGACCCTGTAGAATTGGCATGCAGACTTCACCTCTTGGCAGTATTTAAAGAACGATGACCACACTTTATCGGCATCGCGTTGACTCTCTCGCCAAATAGGAGCAACATAATGATCGGCATCAACAACTCCATCCAGGACAAGCCGACCTACTCTATCTGGAAACATTGCTGCGAAGGTAGATCCAAGAAGTGTCTGGGAACATCAGCAATTATCACTCCGAGACCGAAGACACTTACCCCGTAGCTGAAGCCCCAATACAGTAACTTACTCTTTGTTTCTAGACCTGCTTCCTGGGAATTATCATAGGATTCTTTCTCATCAGAAGGATCAAGATCGGCAGAATCAAAGTCTAATGATTCTTCTATATTCGATGTCCATTCATCCCACGCATCTATAATGCTAATCATATCTCTTGCAACACTCGGTGTCCCCGCATGTCGGAAGATGCTATTATCTCCACTCAGAGAATCCTTTTCCGCGCATAACTTCGCAATAGTTTTTGCACGTGCATCAAGATACCGCAACGCCGTTGAACTCGAATTAGCCAGACCAATCCCTTGCCCTGTGGCGGCAAAAAGTGTTCTGTGGTAATCTCCCCGTGCCTGATCATCTCCTACTCCATTATATGTCCCACCATACGAGAAACAGTCAGCTCGTGGTGTCGTTGCTCCAACACCTCGAGGATCAAATCCAATCACATCTTGATCTTCTCCAACAATGCTCTGAATTGATCGTCCGGCTGTCAAACCAAATAGTGTACCAGAACCTCCGGGCCCACCGGGATTCAATAGTAACGGTGATTTGGAGAATTGCCTAGGTCCCGTATGGTTACCTGGTATCAGGATCAACGCAATATGTACTTTAGGATTATCATCAGATTCATTGAGCGGTCGATGATAGTCCATTGGAACAGTGAGCCTTGCACATTTGAATGATGATCCGGGGAAGTCAAAGCATGGATGCCAGTTGAGTTTTTCACTTGGCAATATCTATAAAATACGTCAACCAACCCAAATTCACTCAAAAAAAAGAGCAAACTCCAACCTCATCAAAGTCATAGTACTTGTCCCCATTCATATCAAGAGTCGGTCCTCTAGATCCCACTAGACCTGATATAACAGAGCATGTCCACCAGACGAAAAAAAGAGTAGCAACGGTAAGACCCGGCCAGGTGGAATAACTTCTAGCGACCCTAACATTCCTAACTCGTCTAAGACTTTTGGGGAGAAGACTTCGATTTTCCTCCCCCTTGGTCTCATTCATGTCGAACTCCTGCATTGTCTTTATTCTAAACCTATGTAACCTAACCTAGGTATTTATCGAAACGGAGCCAAACTCAACTACTGCACCAGTAAAATTCCGAATCTCGCACCCGATGTATAAAAAATCGCAAAAACTTCCACAAAAGACATATATAAGATATAAAATATAAGAATAATAAAGACTCAAACAGGAAGTTAAATAAATGAAAAAAAAATGCAATCCTAGTTATTTAATATCTAAACAATACAGGTTTCAGTCAAATAGATAGATAGATGTTCATGAGATAGATGGGTCCGTAAGCATAGAAGTAAGATCTTACTTACTCTGTACAGAGAGAGTATCATGAGGAATAACAAAGTTCGAGCACGTAATAGATCGGATGTGTATTATCCAATTATAATCCTGGGTTGGGTTTTGTGTGTTCTGTCAGCTGGTCTGAGGGTGCGTTTGATCTTCAGATTTTCTCTCTTCTGTTTTGTAGAAGGAATGAAGGTGGGGTTGAATGGGTGGATACGTGCGTGCGTTATGATGTTGACTTAAGGATTTGAGGCAGGTGATCTACGGTACGTACGATACTAATCAACTGCTATCAGCCATTTCATAATTCATACCAAAAACCATCAAAATGTATAATTTATATTTATAATTTTTCAATCAATAAATAAATTTTTATATAGATTTTTTAAAATTATTTTATTTATTTTTATATGAAATTTAATTAAAAAAAAGATTATTTATTTTGAAAAAGTTTGTTTTAATACAAAATTGTTACGAGGTTTGCCGTCTAGATCACGTGGAAGTGCTCTAGGCTCTCGAGGTGGTTTATAACTAGGCGTCAAGCAGGGACTTAAGTAATGACAATGATGATATGCAATTCATAACTAATAGTAGAGTATACTAAATGATTGGTCTTGGGCACGAGGCTCTACAGGAAGGAATTCATACTGAATATATAGATCCTCGTAATTCTTGGATCACTCAGGATCACTGATGATCCAGGGTGATCCAGCATACCTGTTCATATGCTCTGATGGTGCGTGTATATGAGTTTTTAGGGTGACCGAAATCTCATATTAAATTGAGCGAATCGTAACAGATTTACATATGGCCCAAGCTTACGAAAACAAGTCAGCTGTTACCATCGTAACAGGTTGTTCGTTTCTTTTTAATGATTGGATTTTGTACAGATTGACTAATGCTATTCTTTATTGGTAAACCTAGCTCTGATCTTCACCTATTCATCTCTTAAAATAATAGATGGATATGATCATTATCGAAGCAAATCTCGACCATCTAAATTTATAAGTTGAGAGCTTCACTGATAATTGGTTTCTGAAGCCTAACTTTACCGTTCTCAACTATTTCAAGATCACTGAATGATGTCTTGCACTTATATTTCGAGTCATCAAAAGTTATCAATTTCCATCTTATTTCTTGATCCTGTGTCGGGGAGAACAGGAAGAAGGTAGAGGATGGACTGATCTTTCTGTGTATAGAGAGGCTGGGAGAGAAAAATTGTGTCCGGAAATGGGATGATTTCTCTATTACTTTGTAGTATATTTGTTGAGGAACTGTGCAGAACTTATGGGTATATAAGCACAATAGATCTTGATGAACCCCATGGGCTTATCGAGCTTTGGCTCATACAAAGATCCACCTCCCATACTAGAGTTCGCCTTCTATATCATGTGTCGTTGTGGTTGCTATGCTCGTTATGATTTTTCCTCGGGAAATGAGTTCAGATGCATCCTTTTCGTTGGCATTATCACTGCAGTTCGAAACAACTTTAGTCCAAAATGAGGCTGGGACAGTCTCAACCCTCATAGATACGTTCAACATCTTTAACCCAGGGGATAGTATCAAAAACTATTCTTTGACCGAAATGGAGTGAGCAGACCAAGACTGTCAAGATGACCTCATTTTAGATGTATTCTCTCCTATAAAAAAATAACCAGCCTCAGCAATGAATATGTACTGGCGACCAGACAAACAATTGATACAAGCAACATATTCGTGCAATATAGTAAAGAGAAACATGAACCGTGAACATGACCGATGGATAGAAAATCCAGGAAGCACAGTTTAACGATGGACTGAGGTTCGCGACCTGGACTAGGTGACACTAGGATGAACGTAAATATAGTCCCAAAGATAAATGCGGAATCGTTATCTAGTAACACAAACCCCTGAATTGATATATATGGGTTTTGAATATCAGCATTTCAAATGCGAGACTTACAGAAAGTATGCGCGTAGGATTTTGAGTCCCATACTTCTCTTGAGAATACCGACTAAATTTGTGGTCGTAGTCAATCGGAAATGATTCAGTCCTAGGGCAAGAACACGTCTGCGCCGACAATGCAGGGCGCTCCTGCACATAACCAACGAGCAGTCCCACCATACCAAACCAGTTGTATAACGAACTGCCGGACAGAATCATAGTTGTTCCCGCGACGATAGACATATATCTGCAGTATGTGGTGCTTGTCGAATAACATTGTGTGATATCCGTTACATAGATTCCGAAATGATAGATGTATGGGAAAAGCAATGCCTTGAAAGCTCTACTATGATGTAGATCAATGGAGTTTAGTGCTACTCTTGCTCAGTAGTCCAACCAATGATCTAATTTTCGCTTTCCGAATTTAGCATGCATAAGGTTTCCAGGAACAAACGCCGGACATCCAATCACTGATTGCATCACCAAACGATTTATCCCTGTATTAGGCTCATCCTTCAACCATGACCATGGGAATATGCATAATCAAGATAGGTGTGGAACATTCGGAAGACCCATAGCTCTCTCTAACTATGGTGTCGTGATGCTCAAAATCTCGTGGTTACCAACTTGTGATTGTTATCTGAGCCCTATACACTCTTTCTTTCTCTGTTTGCGCTGTTGTGCCTTCAAAGGACCAACCCCAATCTAAAATAACGTCGCAATGATGGAAGTCGGTGAGGTACGGCCTACTGCGGAGTATCAAGTTATGGTAGCTATCTAGTGACCACAAAGACACCAGCTCTAGATTCTCCCTCTTTTGCCTAATAAACGATGACTTTGGCTCTGTAACTTACATAAGAATCATCTTTTTCTGTCCTGCCAAATATGATATGGAATCTGCCATGTGCAAAGATATATTTCATACAGCTGCAGAGCATTCACTTGCTCAAATGTGAAGTACCCGCGGACATCCTCCGTGCCTGTAATTCTATGCACATCCGTCAAGCTACGACAGCAGGAGATCTAGAAGCGATAAAAGTAGAATCTCATCCCCAAGAGGGACATAGCAGATGTTGTTCGGATGTTGTCAGTTCATCCTCGTGAGACCCATGCTCTCCGGGGCTGACACTATACTCTCTTGAGACTAGCTCCTGTTTAGCGCACAATCCTATGTTCACTCCAACAGTGTTCTATTCACGCAATTCAAATGATATATTATGAATTTATCATCAATTCACATAAGGGAAGTAATCTTTGACTGTGTCAACTGTATATGTGAAAAGCTCACTTGATGTCTGCTATATCGGTGAACTTTGCGCTCGTCATTATGATACAACGCTTGGAAGACTACGCCTCTACTTCGTAACCAATTTTCATAGATAAAAAGCAAAGTTCAGGTACACTGCCCAACTCAATTAGTTGCACATAAATGTACCTGTCCTAGCCTGCTTTCCGTGTCTCTACAATCCAGATCATCAATTTATCTGTGAGAACACCAGCAATCTTCGGCATTTCGTCTGGTGGTCCTACTACGATGTCTCGTTACTTCGCGAATTCTCCACAACTCTTTACTCATCGTGGTATGGTAGGTTCGTTTGTCAAACGTAGTCTACCAATAGATTTATTTGCTCTATGTTATTTCCCCAAGAAGTCCCGGCCTTTCCGATATCTCGGACGAAAAAGGCACAATATCCTTACGGATGCACGATTTCGGAAGATATTTTGCTAGAAAGAACGTGTTCCCACGACTTTCTCTATACACTATCATGGCCAGCATATGAACAAATGCCTCAGGTCAAACACTCATCATGTCCTAATCCAAAGTATATCCACGCATGATTCGCTATGCTTCATTCAAATTTGCAAAAGTTTGCATTTTCCTAGCACGTATGTCACAATGCTTGACCATAAGTTTGGGTATATCATAGTTTCTGTGCAGTCGGCCGCACACACTAGTGAACCGCCGGGGTTAGATACCCTTATATATGGTTCAAGCTATCCTAAAGATCAGAATCGATACATGCAACGATAGAGCTAGGTACTTACACTTTCAACACACCAAGTTGGTACCAACACATAGCAAAACTTACAGAGAGGGTTAATACCTAAAATGCCTCCTTCAGCTGTTATCGATGAACCTACGCTCAATTCAACCATCATCGGCCAGACCAAGTTCGCTCCTTCTACTTCACGTCTACTAAAGTCAGAAGAAGCAGAATTCCCTTCTGTTGAGTACTACGATCAACTCGCAAAAGTCTATGAGAATGCCTTCTCTCACGATGTCGGTCTAGAGGAATTCATTCAACACGTGCTTCTAGAACTACCCAAAAATGCAAAAGTTCTTGATGTCGGTTGCGGGACTGGAAAGCCTGTCTCATATACCATGGCAGCCTATGGTCACAATGTTCATGGTTTTGACCTATCCAGCGCTATGGTTGATTTATCCGTCAAGCGTGTTCCCACAGGCTCATTCGAACAAGCAAACATGTTGGAATATACTCCTCGATTTCGAAACAACACGCCTGACATTGATGTCATTTTCACCATCTTCTCACTTTTTTGCTTGTCACGCAAAGAGATGACTACAATGGCCTCAAAGATGTTCAATTGGTTGAAACCAAATGGAATCCTATGTATCGGTACGATCTGCGCCGAAGACTTCAAAACAACACCTTCGATGTATGATGCGGATGGATTGTGCGCCACAAATGTCGAAATGATGTTCATGGGATCTAGATGTTCTTCCATGACAGCTTTCACTAAACAGGGTTGGAAAAATGTGATTGAAACAGCTGGATTTGAGATAATTCACACGAAGAGTAATTTATTCGTACCAAGACCATCTCCAGGCGTAGCTACGGATAATGAGATGCACTATTTTATCATGGCGAGGAAGATTTAAGAGGATAGTTCTTCTGGTTTAGTTTAGAGTTTGGAATTATCATTAATTGAGCTTGCAATTAGTATCCCTGTCTCTTTATTTCTTGGAGAATAAAAAAAAGAGCTGTCAATCATTTTGATTCTATTAATAAGTTCAAGTGTCTAATCTATATTGTATCAATCTAAATGTGAGAGCCATCAACATTCCCCTCATTCTAATCATCAAACCCAAACCCACACCCTTCATTCCATTCCATTCCTCACTCACCACTACTACACTACCCTCCCTCAACCTCCTCATCAGAATTTCATTCCTCTTAACCCTCATTACTACAGCGTCTTTCTCTGTTGATAATAGCTTCCTCGCTGCTGTAACAGCAATCGATACAGACTACACTGAAAGTATTTATTATTAGAAGATCATTAATATGTGTAAAACGTTCTGTATATTTGAATTAATTAATCACTAGGTAAGTCGATATTTATTTACCTTACTATAACGGAATACTCTCACCACCATTACACCCCCATCAAAGAAAGCCACTCACTCACTCACCCATCGCCCATCCCCTCAAAACAACCAAAAGCACAAACCCCACCATAACTCCACCAAAACTCTAAATCTCTAGCCTCAATCCTCAATTTCATGTCTATTTTAATATCTTTTTTGTTAAGGTAAATGGTTTCTGCGTAGCACGTGCACAAGGCACTAGTCCTATTAGGACTAGATTGAGAAGCTCTCTGTAGAAGAGCTTCGCACTTCTGTAGAATAGAGACAATGTGTGATTCATATAAAAGCCCAATATAGCCTCAGTTCTGCCCTGTCAGCTTCCCACTATTCCCTGTGTAAGGTCATATCTTTTGTAATACTCACTTTAATACTTACTTTAATACTTATACTCAAGTAATAAATATTAATATTATAAATACATGAGTAATATAAATATTTTTTTTGACTATTAATCAAACAAAAGATTTAGTTTCTAATACGAAGACTAATCAATCTTCTATTCTCAGTAATCACATCCAGGAAACACAAGCCGGTGAATGACAATTCAATAATTCTCAAAGACACTAATACCAAACCAAACCAAACGAAACTAAAATAAAGAACCCCCAAAAGCACATCACAATTCCAAATTCCCAATCCCCCAGTACCCCAGTACCCCGCACCCTAAAGACCATACTTATCTAACATCTTCCCCAAATCCACCTCCCAATTTCCCACCCCTGACTCCTCTCCTTACCCAAAGTATCCTCACCAAACGCAAAATTAGGCTGATCATGATACTCATTCTCGACGACTACAAATTTCAACTCTCTTCCCCACGTCTCCGTCTCTATTTCCTGTAACTTCTTCGCAAAAGCTTTTACATCGTCAATGAAGACTTCGTTTTCGCCGGCTATGATTAGCATGGAGGATACGACTGTGGGGAGACGTGTCCACCATGATGTAGATGCGTAGAGTGGTTCCATGTAGTTATCTGATGGAATGGTAGATTGGTATGCGCCGGACCACTAGTATTTTAAGAAGTTGTGTCAGATTGGATAGAAAATGTTGGATCAAGTGGGAAGTAGTTGACGGTGAAGGTAATGGGTATAGAGGGTGGAAGGGTTGAGAAGGGACTTACCATTTTGAGAGCAAATGGATGAAGTAGATCTTTATATTTATTCGCCTCGTATGATTTAGAGCGCGTGGCAAATGTAACCCACGGTGCTAATAATACAGCTCCATCAAGTGGTTCTGCGAGACGGACTCGAGGTATGCTTTCATCAGGATGACCATGCATGATGTGAGATAGGAGGGCAAGGACGAGATTCGCGCCTGCAGAATCACCGGCCAGAATTATGGAGGATGGGGGATAGCTATGAAGTTGAAGGTATATGGTCAGCTTGTGGAATTATGATAATGAAATCATTTGAAAGGTGCAGAGTTGGGCTTACTTTAAAGTATGAATAACATAATTCAGCAAAGCAGCAGCTTGTTGCAATTGTCGAGGATAAGTCGCGCTTGGGGCAAGATCTATGCATGATCAATATTAACACGCAAATAATAACCGATATCTAGAAAGAAAGGAGAATAACATACCATAAGACAGGAACAAGGCCGCCAAACTCTTCCCTTCTTTCTCAGCACCATCCACAATCTTAAAGACATACTCGACCATTTCGGAAGTTGCAGGAAGTACATATCCACCTCCTAGTAACCAAAATTAGTTTCGAGTTTTCCATCTAGCACAACGAGAGAACTCTGGACAAACCATGAAAGTTGAGAAGTATTTTCTTTGCATCCTTTTTGCCTATCCAATGAGCCTGTGTTCCATCTTCTAAAGTCTCACTCATAGGTTTTACACCCCGCTGCTTGCAAACACTTTCATATGCATGATCTGTGTTTGGATTCATGTATCTGTTTCTTATTAGCATGTGATTATAATTTCCTAGCCCCGTCGTTCCTATGGAACCTTCCCCTCAAAATAAATGGAAGATAATTGAACAACCAGACATGGAATTCTTTCCCCTCAAACCTCAACCAAGGCAAGGCAAAAACAACCCAAACCAAAAAAACTCACAAAATCTGTCTCGGACTCAACCTCCTACACATAGTCCTCACCGCCGTATGAAGAACATATCTCTTATAACTTCCCTTTCCCTCATTTCTCGTGCGCCAGATACCCGTCAGAAGACTTAGGAACGTATTTCCTACTAATATATCTCTAATTAGTCCCAATTTATCACTCAAGCTAATTAAAGGGAAGGATGTAAGTTATAAAAGAAAGATAACGAACGGGGTTTACATACAAACACTCGTACAAACAAGAATGACATCCAATTTCTCGCCCAGAGACAACGTATTGATTAATTTCTTCTGCGAAAGATTTGAAGAGGACATTTTTTGGGAATTGAGCTTTCTTTTTTTTTCTCTTTCTTGTTGAGCTCCTATTGACAAAGTAATCGTCAAGATAAAAAACAAAACAAAACAAAACACAAATTCAAAACAGAACAGAACAGAACAGAGAATTTATCCAAGGAAGGTTCGCACAGCTAGCTCCTCACTCTTCTCTGATCTTCCCTTCCTTCTCAGGTTCCCCGCATCCATCCAGCTGTGCATGTGTAACGCCACACAGCATCGCACTTCCCCGAATAGTAAAATATTAATAGGTTCTAAAAGTAACTAGCTGGGTAGTTTATATAATATATGAAATATTCCCGAGTGATATTGTTTGAATTATCAGAGAAAGAGATGAGAAAAATAGTATTTTGAAAGATCTCTTTTTTAGAGATTAATTTTGGAAATACCTCAAGTAAATATAATAATGTGACGGAAATCCCTGCTTTCCTCCCACCCTTATTATATAAGAAACCTCAGGTACATTAACCATGTCCACACATGATACGATTACTCGAGATTAGTATGCGATTTAGGTAACCTGAGGATCAGATCTTGACAAGTACTAGGTATCAATGGTCATCGGTAAAGTAAGATCATTGGAGGAATAAATATGACTTCTTTTTGCCTAGCCATTGCGGCTAGGCCATTCATTTGTGTATATATAGAGTAGCTATCCCCATCTACAGGTGCTCTTCACCTGTAGATTCTAAGTTAAATACAATTGCTGGTCTATAAACACCCTTTTGGTCACAAATAAATATATTTTTATTTTAAAAAGAAAAAATGATAAGATTAAAAAATTTATATATAATATTATTATAATTTCAATACAAAAATTATAATTTTATTAGATTTTTGATTACATATTCAGAATTGAAAGAATTCTAATAATCCGATTGATTAACAAGACTCCATCAACTAGTTAAACAATGGGTTCCCATTTTGACATTCGGCATTCTAGGGTATGCAGTAGTAGATTACACAAAGGTCTCAGCTGAAATCGCACCACACCAAATTATTAACCAATAGAAAATGATGGGAAGATTGATTATATCCTAGGTAGTCTACTCGAGTACTAGATATATAGAAAAGCTTCAAATTTGGGTATCATTGTTCTATTTTACTCAACTCAACTTTTTCATGCCTCTCTTTCGTTTTCCACCAACTTCTCTTCCTTCCTCAATTTCTAGCATAGCTTCGCGTTTCTTTTCTCCCACTAACTTCAATGATTCCCTAATCACTCTCGTTTCCAGATTAACGCCTTCTTCTGTCCATGCTTCCATTTGTCTTCCAACTCTCTTCTCAATGGCTAGAATTAATTGTACATCTCTTTGACCTACGAATGTAACAGCTTCTCCTTTCCTGCCAGCTCTAGCTGTACGACCAACTCGGTGAATATAGTCATCTGGATCTCTAGGAACATCATAATTGATTACAAGTCCGACCTCTGGAATATCGAGACCACGAGCTGCCACATCAGTCGCAACTAGGATTCTGGCAGCAGAGGCACGGAATCTACCTAAATTATCAATTCTTTGTCGTTGTGGGAGCTTAGAATGAAGAGCCGTAACTCGATGCTCAAGAAGTCGCAATAGATGGGTGAGGTAGTCGGCGGTAGCGGTTCGATTGCAAAAAATCACGATAGATTTCGGTAAATTCTTTTCAGTAAGCAGAAACATGTGCAGATAGTGCTCTCGATGTGTTACCGGTACCTGAAGATGCATTTGATTAAGGGAAGAAGGAATTGCCAAAGCCTGGGTATCCACTTCACAAACAAAAACTGGAGGCTTTCCTAGGGTGCGAGGCATGTCCTTCAAAGCTCGTACTTCTGGGGTGACTGTAGCTGTGAATAATAGGGTCTGGCGCTCACTAGGAGGAGGGAGGAGAGAAAGGCATTCTTCAACATCTGGAAGCATACTTCCTACACTACCAGATGCAAGCAATCGATCCGCTTCATCAAGAACCACCATGCGCACTCGACGTAAAGCACAAACTGTATCTTCGCCCGAGGTTCGAATGTGATCTGCCAATCTGCCAGGGGTTGCGATAACAACATGTGGTCGCTGTGCAAGGGCCGTTGCTTGAGGTCGCATATCGGAGCCTCCGGTTATCAGAACAGCCTTGAGAGATTGAGGGGATGAGATGGCTTTGAATTGCTCGTAAATTTGTAATGCCAATTCCCTGAGAAAGTGATGTCAGCCAGATGATACCCCTTCATTACGGCAAAGTCTTACCTCGTGGGTGTAAGCACTAAAGCAAAGATCCCGAAGGGATCTTCAGCCCATTTCTGTAGAATTGGAACTGCAAATGCCACTGTTTTTCCAGAACCCGTGCGACTACCTCCTATACAGTCTCTTCCCTTCAATATCTCCGGTATGCAACCCTTTTGAATACCTGTAGGCCGCTTGATAGCCATGGCCCCCAATGACGCCACCAACCATGGCTTCACATCCAAGGCAGCAAACGTTGTTTGCGCATCCGTGGGAGCCAATACTGCGCCATTGTTGAAATTTTTCGGTTCGAGAAGATTGTTTTGCGATTTTGCTTTTACCCGGGAGGGAACAGAAGTAGTAGCAATCAAAGGGATATCTCCATCTTCTAGCACCTGGGATGTCTTTCGCCGTTTCCGCGAAGCCTGACTGTCTAACGAATCTGAATCGGATTGCGAAATATCATCCTGGACATCTTGTTCGTCATCGGATGAGGAATTGTGATTTGATTGTGGGGATGATGAGCCGGGCGCTTCAATGGAAACTTGCTCAACAGTCTCAGACCCTTGTATTGATTTTTTGGAGTGCATTTTTGGTAGTCTATCTCGTTGTATGTGTTTTTGAAAAATTCGTAGGAAATTAATTTTTTTTCTGTACCTTACTTCATGGCCTCGCTGAATACCATTTGCTGACTGTACGATTATTATCTGCACATTCGCGCGCGCTTAAAGATAGAAAAAAGCTTAGCTCTGCTCATCGCCTTTTTCTGGAGCAAGCTAAGAGGTAAAATGGATAATGCAGCCAATAAGAGCATCGGGTTGGAGTTTTACAAGGATATGGGGCTTCAAGGTCTTGATTTAACTACCAATTACCATTTACTAGCTGTGAATTTTTTATCGTATGGAAATAGAATAATCGATCTTGCATGCGAAATTCAATGTTATGATGGTTTGTGTAGATATCTATTTAAGGTATTCTTTAAAGACATGTTTTAGTGAGCTAATAGGACAAGAAAGAAACAGAAAGTCAATATCTCCTTTTGGTTACACTTTTATTAAATTCTATCTCGTGCCCCAGCTACCGAGTGTGATTCTCGGTGAATAGAAGCTACCGATATGGGGAAGGGGATTTCAGGAACCGGCAGCTTGGGCGGCTTACTATGAGGCAGCTCTAACAGAATATCAGCAGCCTATGAATTAATTAAGATGACACGTCGTATCTACTACATGGGAAAGGTCCAAGAAATCATCATGTAATCTTACAACTAGTTATTCGGAGAACGATTATTCGAGAATCAATCACCCACGATGATCATATGGGATACTGTACTGTGTATATACTAGGCAGAGTTGACAGGTAGAGTAGAACAGAACTAGTACTCCTTTTACGAATATACGAAGCGACTTGCCTTCCATTGCGTTGCCGGTACCGGTACTGATAACACTAGACGTTGATTCAACATGAAAAAAAAAGACTTTCGAGAATCCAACTCTCCCTGTATGACTGCATTTTTCTGACCACCCTCAATTTACCTCTCCACGTTCATGCCTTTATTACTGTACTCTATTCTTACACCCCCTTATAATCTTCACCACTTATGGCATTACACGGAGGATACCGAGTAGAGTTTGGCTGAAAAGAAGGTATCGTTACGAAGAGAAATAAGATATATGGCTGAATATTAATTGTCCAATTCGCCATGAAACACCGAAGCATTTAGAAGTAAGCAAGCACGCAAGCAAACAAGCAAGCATCTCTACAAAGGAAGAAACGACACCGGCGACGACGATAGCTTTCAATTGTTTTCCTAACCGAATAACCTATCCGATCTGCTTTTCCTATGCTTCAAAGGGACAGTTAGCCAAGATGATGTTGTTGTGTTGTTTCCATAGAAATTTATAATTAGTTTTGGCGCCGCATACTAGGTATGCTACCCGTTGAACCGTCAAACGAAAAATAGATCAGTCCCTTGGACTTCTCGATTCTAGTTCATCCCCGTTTTGATTGACAGCCAATCCTTGGGATGCTGTAAAAAGATTCATGTTACATTCTATCCCCAACTGATTACATTGTGCAGTAGTATCGGTGCGTGACCGATGCAAAGAATGAATAGATAGATGAATGGATATTCAGTAAGAAATGCACGAGTAACGACATTTTAAGGTTCTTTGATCCTCTTTTTAAAATAGAACTAATCGGGCGGTTGCCAGTTGGTCAATGGGAAGGTGGTTTATTTGGATGGATTAGATGAATGGATATATTTGATACTTGTTGAATTTCCATTGTACTCGCTTTACTAGATGTTGTATCTACTCAATTCCTCTCAGTCTATCCTCACTCTCAATCTTACTCTCACTCCAACTTTCTCGCTACTCACTCTCACTTGCCCCTTCATCTTCGCTCTTCTCACAACACTTTCAACTCCATCTACAACACTCTCTCCTCTTCCACTTACCAATCACCAATGAGTATCAACTACCTATATTTGTCCAGTCCATATATACATCCAACTGTCCCTACATGGATTACACATAAACTCTATTGCCCCGGCCCCATTTTAGCTAATGATATGGTCGTACGCGCATCCGCATCGACCCCAAATTTCACTCCCTTGCAGCTTGGACTTGTAGGGTTATAAGGTTTTTGTACGAGCAGGGCAGGCTTAGTCGGACTTTTCCATCCAATCCTTTTCCGTTTTAGGAATCGATTCTTTTTCCTCTTGAACATTCTTCATCACCACAAAATTCAGCAAAAACTACCAGCCATAATTTTAATTCATTCACTAGCTCACTAACCAACATTGTTTGTGTTTGTGTTTGTGTGCAGCAGGCAGTACAATACGATACAATACAATATAACACACTTTCAATTTCAATTTCAATTTCAATTTTTGTTATTGTAATTATTATTACTATAGATTCTTCTCTATTTACCTACCTAGTATTCAAATACTTTTACATACATACATTCATCTATTCAGTTCAAAACATTCTTCTCGATCATTTCCAAAAATATTATTAGAATCAATAATCAAAATACCTTTCCCCTCTTTCACGGATTTTCCTCCTCTCCCCCCCCCCAACAACCCTCAATTTATTTTATCGACCCACACTTCCTACCGATAAGCTTTGAAACGGAAACGAGTCTCGGTTTAAATACCCGCAGATTATCTCGAACACCAACCAAGTACTCAATGTGAAAGTCCAACAATTTGCCTTCCCAACCTTACGAGAATTATCACGAAAATCCTTTTGCATACCTAACAGATCATTCTTTACCATTCAAACCTCTCGAGAAATCGGCATCAATCACAAGACGGACCTCCGATCCATCTTGACCATATAATAGACAGCCTCTCCTCGTTTGCAGCAACGGTCTCTTGCAGCGGTGGACTGCATGCCGACGCAAGATCAGTACAATCCATAAAGAACACCGGCAACGGTGTAACCCGAGATTCGGAACTTAGGAAGACGGCAACGAGTCCAAATCCTGCCGTATCCGCTTCATTCGTACACCACGATCATTCGACTACTCCTCTAAGCGTAATATGAGTAGACAATACGAGGATAACACTGCTGATTCAAAGTCCTCAAGTAATCTCTCTCTCAACTCGTTACCAAAAATGTCTTCCCCAGCACCATTATTACGTCCTCCCATTCCCGGTAGTCGACAAAATGGCGGCGCAAGGACACCTAGGTTGGGTTTGGCTATACCACCTTCTCTAAACATTAAGCCTGTCAATGCTCCCGCAACAAAAGGCCTTACACTACAAATGCCTGGCTCCATGCCTGCACGACCTTCACTGCCTCGATTACAATTAGCCACACCGATGGGAAGTAATGCTACGCCATATGAACAATCTGGAAGGAATCCAACTGCTCCAGGGCAGTCTGCAAGTGGAGGGAGTGAAAGTAGTGCGGCACATTCGAGATCAGGGAGCTTTGGACCAATGGATGGGAAGGGAAGTGGTCCAACATCTGCAGGCTCACAATACTCTGCATTCTCATTAGCATCGCAATATGGATTGAGCAAACCGCAAGGAACACCAGATCCCTCGTCAGCCGTCGGGTCGTTATACTCGGAAAGGAGTGAAGGAGGTGTTGGTATGGAAAGGGATGGCAGCATGAATGGCCTTGAGGCATTCGATAAACTGAGTTTAGAAAAAGGACGAACACTAGATGTTGAAGACTTAGATGATGATGGATGGCGGATAGCAAGTATGGAGAAGAGGATCGAGGAGCTTGGGAGTTTGGGAGAGGGAGCAGGAGGTGCAGTAACTAGGTGTATGCTGAAAGGTGGAAAGACTGTCTTTGCTCTGAAGGTAATTTTATTCGTCTCACAATATCTTCTACGCTGCTTACTGATACTCTTAGATCATTACCACAAATCCCGATCCCGATGTGAAAAAACAGATCGTCCGTGAATTAGGTTTCAACAAAGGTTGTGATAACGAGCACATCTGTCGCTACTATGGGGCTTTCGTCGAACCCTCAACGGCTACCATTTCCATTGCCATGGAGTTTTGTGAAGGTGGTTCTCTCGACTCAATATATCGTGAAGTAAAGAAACTTGGTGGCCGTACTGGTGAAAAGGTTCTCGGAAAGATTGCTGAAGGTGTCCTGAACGGTCTGACCTATCTCCATGGAAAGAAGATTATTCACCGAGATATCAAACCCTCCAATATTCTCCTCTGTCGCGATGGCCAGGTAAAACTATGTGATTTCGGTGTCAGTGGTGAGTTCGGTACCAAGGGCGACGCAAACACCTTTATCGGAACATCTTACTACATGGCGCCTGAACGTATTACTGGTCAATCGTACACTATCACTTCCGACGTATGGTCTACTGGTGTCACCCTTTTGGAGGTAGCTCAACATCGCTTCCCATTCCCAGCAGATGGATCAGAAATGCAGCCTCGAGCTGGATTGATTGATCTCCTAACATACATTGTTCGACAACCTATTCCAAAATTGAAGGATGAACCGGATGCTGGTATCAAATGGAGTGACAGTTTCAAGTACTTCATCGAGTGCTGGTATGTCATTCCTTTTTTTTTTCAAGACCTAACTCATGCTAACTTTATAATCACAGTCTCGAAAAAGATCCTACTCGTCGCGCCTCTCCTTGGCGAATGTTGGAGCACCCATGGATGGTCGAAATGCGTGGCAAACGTGTGAATATGGCACACTTCTTAGCCACGGTATGGGGCTGGTAATCCACCTCGGCGAACGATTCTACGCAGCATCATCATCATCATCATCATGATAAACCAATTGAATTCACTGGATGGAATAGCAAGCAAAGAGTAGACTCAGTCTCCTTGACGATAGGAGGAAACGAAAGCAACCTTCGATGATATATTAGATCTAACGATATTGAACCCCAACGATATGATACGATACGATTACGGCAAAGCTATGAAATTTTCCCAGGCAAGCGCAAAAGATATAAAGATCAAACCACAACCACTAGTCCTCAAATCTATCATCAAACATCTATCTCGTACATTTTTCTTCCGTACCGACCACATTACCTCACCTCACCTTACCAATCTACCATCATCTGCATTTACCGGCGTTGCCATGTTTCTTTGTTCCTCTTCTCTTCCCCTTCCTCTCGAATTGGGTACGGCGAAACGGCTTCTTTTCTTGGGTATAGGAGAAATGGTTTTTTTTAGGGTTTTGTTAGGGCATTAAGAGCGAGCGAGCAAGCACAACTGAAAGCGAGAGCTAGAGCGAGCGGTTGAAGGGGAGGAAAATGCGAATGCGAATGCGAATGAGTAGCGCTGTAAAGGCTTCTTGTTCTGATTGTACTACTTACATATCCTTAGCTATCTCTATCTACCTACCTAAATCTAAAGTTCACGTTCACGTGGTATCTCGTGCTTGCATCATCTGGACATTGAGCAGAGCAGAACAGACAACTAGGTGATCAAGCAATAATTAGATTTATCGAAATCTCAACGGGTGCATAGGTGACGCGCTGGATCAAACAGTATAGCCACATAGTGTTCTTTTTTTTTTTTTTTTACCTTTTTTTGATTTTTGAAAAATGATCATTCCCTAAGCTGCTCTTGTTTCTAACTCGCCAGCTAAACTTGTGTGATATATCATGAAAGCACAGGCTCGCTTTGTAATGCCCATATTCCGTCTTCTAGTCATCAACTACCTATCACCCTAGTCAATTCATACTTATACTTCATCAAAACCCTGCCGTCGCCCCAGATTTATCAGGCTCCCGGAGGTGAGAGAGCGGTGACGAGTTGGGAATATTTCCAGGATGATGTTCCTCGAAGGAAGTCATCATTTCAGAGATACGACCCAGCTCGAATCTATCCAAATAGGTTAGCGTATATAAGGTAGAAGGCCGTTTCTTTCTCAAGACAACCTTTTCCATCCCGCTTGGTTCTTCAATTCATTGCCTCGGGCCATCTGGTCATATTTTATATCCGTCATTTCCTGCCTGGTGCCGTCCATGAGAAGATCGCCTGCTCGGGGTGAGCGTGGCTTGCGTGCTGTTACAATGTGCAGAGTGAGGTAGTAATTGCCGCTCTCGATCTCTTCAATTTCAACAGGTAATAACCTCTCGCGAAGCTAAAATTTCAATCAGCAGCGAAAAGTCAAGGTTTCTAAGAAAGTGGTACCTGTGGTATATCATTCTCCAGCCCAATCTGGTATAGAATAAAGTCTTTCAATCGCTGCCCAGGAATTGTGGTACCACATACAGGTAATCGATGAACAATCTCTTTCACATCCCAGAACCTATATAATATTAGCTTGCCCACACGATACACATCAATAAGCTCACCCCGCCCCTTCTAGCCAAGACTTTAGCTTAATCGCAGGAATTCCACCTCGTGGACGAAGTATCGCCTTATGACGTTCTATGACTCTTTCCATCCAGCCTGGCACAGTCTTTGCAAGTTCTCCATCGTGATTTGGTCGCTTGAGTCGATCAGCGATATTGTCGGTCCAGTCAGTCTGAGCTTCACTCTGATGATAATCTCCACGTCTAATAGAAGTGTGACCTGCCAATTTGGACCTCGGCCTAGGATCTACTTCAAGGAACTCTACAACACCACCGGGCTGGAGAATTCTATCAAATGTTAGTATCTATATCTGGTACATCTCTATACCTCGCAGGAAGTTGCTCACAAGCGAACATCATCTAGGAAACTCTTGTAGCTTTCAACTCTATCGAACACATCTCTTCCACGGATGAAGGAGTATAGATTGTGTGGAATAGGATCTGGATGCGCTAGGAGACAATTAAGATTTCGAACATTGAAATCCGGAGCGGTCTGTGTCTGTGAGGAATTAACACGGCTAAAGTAATCTGACACATCCATCTCCGGAGCTGGGATGATAAAATCCCTATTGTTGATTAGCATGCTGGATACCAGAATTGATTCTGAAAATAGAAGATGTTATACTTTAATTGAATGTCCCTTTGCACACAAGACCAGTGATCTGTCTCATCGACTCCCTCCACAGTCCAATCAGGCTGATCCTCCTTGACCTTGAAGCACCAACTGCCATCACTGCAACCAATCTAAATGGATTAAAACAGAGCTGATAGACGGCAGGTAATACATACCTCCAAGACACGAGGTGGTCCTTGATATACAGGAACAGTCTTTAGGTCTCCACTGACCGGCGTAGTCTTCACAGATGCGCTCGGGTTGTACTCCCAAGATGACAACTTTTCCTCCCATGTCAAATTGCCCTTTTCTGAGCTCAATGAGCTTTGCCCCTTGATCTGTTCGATATCGTTCATTCTTGCTCTAAACTGTGATTACGAAGTCAGCATAAAAGGACCAAGCCAGCTTCAACAATGCCTATTGCAAGTCCCACAGAGTCGAGGATGCAAGAAGAACTAACATCATGGTGATATGCCTTTCTAATCAATCTCAATATTTCAGTGACAGATAAATCCTGAGTATTTCGGGTTTGAAGATGGCTATGAGCATCGACCAGTTCGCCATATTCATTATAAACCATATAAGCCCTGCAGACATCAAACTCCTCATTTTCCTCGAAGTCATCACATAAGGAATTTTGTGCTTGCTTCTTGCGAGGTGATGATGATTGTATGCTTAAATTTGACATTTCCTGACTCAGTTGGCCAGGAGTCGAGATGGAAATAAGAGGGGAGCCTCCGCATGAGGGACGACTTCGATGGTGCGAAGGTTCAATTCTACAAGTTTGTTAGCATACCATTGCTCAGGTGCGCTTTCCGTTTGCCTTTGTGTATCTGAACAGGCATACTAAAGTTTGATGCTGCGATGATAATTCTTAACTGATTGTTCAAATTGAGGACATACTTTGGACATTGTGGATTCTCAGATCCATGGCCATCAAATCCTCCTAGGAGAGGAAGCCCCGGAGGGGATGGAGACGAAGCCCTCAGCTCGACAATTGACACTATGCTGTTGGATCTACCATGCTTTGGCGATAATGGCAAAATCTCATCAATATCCACCTGGAATACTCTTCCTGTGTGAGAAGTGAAAACCAGTGGGCTAAAGTGCTGTTGCTCACATTCGTGCTCCATGATTAAATTGCAGGATTTTGCTGAATCGAATAAAAAAGAAGTCAATTGAAGATGAGGTGCAGAGACGCGAAAAGAAAAGAGCTCTCTAAGTTTTTGAAATTTAAAGATGATGAATGCCTGGTTATCGATAACCATGGTAACGAGTTTGAATAGGGAAGTAACGACTGGGTCATGAGCAGACCGAAGCCGATTGACACAACTCTTCATTTCGCCTTGGAAAGCAAAATAGAACGAACAAACGCATGATGGGGGGCATCCTTGATGAATGATTCAAACACACAGAAGTGATAAAAAGTGATACGCTTTTTCGCTTTACATTCCAATCTAAATCTTCAACAAAATTCGACAACCACCGAGTCGCTGTCCCGTCACGTGGCACCGCACACATCTAAACATCGATTGACTTTAGCTATAAAGTATGTGCATCTACCCGCGACATCTCAACTACTCCCCAATTTCTTCGTCAAGTACAAGTCTGCTACCATCCGCTCCCTTCATCCTCACAACCTCGAAGAGAACCCTCCGACATTCTTCAAAAACTTCAATTGCATAGGCTTAGCAATCACATCCTCATCCATCAACTTCTTCCCAAAAGCCTTGAATGCCTCTGAAGCCCCATGAGCTGTAATCGCAGCCTTATCTTTATAGCTAGTAATTCATTGATTAGTCTCATGATTCATGTGTTGATAGCGCAGACAATGTATGTATAACATGCTCACCTCTCCACTAGAATAATTTCCTCAGCACCAGACTTTTTATTAACTTCCTTGTTAATCTCATATTTCAATGTTCCGGGCTCGTTTGCTTTGATGTATTGGGATATCTCATTGAGGAGTTCGGCAACCTAGTGAAGATAGGGGTTAATGGTTTTGAGGAAACGGAATGGGCGGGTGGGAGTTCACTGCTCACTCTATCTGCTTTTCCCTCCTTAGGATATATAATTGCTATTAAGTCGATCTGTGTCATGGTGTCCTGTATATTGAATAATTATGTTGCAGTGTAGAAATGTATTCTAAATTTCCAATGTTTTCACTGAGATATGAGGTCGAAGACCTGCATTTGTCATTTGCTCGGTTGGAACCCCTCCCCATTCGGATGTTAGATTACCTATAAACTTCAACCTCGGCATTTTCACAACCAATTAGAGTAGAGTTATCGAAGTATAGTATATTTAATTACTGAATATAATAATGATGTAATTTACCACTGTATTTGTAAGAGTATAAATTTTTAGTATTTCTCTTTTTCTTATGAGCAAGATTGCTAAAAGTACTAGAAGAACAACAAAACTTCAACGTTGCGATCGTAAGGTCAATCCATCCTCGCTAGCTACCAATATCCAGGAATAAATAATCGGCCTTCCTTGCTTTCCCTCCCAATGCCCATTGAGCAGTGTATTTATCTCTAGGCCAGCTTACAGCTCAACGAGAAGACCGATTTTAACGCGTGGATCAAAGAGAGAAAATGGCAGAAGGCAAATCTATGATTCCCCTAGACCCTCAACACATATACAGCCAACACCCCAAGCATAAATAGCACAAGCATACCTTCAACCTCCTAATGACCTGCCGCCTTATTCACACCAAAGTATCCATCCAGTGTATTCGAAACCCAATGTTTAATCCGGCAGAAAAGACACCAAAAATCTCAAAGCACTCTCAAATCTAATCGATAAGTCAATGGCATATCTTACTCTTCTAACGATACAGTTGAATATCCGGTTCCCGTCAATACAGTTGCAGTTTAATCTAGCATTGGAGAAGCACATGTTCTCCTGATTATCAGTCTCTTCAGACACGATGGCCCTCTCAGGTCATCTACGCAAGACAACGCGATTTTTCTTGACGAGGGAAGTGTTACTCGCAATCTAGAAACTCAAATTAAGTCTTCCAAGCTCAAGCTTGATTAAATGTTGACGAGCAAAACCGAGACATAGGACAACTGCCAGTTTCGCCCGTTTTGAAGCATCTCCCTCAGAAGATTGCAGTGTCAGACTCAACTCTCAAAGCATCATCTACTCCGCCAACTTGTCGCCATTGATACAGCAACCAAATTTAAAGAACTCAAATCTCATCCTAAGAAAGTCCCCGTCATTCAGCTTTATATATGTCCCCCTGAAACTTAACTCTACAAGTCCTAGAATACACTAATCTTGCCACAGCCCACACTTGAAGTAGAAGGGCACCCACAAGAATGCTCGGTGAAAAATATAATTAGAAATCTACAAGCAAAATCCACCAATCCCTGCATGCAAACGTGATAAGACTGCGATGTAATGTATTTGCCAGTCATTGAATCCCTCCTCCAAGGACCTCCAAAACCATGCTTCAACGTAAGAACATACTTGACAAGAAATGAGTAAGTAGCCTTCAAAGCTCCCTCCAGGTGGTGCAGCTTCAAACTCCAAGTCCGCAACATTCCGAACCGAAGAACTCGTCCCATCATTTAAATGCCAAAAATCATATGCGACAATTCGCCATCGCGAACAGATTGTACTATATAAAGAGGTAGAACATCAGCCATCCAAATCGTCCAATTCCATTTTAACAAGGTCGACTTAAACCCGCAGATGAGGTAGTTGTAGCAATTGTTTCCTATCACCATCACCATAGATATAAATAACAATATAATTAAATCATGATCTACCAACTCAAAAGAAATTCACCATAAAATAATAATAAACGCATTAATTATTGTGCATGCAGTCTAACCGGAGCCAATCATAAGGAATAATTAGGGGAAAGAAAGAAACTTGATATTAGATAGTAACAGCTAACTATATTCCACAAATGAGGTAAGTCTTACATTAATCCAAAGGTCGAATTTCCTCACACATGATATCAAATACATATGTAGCTGTACCACTCAAAAACAAATCAAAATCAAACAACACAAAAACCGAAATCTAGTCATCGGGAGCGGAGTAGACCCCTCTTGAGCATTTCAATAGCATCGCATTAAATATACAGGCGTATCGATCACTACGGAATTTCCCAATACCCACTCATATGACATGGTAAATGCCCCATATTACTATTCATCCCATTATCAAAGAAACTGCTAAAATACTACGGAGGAACTTGCCGACGCATACGCGAATTTTCCCGCCATAATATTAGCTTAACAAAGAAAGTATCGCAGCGTTAGTTATATGCACTATGAAAGCTTAGTTTGACGACATGTTATTTATTGTCGCCTTGTTGTAAAAGAGAAAGGTGATTGGCGAAATTGGTATTGCTTGATGAGGAAGACGTTTTACACTCGTTTAGATGGGAACTTTAGATGTGTGTCTATGGAAATGGAGAATCTTCTCCGTAAGTGGTTTTCGAGTGAAGAGGGAAGAGAAAAGGGGAAATTTAAATATTAATTGATATTATGATTGTGATTGTTGTTAGTCTTGGAAAATAATTGAGTGGGTTTATTGCTTTGTCTTTCGGAAACTTTGAATCAATTGTATCCTTGTAGGAAATATGCGGTTTGATCTGAGTGAGTTCTAAATTTGACTTTACTGATTTTTGATGTATCGCACGGCCAAACGAACATCTGATATAGACAGGATTTACCAGAGATTTTTCATGATAATATATCTTAATTTTAAGATGGAATTGAAGTTCTCAAAGAGTTTGTCTCCTCAAGCTTAGAAACTTATGTAATTTCAAGCGAAAATATGAGATTGGAAACTATGACACCGATTCCCATAAAGGTAGAGCTGGTAATGTTCTACGTCGATAACAAAGAAACAAAACTGAGAATCCTGTCATTTTGGAGGAGCTCATGCATCCAACAGTAAGCGTCATGTGAATCTACCGATCTTTTGATAAGAGTCGCGGATAGACCCGTATCACATCACGCATTTCATCATTAATATGATCATGCAATTGGTTGTTCGGTTGGAAGTAGAATCTGGTAGACATATCCTTCTTCTCAAATGAAGGTTGACGTTTTGAAAGGCCCAATCTCGTGTCTGACGTATATATGAGGAACATCTATGAAGATAACCAGAGGAAAGATCACGTTCTTGCATTGTACCTGGAGATATTCTGTCTACACAACAATTTACCGTCCAAAACGGAAAGGGAAAAAGGCTTATATAACTTCAATTAAAATTGACATTAACACTTGTTTCTTCCATAATCTTACAACGCGAAAGAAACAATAATTAGTTAACAAGTTTTGGAAATGGATACATCCAGAAAGTGGCTTCTCAACCTCAGAAGAGAACGTGAAAATACGATTGTATTTGCAAAACATTTTACTCAGCTTCATATTCACCTGGCTTATCACCAGATGTGAATGCGAATCGCACTAACTCAATCCTCACAAGGAAGTAGCCTCCCTCCAGACCTGCCTGCCGATCATGGATCCACAAACCATCTATTTGCCATTTCCGGAAAGTCGTGATCATGGAAGTCAAGTTAGAACATTCGCCCGCATGAAGAACTCCCGGGTAAACTCGATTGCTATTTGTCAGTACTGTAAAGGTTTTCATATGTCATTCGAGGAGTGTGGGAATAACTCATTCAAGATGAGTGAAGTCATCTCTGATTGCATGGTGTCCCCGTCGATTTCGATACCGATACGTCTGGACGATATACCGGAAATCGATATTGAAGGACCCAAAATCTCAACAACAATACTGCTTTCCAACGGATTTGATGGTACCGGGGATAGAGACGACCGACGTGTTGGCTCTACTCAACCACCACCAGAGAACAAACTTTTACCGAAACAACGCCCATTAAGACTCCCACTTCCCCCGTGTAAGATAAAATCAATCTTGTCTCTTTGCTTCCGAGTGAGATATTGAGCTAATATTTTGACAGCCTCGCGTCATCAATTAGTGGCCTCTCCGTTCAATCCGTTGCCATTGTCGCCGGCATTTTCCGATACATCCAGCCAATCTATCTTATCCGAAATCTCAAGAATATCAGAGTTATCGAAGCCTCCACATGAAGATGGAGACGACTATCGTCTTGAAAAGTCGGATTTTATACGCCAAGAGTTGAGGAAACCCGCCGTTCCAATTGATGAGATACACACATTGGAAAGTCTGATTGACGACCTGTTACACGAAGGGCCGTCTCTAGAGTTTGAAGTTATTGCCCATGCTCGGTTGGATAAAATAGTGGAGGAGATTTTGCAACATGTGAGGAACAATTTCCTGAGCCATGGGCCTTCATTCAGACAAGTTATGAGGAAAGTACAAAAGCTTCGCGAGCAATGGATTGAAACTTTCGGAGAAAGATATCATGCCATGGATGAAGAGCGACTGAAGGTCATGAAGAAGGATGGCTGTCTTCGGGACTTGGACTTACAAACAAATGGTGAGGTATCGAAAGTAAATGGCCCTATGTGGAAAATAAGAAGAGTCGAAACCTTTTCAGAGAAGGAAGCAAATGAGAATTTTGAGCCAGGAGCGTAAGTTTTCCCTATCCTTCACAGAGCCGGTATTTACTAGAAAATGAACAGCTGGTTTTTGAACACATATTGCGCCGTCCGTGACGGGATCGTGTCTGACGCAAAAGATGGGTTCATTTGGGGAGGGAATCGGAAACCTGTTGCATTTTCGATGCTCTCCGGGTTTGAAATCAAAGGCATCGGAAGGCGAGAGTGGATACACATCATCGAATCAAGAGTTTGCGCATACCATGCTGTTAGACTCACTTGTGTTGGGTCGGTGGTCAGACTTCTGCGAGGTCACAAACTGAAGAGTGAAAGAGCACCCAGACTTGGGGTACGGTATGATGGCCTGTAAGTACACTTCATCAGTATCCCATTGCTCTCTATATATGCTGACTCTATGTAGCTACAAGGTCGAAAGTTGGGGCCAAGTTCTCTTGAAGCCTTCATCTGGACCTGACATTTATCGTAACACCATAACCCTTGTAGAACTTGCAGGACAAAACACGATGGAAGAACTAGATGTAGTTCCAACCCCATGGCAGATGGACAACTTCATCATCTACAACAGGATGATTGAGAATGAAATAAAGGCACGCGAGGGTGAGGCTGCTTACAAAGAACACAGGTCTTCGGAAAGCAAAAAGGAAACAGCTCGAAAAGTTTTCATCTCGAAATTGAAAGCTTACGATCAGCCTGCATACAAATTGCTCGATGATAGGACCCACAGACTCGAAAATGCATTTCCGCTTCCACTTTCCTTCGAACCATACCCGGCATCACCGCCGAGGGATACAACATGGAATTGATAGTTTGAGGATAGAGCGTTAAACACGTGGAATTGAGATGAATACGATAGGAGTGGAATAGATGATGCTAATTTTAAGAGGGGAGAGGAGAAGAAAAAAGTCCAACATTAATTCTTGTAATGAGATGTGATAAGGTTATATATAATATATGAATATGATGAACGGATATGAACTATAATAGTTTCTGAAGTTCTCCATCTTAACACTTTCAGACTGTTGACAGTGGCTGAATATGGATATAAGGACTCGAAGATCTTCATTTTAACCCTTTTCAGTGTTGTTGATGATGGTGAAGTCTAAAGAAGGTCATCCGCACAGCCCTGCATATTTTTGGGATTGGCTGGTTGCCGTAGTTAGTGTGATGGACAATCACGTGATTATATAATTGGATAAAAATCTCATTTCCTTTAAATTCAGTCTTCACTCTCACCTTCCCCGTCGGAACCTTCCCAATTAAAAATTGCCGTTCTTTCCAATTCGAAGCTATTTCGTGTTGAAAGTGAATTTTATCAACAAATATGGCTAGCTTCGAAAATAACGAACAAGGTTCGTTACCTCGAAAGAGGCAGAAGCTCGACTCGAGCTCTTCCAAACCAAGCTCTGTTCCCACCTCAATTTCTCTTGCATATCCCCCTTCTCAATCAGACGCAACCATCAATTCAAATATAAACGCAAATCCAAGTGACAAAATGGAAATCGATCAGCCAAGCCAAAGTTTGGTTTCCGAAGTTGCATTATCTTCCCAGCCTGAGCATGCTCAAGAAATTAGATCTGGAATACTTCACTATGTCAACAAGAAAAATCCTGGATTCCAAGGTATATTAAAGCAAAGGTATGCTTGTCTTGTTCTTTTACCAATATGGTCTCATACGTTTTATTGTCATTCAAGATGATTGCTTGCAACAATTCAATTACTTGTTTTTTTCTTAACAAACTTCGCGTCAATACCTCACAAATCCGTTTTTTAAAGACATGTCCAACTCCTTTGCCTTTACTTTCCGTTGTAGTTGATGCAATTTGCAACTATTGCAGATATTTTTCTGCAGTCATATGTCAATTGTAACTTATTTCATCCATGAACTCCAGCTAATTTTGGTGATCAGATACACAGATTTCCTGGTCAATGAAATTTCCCTGGGAGGAGAAGTTGTTCACCTGAAGGATTTGAAAGCTCCTCAAATTCATCAAAACAGAGTACGTTATCAGCCAACAAAACATCTCGATTCATGCTTCCTCTCCTAGCAGGACAAATGGCTGACGATTGTGAGCAGAATGCAGCAAATGCCAATGCTGTTTCAGCAGACATTGTTGATGAGAACCAGCCAGTAGCAGAAGCTGCGGGGCAGAATGAATCAGAGCAAGCCACTTCTGCAGATTCTGCTATAGCTGAAGCTGCGCCTCTTACTGATATTGCCAATGGCCACCCCTCTACGGCTCCAATCACTTCAGTTATTGAAACTAATGTTGATGTTCCTGCACAGCCATCTGCGGAAAATCCAAATGCCGTTCAAATCAAAGAAATCCGATCTAACGATATGGAAGTTCTTGTTGAGTATTTTGGTAATACCCTAGCTCTCCAGATCATTGAGCTCGATAAAAAAATCCAACAGAAACCAAACGCTAAAGCTAGTTCGTTTGGATCTTTACAGTCCGAACCGATTGATGATAGACCCCGTCGTGGACGTATTCATGGATTTTTGCGTTCGCGTTTTGAGTCGCGGCTGGAGACTGAAGCCTTGGATGATAATTCTATTAGCATATTCGCAGCTGCTCCGCAACAACGTGACAGAGGACAAAACCAACGTGGGAGAGGACAACAAAATTCCGGCCGGGGGGATTTCCGTGGTCAATCGAATGGCCAGCCAAAACCCAAGGGAAAAGTTGGATGGCAAGAACTTGGCGGTGAATACCTTCACTTCACACTTTACAAAGAGAATAAGGACACCATGGAAACTGTCAACTTGCTGTCTAAATTGCTGAGAACTAAAACCAAAGATTTCGCCTACGCAGGCACCAAAGACCGTCGAGCGGCCACCGCACAGCGTGTTAGTGCTTTCAGACATCATGTTAAAAGCATGGCTGATCTCAATCAGAAGCTGAGATACGGCGTAAGAGTTGGTGACTTCAAGTATGAGAAGTATCCACTTAGACTGGGTGATCTCGAGGGCAACGTTTTTACCATTACCTTACGTGATTGCAATTTCGGCGACGACACTGACATGGACGATGCTACAAAGGTTCAATCGGCAAAAAATGTTGTTGGTGATGCTATTGCACATTTACAAACCCGTGGTTTCCTTAACTACTTCGGCTTACAACGTTTCGGTACTTTCGCGATCGGCACACACGAAATCGGCAAGTTGATCTTAAAAGGAAACTTCAAGGGTGCTGTGGATGCTTTGCTCACATTCAGTGAGGATGCACTCGCAGTAGCTCAGTCGGGAAAAGATGGAGGAAGTATTGGCAGAGATGATATGGGACGCGCCCTTGCTATCCATAAATTCCGGGAAACTGGCAAAAACTACTGTAGGGACCATCTTCCACAAAGATTTTCCGCGGAGCGTGCTGTCATTCAACACTTGTCCTCGGCCCGCAAGCATGACGATTACGCAGGTGCTATACTATCAATTTCGCGCCATCTCCGTACCATGTACGTGCATTCATATCAATCTTTCATTTGGAACGTCGTAGCCTCCAGAAGATGGGAGCGCTATGGAGATAAAGTTATTGAGGGCGATCTTGTTTTGGTAGAGAGCAAAGCCCCCGAACAAAGAGATGAAGTTGATGAAAATGGAGAAGTTGTGATTCATGCATCTGGGGGAGATGCAGCACTTAGTTCCGATGAAGTTTTCCAGCGCGCACGCTGTCTTTCGGCCGAAGAAGCTGGCAGCGGCAATTTTACCATCTTTGATATTGTCCTCCCTATGCCAGGTTTTGACATTGAATACCCTAGCAACGAAATTGGAGATTATTACAAGGAATTCATGGCTGGTGAACAAGGCGGCGGTCTGGATCCTGCCGATATGCGTCGAAAGATCAAGGACTTTAGTCTGAGTGGTAGCTACAGAAACCTTATTGGCAAAGTCAGAGAGGGCATGACTTTCGAAGTCAAAACCTACCACGATGAAAGAGAACAGTTGGTTGAGACTGACTTGGAGATCATCGAGAAGGCCAAGACTCAGGCGAATGGTCCTAGCCACATCGCAACCACTCACGTATATACTAGAAAAGCAGGTGATCCACACGGGTATGCGTCTTTCCAGGAGAATAAGCTTCATCCAGATAACGATCAAGAGAACAATGGCATTCAGAACGATCGACGTGGAAGAGAACAAGGTGGCCGTGCTCGTCACATGGCTGATGCTGTGGAAGAAGGTCGCCAAAATAACGCTCTTTACGCTGGTAGCGCTCAGCATAATGCTTGGAAAGCACTACCTACCAAGCTTGCTGAAGAAGACAAAGCTTCCGCTGAAGCCTGGGAGGAAGAAAAGCTAAAGCCTGTCGATGTGGATGCTATCAAGCAGCCAATGTATAAGGAGACATTCATACAAACTTCTGCAGATGATGAGGGTCGTCGCACTGGGGTCAGAATTCAACAAACTCTCGGTTCAAAGAACGAGGTTATCGCAGAGAACACCTCGAAAGATGCAACATCAGGTACCGAGAAGAAGCTAAAGGTTGAAGTCACCGAGCTCCCAGGTGCCGAATCCGACGAGGACAATGAGGCTCAAGAAGGAGGTGTCAAGCTCGAAGCTTCGGTTGGTCTGAAGAGATCTGCTGAAGAGATTTCGAAGGGATCTGTTGACCGGAACGAGAAAGACCAAGCAGTTACCGAAGTTGTTGAAGTTGACGATGAGAAGGTCAGCAATCCTGTTGTATCTTCTACTGAGGTCAAGCAGGAGGATAAACCATCCGAATCACTTGAGGCAACATCTGCTGATGCTGAAATGGCGAGCGCACCAGGTGGTGAAGAAGCTACCGAGGAGTCGAGACCTGCACGACTTGCTGTCATTGTCAAATTTGGTCTTGGCTCAAGCATGTATGCTACAATGGCTCTTCGGGAGTTGATGCAGCGAGGAGGCGTCCAGGTCTACCAACCAGACTTTTCTTCTGGCAGATGATTTATATCTTACATTGAAGCGATCGCTGTATGGTTGAAGACGGGATTTTGAAGCTAAATTAATTGTAGTTAGATACGGTGAGAGGTTATGGACCGCAAATTTCATGCAGTTACTTGTAAATAGACTCCATACCTGTCGATATGACATGAATAAAAAGTATAATTATTAAGAATGTAATCCTCGGAAAGGGAAAAGTGTTTCGAACTAAATCATGGAGTGAACTCTTATTCACCTCCTTCGGATCCCCGTCCAATACTCCCTAGCATGTTTTGATACATGCAATCAAAGGCTTTTCAAGTTTTCATGAATTCTCTCCAACATACTCCATACCTCCTCCTCTTTCTTCTGCCACACACATCAAATTGGCTACAATTATAGAATTTGGCATCCCATAACCATACCGAACTCTTCAAACATATTTCTGCTTTAAATTTTTACCTCGATAGTATGTGAATATTTGAGGTAGATATTTCATGCCTAGTAATGCTATTTATTTAATCTAAGATTTATAGATATTGGATTTGTGGTAGTATGTCGTTATGTGTGATTTTGAGGGGTTCTGGAGTTTTGTTATGATATTTCGGGGTGGAGTGTTGAGCTGGGATTGATTGTGCTATGCTATGTAATATATGCTAATCCTATAGCTTTCGTATTGTGCATATTATACCTATCTATATCTAGGTCTAGGTCTATATATAAAGTTCTTTTTTGATATACAATATAGTATGATACAATCTACATCTACACTTACATCTATATCTACATCTAATATTTATGTTTAGATCCCTATTTCGAAATATCTTTACACAACAATTATACAATATAATACACCAATACAATCTACACTTGCCCGCCAACTCTCCTCCCAAACATGGAATAGAAATTAGACTGTGTGATATGACTTTTCCTTCCAGTCCTCTCATCAAAAATATTACAACCTTCCCTCGCCGCATTCGGCGGCGTATATAGATGTAAACTCACTGCTACACTGTGAGGCGACGGATTGGAGATTTTGTGGAGTCCGAGATTGTCTGACATGTAGGTTACTTGGTTGGTGGTGTAGGTGGTGGTTTTTATTATTGTGGGTGGAGCGGGGATGGGTTGGGTATCGGAGGAGAGGGAGGATTGCCGGATGCTGGTAGAGGGGAATGTGTAGCGTGTTTCGGTGAGGGTTCCTGAGAGGACTTTCATGAGACAGTGCGCGTCGGCGTGGTCATGGAGTGGGGAGCCTTTTCCGGGAGTCCAGACGAGGATTAACTAGATGGGGATTTTGTGGTTAGCTTTGCGGTTTCAATGTTGGTAAACAAAAGGTAGGTGGGAGTGAAGTAAGTCTTACCAGGTTACTTTTTCCATTCCCTTCATCGACCAAATTTCTGGTGTAGCCTCTACTTAGATCCGCAAATGCATATTGTTTCCATTCGTCTTCGTTGGATATGTAGTTTTCCATTAAGGATTGAGGTTCCTCTACATCTACATCGGCGGATGTGAGGCCAGAAGATGGTCCGAGGATTCTGGAGAGGTCTGCAACGAGTCTGTGGAAGGAGTCTGGGGGTGAGGTAGATTTCGTGGAGGGGAAGGAGTTTGAGCATGCACCGGTGGCATCGAGGGCTATAGATGGTGTCATTTGGGCGGGTTGTGTTGAATAGTGAAGGTATTGTCTAGCTGGGTATATTTTCAATGAAAGGGAGTCTATCGAACGAAGTGACAAATTGTATATATATGTCTGGAAATGATACAAGCAAGTTTGAAGATATAAGAACAGAAAAGGAACGGTTTGTACAAGTAAAAATCATGAAACAAGTAAGAAATGCTCTTAAAAGGATAAATGATTGTATATATGAGAGAAAATAAAATAAACTTGTCACAAGAACATTCTTCAGAGAAATGAAGTCAAAGTTCAAGATCGGAAAGAAATTCCGAGGTCCCGACAGGCATGTCAAATGCCTCTCCATCGAATTCGGTTAGCGCATATTTCGTACATATCAAATTGATCGCACTCACTAACAACATCCAGCTCCAGATTTGCAGCTCTTCATCGCAGACGAATAGGAAACCCGGTAGTCTAACTTTACTTCAAGGCTATTCGGTCATCCTTGCTACCAGACAGAGGAAGGTCCGCTCGGGGCAAGAGGAGGGAAAAAGGAAAGGGTAAAGACGATGTCGATGCGAAAGAAACAAAAGTTAAAGGTGCCCAGCAAATCAATGTTCGACATATACTTGTGCGTCTCACTGACATTTTAATTTTGATTATGGGATCCGAGTATGTCATTATTCTGGACTGGATATTAATATATATATTTGCAACAGTGCTCCAAACATAGTAAAATGACGGAAGCGCTGCAGAAGCTAGAGGCTGGTGCTAAGTATTGACGATGTTGCTCGTGAGTTTTCTGAGGATAAGGCGAGGGCTGGTAGGTTTTTCTTGTTTGCTACTTATTACGTTATATATGTACCTCTTTCTGGTAAGAGAGAGATTCGACTAGGGAAACGGGCTGATATGAGATAATGTAGGAGGAGCATTGGGATGGAAAGGGAAAGGAGATTTAGATCCTGAGTTTGAGAAAGTGGCTTTTGAGATGGAGGCGAGTACTACGACGAAACCAAAGTATAGGGAGGTAAAGACAGGGTTTGGATATCATATTCTTATGGTTGAGGGAAGGAAGTAGGGGTGTGGACTAGATGACGGGATGAAGCAAATTGAAGGTTTGAATGCAGGATAGGGAGAACATAAAGTTGCGAGCAGAAAGGTGTCGGGCGTCATTTAAGAATATATTTATCAGGTTCTAGATGAGCCCAAGCATAGGGCAGAGACCTATCTTGCTCTCAAGCTCATAAGTCTCGCCTCCGCAGCTCACAGAGGTGTAAGTCAAAGGGATTTGCCATGGCCGCAAATGACTTGCAAAGAAGGGCCTCATACATGCATATTCACGCGCGTTCACTCTGCGAAAAAAAGACGAGATTTTGTTGCTCCATAGGCAATGTCATTGACACCAGTAATCCACGCTATGTGTGTATAAATCCGATTGATACAATGACTATCCGCTCTGGAAGCTCCATCTCCGTGGCGTATTTATTGCTCGGTTTGGAAGTAGTTGAGGAGCATGGTGCGCTCTTGGGACTCCTCACCCCAATCCTTGACAACAACGCATGAGCAGTTGACAACCTTGCGTGCGTTACCCTCACGGTCCAAAACACCTAGAAAACTGTCAGTGATATCCCATGGTAGTGGTGTTATATCCAAGACTTACACAAACCAGCCCACTCGCCCAATTGCTTTCCGTCTGGAACCTTGATCAAGGGGATCTTGTGCTCGGAGCAGAGAGCAACGACCAACTTCTTGTATGCCTCCTCCTCGCAAGCCTCGTTGAGAACACACATGTGTGCTTGGCGACGGTCGAGAGCCTTGGAAGCTTCACGGAGACCTCTGGCGAGACCATCGTGCATAAGTGCGAGTTTGAGGACACCCTTCAATGCGTCGATAACGGACATTTGTCCCTTGGATGCATCTCCGGAAACTTCGACCTCGTCGGCCTCGGCGACAATTGGGGAGGTTGGCTCTTCTACGTCAGACTGTGTAAAGCATGGAGGTTAGCCGCGGTGCTTGAATGTAAAAATCCGTTTCTTGAATTCTCGAATGTTGGTGGGGGGGAAATATTCCCAATTGTATATGACTACAAGCATTGCGCCAATGGCGCATAGGATTCATGAACCTTTTCGGTCGAAAAAGAACAAAAATAAACTCACCATCTTGATTGTGATGATATCTTTAGGTCCTCGAAGAGTATGTTGGTATATTTGTATTTTAATGTATGGAGAAAATTAGCTTCAGAATCTTGTGTTGATATTATTGTACGTTTAGCGAGACCCTAGCGATTAATTAGGTAAGCACGAAAAGTGCCCACAATGAATTTTAGAATTCTCCATAGTAAAATCTTGACTGAAAACCTCACGATCTCGAAAAGTTATTCCCTCTCCACGACAACTTCCACGCCAATTCTACAACGAGGTGTGTATATGCTATGATGATGCATTTTCTCAAACGTCCTTCATGATTGACACGGAGGAGTAAATCGATCATCTACTCAATTGTGATTGTGGTATTTCTTGGATCCGGCATTTGATAAGCTTTGGCTTATTTTGTCACCATGAATCCATAGCAATTGAAAGATGTCGACACTACTCACTCTATTCTTCGACACGAGCTTTAGAACCCTCTTGTCAATCATGAGGGCACTCTTTATGCTTGAGAAATCTTGAAGGCTAACATACCGACTCTACAGATACCTCACTTTTGATCAATAAAGATTATTTGAGAATCTCTATCCGTCAAAATGGTTAAGACTTCAGTCCTCAATGATGCGCTCAACGCCATCAACAACGCCGAGAAGGCCGGAAAGCGTCAAGTCCTCATCCGCCCATCCTCCAAGGTCATCGTCAAGTTCCTCGGTGTCATGCAAAAGCAAGGTATGTAGTCAGCATTTTATATTACACATTTATTCGGCATGATAACTAGATAATGATCTCAATTCCACACGATCAAAGTCCTTTAAGTTGCCGATATATCAACCTGCGCGGATCTTACACGTTCTCTGAATTTTACCCATGAAGTTATATGTTTAATCTTTCGCAACATACTAATGTTCCTTTTTTTAGGTTACATCGGAGAATTCGAGGAGGTTGATGACCACCGTTCCGGAAAGATTGTTGTTCAATTGAACGGCCGGTAAGCAGAAACTTTAATGTCATCCTGAAGAACACGCTGCTAATTCTACACCACAGTCTCAACAAGACCGGTGTTATCTCCCCAAGATACAACGTCAAGATCGAGGATTTCGAGAAGTGGGTTGTCAAGCTTTTGCCATCCCGTCAATTCGGACACATCGTCCTCACCACCTCCGCTGGTATCATGGACCACGAGGAGGCTAGACGCAAGCACGTTGCCGGAAAGATCCTCGGTTTCTTCTACTAAACGGAAAATATCAATAAAGGGACAAAAAGCATCATGAGAAATGTAGCCATCTAGGGTCTCCAGCTTTCGGGGTTGGAGTAATATCTGGGACAGGTCGCGGAATATACCCATTTCGTTCTTGCTTTACCGCATAGTTCGAATTCTTCTCTTGAAGAATAGATAAGGTCTACGCTAAAAGTCAATTTAATCTTATGAACACATACTTCTCCGTTGCAAATTTGCATATTCTTGAATTGATTTATTTCTGAAATGTTCTTTGTTAAGGTATGCAGTACTTTATCTTGTCAGACCTAATGTTTTGTAGTATGTAAGCATCTATATGTGAACAAATATGATCCAGACTGGATCCTAAGACGCGCGTATAGCGCTACCACAAGGGGCAATAAATCCTACTCGTATGCCATGTCACATCGGCAGTAAGCAAATATGTTGTGGCACTAACGATAACTCCTGAATGTGTGAACTCGAGCCAATCACAACACCCGACGGCGCATATTCGGGGCGTAAAACGTCAATATTGTTATGTCCTAAGCTTTTTGGCTTGAACACCAAAATATTCCCATCTATATATACGAACTTTTGAAAACGTCCAGAGTAGTGGTAGGATAAATGAAGGAGTGTTTTACTTCCTCCAGTGCAAAATGCATCTTGTAAAAAAACATAACAAAAATCCTCCGAGAAAAAGTTTCGATAGCCAAGATGTAAATGAGCTTATGTTTCACGGATCGGATTTGTCCCGTCACTCAAATCCTTTTATACAGTCGTTCATATTCATAACCAGGACATGGGGACTACTGTACAATATGGCGAGATTAACATAACCTTTTCGTGGAATGAAAGAATGGAGCATTGGCTCTGGGCAATCCATCTAGCCGGAGGATTTTGGTAGAGCCAGACTTTTCAATTTATACGGAGTAAGTAAGTAAGGTAGGTAGGTGTAAGGTAGCATTTTGTGGTTGTGGCCAGAACATCGGAAGGAATCTCCACCCACGTACAGCCAACAACGTTAGGACGAAAGTATTGTAAAAATAAATATCGAGTAATCGGCCAAAGAAGAGAATTACCTGCAAACTTCAATTCGTCGCAACTGCACGCACATATATACAAACATTTGTATATTTCCTGCCCTTCTTTTATTCACAATTCGTATAGGACTTTATCCAATCCACTCATATGCGCGTCGAGAGCTTTCATTCCCAGTCGGCAGGACTGGCCGCATTCGTTGTGCAAGGATAAATTAACGGATTCTCCAGAACAAGGGGGTCTCACAAGCAGCGGAAGTACCAGCAGGAGTACAAAGAGTTCTGTTTCTGGCCCTTTCGTTACGATGGCTGGACAAAGTCGCCGCAGGAGCTCGAGTGCGGCATTTCAACATCGCGTTGAAAAAGTGCACTTTGTTCCGTTCGATGGACATGATGATTCGAGGAGACCTTCTCTCAGCGCAATGATAATGACGACCCGGCGGAAAATGAAGTCTCGCCAATTCCTACTACTAATTACAATTTTCACCTTGGCTACATTCTCGATATTCTATTTACGGGCGCCTTTTCCATACCATTCGAGCTCTTTCCCGTCTTCCAACCAGAAACCGAAACAGCCAAGCATACCCAACCCTCGAATACCTACTACCATTGACGTGAAGAAACCGCAGACAGCTTCATATCATATTGGTCCTTCGCATCCAGTTTACCAATTAATAAAGGATAATGAGCAAGCATTCGAGAATGTAAAGGCAAAACAATCAAAGACGCTGGAGGAGGCAGTGGCAGAATATAGAAAACGATACGGGATACCTCCACCTCCCAACTTCGACAAATGGTACAATTTCGCGAAGTCAAAAGGGGTGCAACTTATTGACGAATATGATAATATCCATACATCCTTAACGCCGTTTTGGGGGCTAAAACCGGAAACCATAAGAGGAAGAGCGCGAGAAGCATTGGGATTTCCCAATAATTTAATAGGGCTGTTGATTAGAGGAGGAAAGGTTACAAAGGTTGAGGGAGGGAATCAATGGCAACAAGATGCTACGGTTGGAATGATGAAGCCATTCTTGAAGTATCTTCCTGATATGGACCTCTGCTTCAACATTCACGACGAACCTCGCGTTGTTGTGCCATATGATGACTTAGCTCGACTAGTGCATGTTGCAAAGGATCAAAATATGCCAAACGCAAATTCAGTTGAAGCACCCAGGAATTCATGGTCGCCAAGACCGATAGATGTCGTTAGCGATGGCTTAAGAGTGCCGGAGGTGAAGACCACACGATTCAACGTCTTTTCTCATCAACCAACCTGGACCCACTCGAGGCTGTCCTGCCCTCCAGATAGTGCCGCCAGGAGTCTCGATGACGGACTGAAAGAGGACAATTACCCTAGTTATGCCGTGACGGAGCTAGGATTTGTCTACAATCAAACTGCATTCTCCGATATTTGTCAATCCCCTTCTTTTAGCGAATCTTTCGGATTTTTTGATCGACCCAACGCCTTCAACATCGTACATGACTTGTTCCCAATTTTCTCGCAATCGAAAATCTCGTCATTCTCCGATATATTATACCCATCTCCTTGGTACTGGTATGGCAAGGTACCATATGAAGAAGCTGAGGACAGGTCATGGAAGGACAAGGAAGATAAAATATACTGGAGGGGTTCGACAACTGGAGGCTTTAGTCGAGATGGTGGCTGGAGACGGCAACACAGGCAAAAGGTGGTTCAAAAAGTTAATTCTGGCGATCAGGCAAAAATTTTAGTCAATCGAGGTGAAGAGACCAAGGAAGATTGGCAGGTGAAGAATGTACCACGGAGTGATTTCAAAGAAATTTTCGACATTTTCTTCTCCCATGTCGGACAATGCGACCCTGGAGATTGTGATGCACAAAAACAGTTTTTTGATGTTAAAGAGGCGGCGAAGCAGCAAGATGCGTGGAAATATAAGTACCTACTTGACATGGATGGGAATGCTTTCAGTGGAAGATTTTACGCGTTCTTGAAGAGTAAAAGTTTAGTGTACAAAATGGCTATCTTCAGAGAATGGCATGAGGAATGGTTGAAACCTTGGGTGCATTATATCCCTTTGAGTTTGAGAGGAGATGAATGGGTTGAGGCAGTACGATGGTTCGCGGGAGAAGATGTTGGGAAGAAAGAAGCGGAGCGGATTGCTCTTCAGGGAAGAGAGTGGGCGAATCATGTGCTCAGGAATGAAGACCTTGAAGTATGGTTCTTCAGATTAATGCTCGAGTAAGTTCCCATTTCGTCTTTGGTTCTGCTTTTTGGCTTTCGGATACAGCACTAACAGTCATAAAGATATGGCAGACTAGTTGATGATGACCGAGAAATCATCGGTTACACAGGAACAACAGGATCGACATGAAAATAATTTACATCACACTTTAGATACAATGGAAACGGCTATGTATAATATGAAGGGTTCCGGATTTTCTTTAATTTCTCTGTACGATACAATGTTGACGAAATAGCATGCTAGAAGCATTGCATTTGCTGAAGCCATCTTTCTTCCTCGGGAGATGAGGTTGAAATAGATTGGGAGTTTGCGCATCAATCAGCACACTAATTGCATGATCGCTTGATTTTCTGTGGAAATAAGGGACGCACCAGGTTGGAACTAGTCTGAGATTTTGTTACGTTTTGGAATATGTGCAGGGGTGTGCATTTTATACCATTTCTAATATACCCAAAGCTTTCTTTTCTCTATTGCTATTGCTCAGTTAATCGATCGAATGAATATATGGCTTGATACCCTATGAGTTCGGTCTCTTCTTAATGAATGTTTATGGAGTAGTGTGTTCGGGTAGCCTGTTGTTGCGTGTGTTTACGTGTTTGCGTGCGTGTATGTATGTGGTTGGGTGTTTAGATCTAGATCGAGAAGAATTAAATATGGCGCTTGTGATGAATATTTTTTTTTATTTTTTTTATTTTTTTTGCTTTAATGCCTTGGTGTATTTACTTACGCATGCTGCTAGAAGCTTTCAAGCTACCACAGTACCTTACAGTCAATCTCGAATCGAGGAAACAGCCATTATTAGTTTAGAAGGAAAAAGTACCGTAACCTTGTTGCATCAGGTCTGGTTCTGCTCTACATCGAGCATCGCTAAATCATTCATTATATGTAGAGTTTTGATGTGGATAAACTCTAATTAATGGGCATATATATGCCCGATAATTTTATACGTGAAGATGGATTAGCTGGACTTGTGCTGAAGTCTTCACGGTCGTTGATACTGTGTATTGGTTAGATTAGTAAAGTTGATTGCCGTATGGTGATCTTGTATTGCGTAAAATGCAAAGGTTAAGGGAGGCAAAGTTTTAGAGACACGATCACCACCGCAAATTTCGTGTTCGATTATGAAAAGTGGCTTGAAGCTGCTCCATTTCTCCATCCTCACCAGACAACTTTTGAATGATATCATTATTCCTTGCATCGAAAACCCATCTGTCCTTGTGAAGAACGAAATATGTAGTCTTACTAGCACGAGCAACATAATTAGTATCAGCCTATCGGTTTTGAAACTCTTTCTATCCTGTATAGCCTTCTTGGCAGCATCTTACAGCTCTGCTATTCCTATGACTTATTTGTCAACCAGTTCACTAACTATTTCTTTGTCTTTCGCTATAACAGCTACATTCTTCTTGGTCGAGGTGTTTTCGTAACTCGTCAATCAAGTAGTATCTTTTATATTTGGTTGTATTTGATCTTGCTTCTTTGCTGCCGGCTCGGCTTTTCGTGCGTAATTGGAAATCGCATTGGCTAAGGCTATGACGCGGAGTAAGTAATATTTCTGAAGGTGATGCAGTGTTGTTTGCATTTTGAATGGTTAGTTAGTTGTTGGATGAGGGGTTTGATGCTTCTTATCGGGGCGTAGTATTGTAGTATTAGAAGGGGGTCGATGGGTTCTGCGGGATCTGCGTATTGATCATCGGGCGAAAATGTTTCAGGTAGAAGCAATGTTAAACATGAACTTCACTTTTCATGTTTTAAGGCATATACATATATCTATGGCCAAATGTTTCCTTCTTGAAACACAATGAAACATAATGAGAGTTGGTGTGAACTCACAACAAACTTGGTGATGGTCGAGACGGGCGATTGGATTAAGAAATATCTTCCATCTTGCTGAATAGGCCTTTTGGTGTAAGCGAAGCCGAATCGTCAAGTCATACCATACACGATGCTTAGGTTATGAATAGAAGAGCTTCCATTCTTTAAATTTTCAGAATTTGTTTATATTTATATAAAGATATTGTAATTAAAATTTCAATTGATTTAATTCATTGGTTGTTGAATTATTAATAGCTAAAAATGGTAATTTTTGGTGTAAAAGGGTGGTCCAAAAGAGGGGTGGTCCAAAAGTAGGGTACTAGACTTATGTTTAAATCAAGCGATTTGAAAAGGTTGCAATAATGCAGCTGAAGTGTCTAAAATAAGAGTTATATATTCGAGAATATATCCCTGGAATCACTCTTTGTAATCTAAACATACTCCCTCCCAGTCGAGCGCATCCATATTTACTATAGTATCTACACGCCAACACTCGGTGTCTGGTAATAGATGTATGAGAAAATTTAGTGGTAATGGTTGCAGCTAAAATATAGCACGGGTAAGAGGCGGAGTTCAAGTCTGTGAGGGTGAATCCATTAGTTCCGTCACATCTGGAAACTCGCGAATAGTTCCATGTTGATCTAAGTTATCCGTGCTCCAAAATATTAGTAAATAAATGCCGATTTAGGAATCGGACGTGGCTTGGCGTCCAAGGAGGTGAACTGATCTAGACAATCGATGTTGAGAAAGACCTATACATATGTAGCCAACTACGTAGACAGAGAACCTCGGATTCATATTATCTTTCGTGGGTTTTCCAGAGCTACATTATGCAAGCAAGAGGCTCAGTAGATTTCAGCTTTTAATACTAAAAGTTACTTTGGATTTAAGTTGCTTGGTTAGATAAGTCACCACGGATTGAACTAAGTAATCTTACAAGAGTATCCGCATTGCCCGAAATGATCTATTTCCTTTTGGATATATGTAACATATCCTAAAATCATAAATAATCTATGACCTGCCTTTTATGATTCCAGATGATTATATATTTATTAATACATCAAATTCATTAGATTAGGGACAATAAGTCTAGTACCCTACTTTTGGACCACCCCTCTTTTGAACCACCCTTTTACACCAAAAATTACTATTTTCAGCTATTAATAACTTTACAATCAATTAATAGAATTTAATAAAATTTGAATTATAAATTAACTATATAACTATAACTCAATTCTGAAAATTTTAGATTTTTTGAAATTAATTTCATTGAGATTTATAACCTTAAACTTTTTGATTTCCGATTTGTGTTGTGACGCCTCACACCTCCGGGTCACGTGGCATGCCCCGTTTGTATTTAATCACAGGAAAACTCGCTACTCTTGTTTTCCTTCTTCTTTTCTCCTTAGCTTAGTATTTTCTAATACAAGATACTTTACCCAGTATTCTTGAGTGTGACATGTGTAGGATTTATATACAAAATTGAAAAATTATTAAAGTCTGTTAAAAGGAATGGCCTCACACAGGGAATAGTGGGAAGCTGATAGGGCAGAACTGAGGTAATATTGGTCTAGTAGGTTAATCTCTCTTCTAAGTTCTACGGAAGTGCGAAGCTCTCTTACAGAGAGCTTCTCAATCTAGTCCTAATAGGACTAGTGCCCTATGCACGTGCTACGCAGGAACCATTCACTTTAACAAAGTCTAGAATAATTTTTCAATAAAAGTAATTAAAAATAAACTATAAATTTTTTTGATTTTTTAAATCAAATTCAATCAAATTGTAACGATACTGTACTTAAGGCAGCGGCTGCCTAAGGTTCGTCGGTTGGTAGTTATGGGTTAAGGCTTTATCACTGGTATTCACTTGGAAGTGAAGTCGTTACTAGATCAAGTAGAATGTAGGTAAACTAGTTGATAACTAAGTTGAGCACGAAGCTCCTATACTATGAAACTACTCTGACTATATAATGAGCCCTTTCCTGGAACTCCGAGGAGCCTACGCTCCCAGAGGCTCCATCACGTGATCCCAAATATGCCTCAGGACACTAATCCAAACCACAATTCTGTTACGAGGTTTGCCGTCTAGATCACGTGGAAGTGCTCTAGGCTCTCGAGGTAGTTTATAACTAGGCGTCAAGCAGGGACTTAAAGTAATGACAATAATGATATGCAATTCGTAACTAATAGTAGAGTATACTAAATGATTGATCTTGAGCACGAAGCTCTATACAAAAGAAATCCATCTTGATTATATAGTCCTTCGTGCCTATGGTTAACTAGGAATCGTCGTTCCTGGTTGTTCCTAGGAACGTTCGTTCCTCACCGTTCCATCACATGTTTTATGGTCATGTGACATACTAATCGTTTTGGACGTAACAAATTCGTGACAGTAGCCTATATTAGAGGTGGCCCAGAAAGGGGGTACTAGACTTATATAAAAGATTATTTATTATATATATAAATCTGTTTTCGATTTATCATGAATCAAAAATTTTAAAGTAGAATATCCAGATCCGCTATCTCAATTGAGAGTTTAAAGGGAGTCAGGTATAAACAGAGGAGTTGATTGTCTAGCTAATATTGCAATTGGTAGTATTCGTGGAATGCAGGATATATTTGAAAGTAATTTCAATCGTCTTTTATGAATTTTTGATCATCTTAAGAGTAATTAAATGAAATAAAATAAAATCTAAATAAAATCTCAATAAAATCTCAATTATAAATAAATCATCTATTGATGAAGATAATGAGAAACAAAGTCACTCTAATATTTTCAACTCCATCTTACCGATCCAACCAACACCAACTATACTTCGCTAGTCAATGCAAATATAAATCGTATCGTATCGCATCGCATATAGCTGAGAATCTCCAAGATCCATCTATCTCGTCTTCCAAACTCAGCCAACAAATCTAACAAGCCCAATAACCCTACAATATAAGTATGCCACTTGAAGTAAATAATTCCAAGGGAACCTATTCCAGATTACTCATGCTCATAGCCATAACCATAACCATAACCATAACCATAACCATAACCATAATCACGATCACTTAATTAACACCTCTCAAAATAACCTCTACTCACATCATCAAAGCTATAGAAATACCTCTCTCTATAAACGATCAATCCAACAGAAACCGCAATATTGAATCATCGAGATAGAAAAAGATAAGTCGTTCTAGTTATCATCGAGCATTAAACCACCTAAGTATTTAATAGAGAAGCAACCATGAAATTATCTATCGTCTCCGCTTTTACATTTGCCGGTGATATGAGCGAGTACATTCCGCTTTTCGGCCTGGAATTTTATACTGCACAAGCTTCCAAGTCCCTATCGACAGTCATTAGGGCTACTACACCAGATCCAGGATTTTCATATGAATCATATGTAAATCTAAAAGACTACTGCAGAGTGACAAGGTGATATGAATAGTATAAATTTCTCAAAGACAACCATGATAAATACTCCGTTTCTGTTCGGGCAGTAATTCTAAACATCTGCATATCTTGACATTAGGATTGTAATTTATGTATTCCGCAAGCACTTAGGGCAGTCTTGTAACAAGCCTGTCGCCTCGTTACATCCACACCGTCATCGAAATGCCTGGACTCGGTAAAATCATAAGGGCTGCTTGAGCATGCTGATGCGTCGAAGACACTATGTAGGTTGTTATGTCTTACCGAATGCACTTATCAATATTAGCTGGGATGACTAATCATAGAAGTCAAGTCTAGCATTGACCGTGACCCATCTTGTAGATTCTAAATTCTAATTTGATACATAAGAGAAAAAAGTAAGATCGAGAACCCCCCCATTTTGCCATACCCAAGCTCCTAATCAATGAATTTACAGTCGGGGCGCCCACTAGCAAATCCCCACTGTGTATGCTTTTGCTTCTTTTGGGCATGTGCTTTTTTGTATCATTTATAGTGAAGATAAAGAGAGGGAATGGCAATAGATCAGAGGAATATGATGGTAAGATTCTAGACTTACGTAGTTTGTTCTGATAGCGGCTGAACGTGGAGAAGAATGAATGGATGGGACTATGGCTAGTCATATCTTTTGGGAGTAAGGTCTATCAACGCCCGAGAACAATGTTTAGTGATGCAATCTAGGCATCGCAAGGGAAAAATCAAGGGCAATAAGTTGAAACATTCTCTTGTTACGAGGTAAAAATCAGCATCAACTATAATAGCTGCATTTAGACGCTGTCAGCACTGGCGACAAGCATTCCCCTTTAATATCTGTAATGACAGCGGGCTCCACATATTACCATCTGATCATCCAACTCGAACGGGACGACCGGAACCAAAATACACTTCGCATAGCTATGAGGTTACCACCATGTCATCCAATGAATTTTTCTTTGAAAAGATTTGTTGCACATCGACATATCTTCGGTCCCGAAAGCTCATCTCACATCTCGCGAGGCGGGCCGTCAGATGCGAGATGATTGGTCGCTTATCACGACGGCGTCGTTGGATCTTTCTACATTCGATATTAAAAACTAGCACGAAAGAGCTGAACACAGATAATGCCTCAAAGAGTATATTCGGTCCCGAGGATTGCGAGGATGCGAGTGGGATGTTTTTGGTCGATGATGATTACATATTGCAATTTACAATGCAGAATGATCCGAAACGGTATGCTTGTGCCACATTCCGGGAACTCGGTACTTAAACAAAATCTGGACAGCGGTGATGTATAGACTCTTTTGGCGCTTTGAATTATTCAACTGACAGATATCTATGTCGAATACTTCGAATGAAGAGGTACTCCTGGTGCTCGGGCGACTAGAATATATTCCCAGTAGAACTCCGACTCTACGCACACACTACAAAATGGACGGTAGACAACAGTAACATCCTATAACTAGTGATTTGGCATTAGCAACACGAGTACAGTATTCTTTTTGCCTATCCAGTAACATTCCAATAGCAGGACGAGGATTTCCAACTCTCATACCGTATTGATATCTGGATCTCAGCTTCCACTTCTTGGACCCACTCATTCAGACCAAAGAATGAGGTTATTAGGTGAGTCGTACCAAAGATCACAAGCTGAACTAAGCCCGAATTAATAATTTCGTCCTAGATGCGTCCACATGAGATAAAAATTTTGGTGGTAGTTTACGTGTACTGGCATGAGGCTCGTAGATTGGCTTTGTGTTCTTGCCAGGATTGATACCGGCTGCCGATTAAATCGGAAGAAAGAATATCCGACATTTCAGATTTCCTTCTTACACACAACACAATACCTGTGTGAACTTCAATATGCTTCTTTTCATGAATATCTAGCCCACCAGAGTATCCAATACCACTGTAGAGCTTATCTACTCTCTTGATCTCATGTTCGCGCAACCCAAATATATCAGCACCGGCTCTGTTATATGTGTTACACATCCATGAATTTCTCATACACAATTTAAAAGCATTACAATTAAGAAATCAATCTTTTAGTAGAAAGTGGTCTCATATTTTCAACACTATTCCTCATCTAACACGGAGATGTGCCTAGTTAATAACTAGCTAAAGAGAGCAATCTATTTGATGAAAAAAAAAAAGCGCAAGATAAAAGCACATACAAACCATGGCCTCCATCTTTCAATAGATGAACCCAGGAATGTGAAGCAATCTATAATACTTTCCGCCCAACTTCATTCCTCAGTCTAATTCATAGTAATGCCACCCAATTTTTGTTAAGATAAAAGAAAAAAGAGGAATCAGATTACAGAAGAGGTTTTGAAAGGGTACGCAGAAATCATAAAAGGCAATTCTACCCTCCCTACCCTTTTAAAAAGACAACCAAACGCCAGAAACGACCATAGGATGAATGTACGTGATTTCGTCGTAGTCAGTGATGTCGGTTACCGAGGGTCGTCATTGTCGATCTCCGGTTTCGATCGAACAGGATTGGACATCTTACCAACGTCTGCCTCCACCTAAAGGAGCAGCGTTAGAAGATGAGAAATTGCCTACCAGCGGCTCTGTTAGTCCCATCTTTTGATGGAACAAGAGAGTGTGTGAAGGTAAAGGAGTTTAGAAAAACTTACCACCGCCACCACGTCCACGGCCACCGCCGTAACCACGTCCACCATATCCTCTACCACCGCCACCACCTCCAAATCTGGTCATCTCAGCAAGGCGAGGATCAATGACCTGCTTAGCTTCAGTAAGAACGTTCACGAGATCACGGGCCTGCTTTTGATCTAAATCATTTTGTTAGCTGATGTAAACTTCAAAGCGAATAGGAGACATACTATCAGTGGTGAAGAGAGTGATTGCAGTTCCCTTTTGTCCAGCACGACCTGTACGACCAATACGATGGATATAATCCTCCGAATTGTTAGGGTAGTCATAGTTGAACACATGAGTAATGTTTCGGACATCTTTATTGATGGGTTAGCAAGAACAGAAAGAATTGGTATAGCAACGGTCCAGGGCGGCTAATGAAGAAGCTGCATTTGAATGCATCCAATACTCTCTCGGCGACTGGCATGAAACTGTCCAATGCGGCTTATGCCAGGGTAGGTGATCCACACATCCAGGCTCTCAGGGGATGGGAGTCTTGGAGACAGCTTGATCAAGTCAAGAGATGCCAATTCCATATCTGGTACCGGTTAAAGTACTGTCGAGTTTGGAATTACGAGCGCAGCACGGTCATGCTACACTAAGGATCCAAGACACCCTAAAATTAGAGAACCAAAAGACACGATAGAGCCCGGGCAATATAACGCAATCTAGGAAGCACCGGAGCGTCGAGAGTAAAGCACTACTATATAGTCTACTGGGCGTTGCTGTGAGGGGGGAGGGGGTTTCAATCATACCAATACCACGCGAAGCTACATCAGTAGCAACCATGATCGGGCTCTTGCCAGTCTTAAATTCATTCAATACCCAATCACGCTCATTTTGTTGTTTATCACCGTGAATGGCTAAATGTTGTTAGTAATGTTTCATGAAGATTTTGCACTAGTACTCACAAAGCGCCGGCCATCCATCTTGTCTGAGGAAGCGTGTGATATCGTCAGCAACACGTTTGGTTCCTGTGAAGATCAGAATCTTGTTATCCTTGTCTTCCATAATTTTTTCCAAATGCTTGGTCATCTTATCGCGTTTCTCGAACTCAGAAACAACTTCGACGATTTGAGTAATTCTGTGGTTAGCGGAGAGCTCCAATGAACCAATGTTGACCTGAATGAAATCATTCAAGTAATCAGAGGCGAGGGCTCTAACTTCCTTTGGCCAAGTAGCAGACCACATGCAAGTTTGCCTGTCTGGTCTGATCTGTCCAAGAATCTTACGGATTTGGGGTTCAAAACCCATGTCCAACATACGATCAGCCTCATCGAGAACAAGGTACGTAACACGACGGAGGTTGGTCTTTCCAGACTCGATCATATCAATCAGACGACCTGGAGTAGCAATGCAGACCTCAACACCCTTGGCGAGATCACGGATTTGACCACCTTTAGGAACACCTCCGTAAACACAGGTGTTGCGGATGCGGGAAGACTTTCCGAATTTGGTAATTTCTTGTTGAATTTGGACAGCCAACTCACGGGTAGGTGCAAGGACCAGAACAATTGGACCGTCACCAGGAGCGAGAAGTGGTTGTGCGTTGATGTGAACAATTGCTGGGAGACAGTAGGTGAGAGTCTTTCCGGAACCGGTTTCGGCAATACCGACAACATCACGTCCAGATAAAGCCATAGGCCAACCTTGAGATTGAATTGGAGTAGGTGCTGGGAAACCTTGAGCCTTGACTTCTGTCATGACGTATGCAGGAAATCCGGCCTCGTCGAAGGTCTCGACAGGTTTTGGAATGTTTGGACCTTGAACGGCAATGTTGTGTTGAGCTCTGAATTTAGCAACATCTTCTTCTGAACGAGCAGCGACAACTGGGTCTTCTTTGTAGAAAGATTTCTCGAACTTTGGCAGAGTGTTGAGATCTACATATAAAAGTTAGCATTCTATCGTGAGATCTGTTTATTTGTAGCTTTTCGAACCCACCCCAGTTTTGTTTTTGAAGGTTAGCACCAAGGTTGTTCATGCGATCTCCACCAGCACCACCACCACCACCGTATCCACCGCCCCCTCCGTAGCCGCCACCACCTCCGGAGTAGCCGTTTACATTTCCACCACCACTGCCGCCTGTGAGAATTGTTAGCAATGATTGCAAATGGATGATAATTTCGTTTGCCTACCTCTACCACCTCCGTAACCACCTCCACCGCCTCCAGAGTATCCATTAGATCCACTACAGATTGCACGTCAGTAAATATTCACATGCAAATTGAAATCAGAGAAAAGGGGAGATGGTGCTACACTGTGAATGTGATGAAAAATTAGGCTTCAACTTCAAAGCGAACGCTAGCCTGAGCCAATCTCGCACACACACACAATGCAACGCGATGCGCGAAAACTTATCAACAATTTCTAGACTCGTAGGCTTTTGCATACCCATTTGAATATCCATTGGAGTAAGAGTTGCCTCTGCCATATGAGGAATCTCCATTTCCATACCCATTACCGCCACCACGGCCACCACCATATCCACCTCCATATGACATATTTGCGATAGGTATTGAGAGTGAGAAATTGAAGGAGAGATTGAGTTTATGATTGTGATTTAAAAGTTGCTTTGATTGTTGCTGCAAAAGTGACTCCTTGGGTTGATGAGAAGAAGTCTGGCAGATGAAATGATTGTTGTTGATGAGAAAGTTGTCAAAAATAATGGAAGATGAGAAAGAAGATTGAGTAAAAAAAAGGTAGAAAGGAAACTGCGCTAAATCTATTTTAGGTTTAGTTGTAGATACGTGTGGCTATACCAATAGAGATCTAGCGTCATTTGAATTTTTTTTTGTTTTTGGACCCTGAAAAAAGATCTCCCAGAAGTTTTCCAGTTCAACCCAATTTTATCGACTTTTTTCTTTCTCTTGAGCCAATCAAAACAATAGAATTGTCTCAAAAATGTTATAAATCCCTGATTGCAATTTTTCTTTCTCTCCCCATTTTCCACCTCCAGCTAGGAACATCCACGCTTGAAAACTTTTTGAATTTACTACTTGCCCTTTTTGTTGTCCGGTAGTGTACTTTGAAAAATCTATACGTAGGTTGGAAGGGTAAGTATTGTAAGACATTTCTTACCCACATATTGCTGTTTTTTCTGTCTTTCGATGCTGCTTTAAACAACTCGAATAGATATTGAGTTGTTCCCCCCCAAAACTTCGAATCTTGAAGTTTTCGATTGGATTTCAACAAATTTATGATTTTGAAGCTTTTGAAGCTTGTAAAACTTGATTAACTTCTCTTGATAACCTTAGAATCAAACTTTGAATATAAAAATTGATAATTCCGAATGATTTTGAATGATTTTATTAGAAAAATGAAAATTTACAATACTTTAACCACCTAGATTTCACTATATAAAATTTCAACTAGCGTGATGATATTATTGGTCAAAACCCCTGTAAATGAGGAAGCACAGTCATTTTTTTGGTGTGTCTTACAATACTTTCGCCATCAACCTCCGTACTCTTCCTCCACCGCCACCCATGTCCCAAAATCCTGTCTCCATCTTGTAAGGTAATTAATTAGCAAGTGTTTCCAAAGATATGTTTCGTTTCTACTCCGTAATAAAGACCTCCTTATCGCCTATTCCTCACATGTCTATATTTGATACAACACATTCGACGAAAGTAGACGCAGGGAAAGTTGTGAAAGTGTGAACTTATCCGATTGATTTACAAAATAATAATCAAAGAGGAAGAGATATATACGTACCTTTGTTGCATGAATGAATATCTTGACCAGTTCCTCTATCCTGTTGGGTGACTGCAAGACAGCATATTTCTCAAGCAAAGCTGCCCAAATCGTTAATTCTGTCCAATCCCATGAGCCATGGGGTTATCATATCAATTACCTGATCCGACTTTCACTGCTTCCGTATAATCATCTGCAACATAATTCTCTATCCATTTCCAATAAACATTCCCTTCTCGCTTTGTCTTCGGGTCTGCATGGAGTCGTTTGGCTATCTCTCCATAGCCGATAAGGCAAGGCGCCATGGATATCTGAAGAGCTAACCAGTCTTCAGATTGTCCGATATCGAGGACGTACCTATCATTTTCAGCATTGTGTTGATAACCATGGGAAAAGACATGTACCTTGTGTATGCTGTGCATGCTATTTCAATGCTGTCAAAATCAACTCAATCTGTCGATACTAAGAAGCTTACCTTGACTCTCCTCGCAGGCTTCTATCTCTGCTTTCGTCATGCCAAAACCCTCACAATAATTGATATGTAAAGCCATCTCGCGATGAATATGAAGTACGATACCTGCAGACTTTACCAAAAATCAGTACACAACGTCTCCAGCAAGGGTCTATATCATACTGCAGCAATGCCTTCCATAGTTTTGGCTTTGTATGAAGCTAATGCATTAGCTCTGGCAAATTGCACCTATCAGATGTTAGACCAAATCTATGAAAGTTCGAAAATTCATACGAACAAGATAAAGATAATCTTGAATGAGATAGTACTTGAATGACTCCATTGGTAAGGTTCCATCCCCAATTCCAGCAACAAACGCATGCTCAGTATGGTCACGCCAAGCTCCTGTGACATCCGGTCTTTCTAGAAGATATTCTATGAAATGGCCCCTGCTAATATCAGTTCAGAAACTTGATATCGCCAGCAGAAAACTTACGGAGCGAAAGGTAAAGTGGAAATCGAATGGAAATGATTGATCGGGCCATTACCGTTCCCCAGGTCAGGCGCTGTTCGTATTCCTGCCTCAACATACCAACAAGCACTCCTCACGGCCTGTACTAGGGGTATTCCTTTGGCAATGTTGGAAGCAATAGCGGCTACTCCTACTTAGCTTCTGCTTCACCAATTGACACAAAACAAACTCACATGCCATCGAGCATCCCGTTCCATGGGTGTTTCGCGAGTTTTGATATTTAGTCCGGATTTCTGTGATGACCCCTTCTCCGTACAAAATATCAACCATGAGTTCCTTTTCCTCTTCCTTCGTTGCCACTGTCCCATCTTTCCGTAAAGGCAGATGACCTCCCTTCACCAATACATATCTCGGCCCTAAGGATTGTACCTCCTTCGCTATATTTTTAAGGTCATCCAAATTCTTTGGTTCCTCGACAAACTTGCCAGCATCGGAAAGAAGTAGTTTCGCTTCAGGCACATTGGGTGTGAGTACAGTGGTATAAGGCAACAGCAATTCTCGTAGATGGCGAATAGCTATAGAAGGAAGAAGCTGCGTTCCACTTGTAGATATCATCACCTTTACAATATCAGATAAATTGCATATATTTTTTTTTGGGAAATTAACGCACAGGATCAACAATCAAAGTCTTTACGTGATGTCTCTTTAATGCTTTCGCCACCACTTCTACTGTTTCCGCGGAAGCTAACATACCTTCAACATATCGTTAGCCTCTAGAATACATATTATCACAGTCATCTATTCCTCTAGGTGAGATATAAAAATAGATTAATTTACCAGTCTTCACTACATCGACCCCCATATCCCCAATCGTCACATCAATCAACTTCCCCACAAACTCTGCAGGAATATGATGAATATCCTCAACACCTCGAGTATTTTGAGCCGTCAAGGCTGTCGTAGCAGTCATAGCATAACATTCATGTGCCGCGATTACTTTTTGATCTGCTTCGAGTCCGCTGAAAATAGTAGCCGTCAGTCTAGATCTGTGGCGGGGCAAACGTGCAGGAGAGGAAGATTGCGGAGTACTAACGCTCCACCGGAACTGTCAGAACCGGCGATGACGAGAACACGTCCTATTCCCATGGTGAACTTGGTGATGCGGTAAAGTTGTTTATAATTTGTGAGGGGGGAATACTTGTAGGGGTTTGGGAACTCTGCTGGAAAGTACGTAGGGATACAGTTATATTATGTAATCAGCCCTTGGCGAATCTCATGACCTCATCATCCTTCAAGAAATCACTTAACGGGGTGAAGGATTAAAATGGAAATTTGTCATTGGTCTTGGATAAGGCATTTGTATTTACAGTAGGATCGGTAATCTGAATGGTAGTTCAAGACTTTAAATTCATTTAAGTCATACTCTATCTAAAACGAATGTCCAAAATTAAAAATGTAACCCGTTCGCTCAAATAACTCCATATAAGTCTAGTACCCTACTTTTGGGCCACCCCTAATATAGGCCACCTTTTTATATCAAAAATCGACATTTTCAACTATTAATAACTTTATAATTAATGATTGAAATCAATTGAAATTTGAGTTAAAAGTTTATTGTATAATTATTAATAGATTCTGAAAATTTCAGATTTTTTATGATTTTATTGATTAAGATATTGATATGTTACGAGGTTTGTGTTACGAGGTTTGCCGTCTAGATCACGTGGAAGTGCTCTAGGCTCTCGAGGTGGTTTATAACTAGGCGTCAAGCAGGGACTCAAAGTAATGACAATAATGCAATTCGTAACTAATAGTAGAGTATACTAAATGATTGATCTTGAGCACGAAGTTTTATACAAAGGAAACCATCCTGATTATATAGACCTTCGTCCTTCATTGGATCTCTTGGATCCTGAGAGTTTATGGACCTACGATTTGTATCCTTGAATATGCAGGGTCCATCACGTAACTTGGATCAGACTATATGTCCAAGCTTGCTGAGGGTGGGGAGATCTCGTGAGGAAGTTGTCATACAATTTTGTATGTAAATTTCCTTGCTTTTCCATAGGGTCGAAGCTTATACGGACAGGTTGACTGTTACCTTCGTAATAGAACAATTCTTATCCTGGGATAATATAGCTTTTAGGATAATTGTCCTGGGACAAATATTATCTTAGGATACTTTATCCTAGGACACTAATCCTATACCTTCATGATTGCCTAATCGTTTTGTCCTAGGATAGTTATTATCCTGGGACACATTTTATCCTAGGACACTTATCCTAGGATTCCTTATCGATAAGGGAACCGCGGTAAACAACAGCCCAAACCTCCGTACTTGTTTTTATTGTATAATATTAGTCGCGGTTCGTGACACTACTACTCCATTATCAAAAAGTAATTATAGAATGGAATTCATTTACATTATTAAGTCTTACTGTATGAATAATTATCACTACAAACCTATTTTATATAATCCGTCCGCTAAATATTTAGATTACTGGTCTGAGGTACCGACTCCCCTACTGCAATATCCTCGTAGAAATATAACATCGATACGCTTGAGTATTTCTATGTTTCCTTTGAAATATCTCTTGTAAGATCTTACTTCCCATCGTTATAATTTTCCTTCAAGGTTAATAATGAGTGTTTGTAATATAAAGGAATGGAAATTCGCTCTTCCCTGGATTTTCTAAAACTGATGCGATCTCTTCTTCGTTAAATAGGGGGAAAAAAGTATGGTTCAGGTTCATATCAGGATCTATTTTTGGATTGCAGGGCTTGTGAGACTTGGGGATACTTGCAAAATACCTGTACAATGGTTAGTCTAGTAGATTTGGAACACCAATATTCCTAGTGTCTAGAAAGATGATAACATATACACAAGGTAAACATATCTGCACTTTCCTTCGACCTACCACATTTTCCACAAGTACACAGTACCATCTGGGTCTTTCTCAACTCTCACTCCTGCCTTCCACGTCTTTGCAAGTAGTGCATCAAAAGTTTGCCGAAAGAGTTTCCAGCAGATAGATTCACAAGTATTGTAGCATATGCATGCATGGTAGGCTACTTAGCCTGTGTAAATGACAGGAAAATCTTTTACCCAGTATCCATGGTGTTTAGAAAGTGGTTCAAAATCATGCGTGGTGGTAGGATTTGTTATCTTAGATGCGCTCCACTGTTAGGGAAGTGGTTGTTCTGAGATGAAAGGAGAAAAGCTGTTGGAAATGCCAAAAAGATAGAGATGGGAACTATTATATGGTCGAGACACTGCTAGAGCTCGTGGAAAAAGCATTGCCCTGGCGATGGGATGCATTGTTTCATTGGCAAGTATGACGAATGAATGGTGATTTTATGTGAACAAAGAGTTCATGGTCAAGACCTGATCTCTATACAGAATTGGAAGGTAAAGACAAGAAATTTTATGATCAAGAGGTTCACTTGAACGCGCCGCAGGAAGTCAATCAGATCTGAGATGAATCTGCTTTGTTAATTAGAGGTTGATTCTCACAATAATTGGTCTGTTTGAGCTCTTATGTTATACTTGATCCAGTTCCCTGTGATCCATACCCAGACTTTATCTATACACTGAATTTTCCGTGGAATTTTTCCTTTGTGATATAATGCTGCGGTCATATAAATATCATGTTCGATGAGAACTTTAGTATCTACAGTACACACTTGCAACCGATGTAGATAGAAGTAGCACAGACATTTCGGTGACCCTAGTAAAAGCTTGACGAGCCAATCGCCGTGACGGTGCCAAGTAAGCGCAGCCTCCTTTATCCATGGCTGATATATGGTTGTATTACCAATCAAAGCTGCATTATGGCTCAACGTTATTCAATTGAGTTTGCAAAGCCTGATTCATCTCATGGTCCACCTTGGCTAAATAAGATTTCCCCGCCTTTGGATTCACAGTCACACCTGGCAATCGTCATTCGAAAATTAAGTTCATCACAAAGTTAACATATCATATCGAAGCATCGTTCCACCTAGAATTCAACCAACACATTCTGAGTTAAGGTTTTATATGGGGAATGGTTGCTTTTTCCAAGTGGGGAGTGAGTGACCGTTAGGCAGTTATCTGGTAGCTGGGTAATGATTTGGGGTGTAGGATGTAAGGTGCATCATCTCAATATCATCAAAACATTTATATTGATTGAAAGAGGGAGGGGAGGGAATTGATCGATATAAGAGTTACTGGATTGTAAGGAATAATGATAGTGATAATGATGGTTGGAAACTCTTCAAAGAATTCGATAATTAGTATTATTGCAATATCCTTTTCGGAATAGAGTTGGAATCTATATCAATCGATTTTCTAGGATTAGTAGAATTTTTTGATATATGTTTTGCTGGGCTGAGGAGGTGGCTGTGAAGTATAACGGTAATAATGGGTGTTTAGTTTCTATCGATATTTGTCTATTCCCTCTCAGCCTCCTGGTAAGAACATTATCTTAAGGGAGAGAGGAATAAGATTATATAATCATCGAGTGATGTTGCTGGTGCTCACTCTCCGTCAAAGAGAGTAACTTTATTATGCTTTTCCTAGTTTAGTTAAAGTGGTCTAAGCATCCTAGACTAACCAATACCACTCTTCGCATATCTTATGAGCAACATTGCTAGCTTCGGGTGTTTCGTAAGACTGCCGAGATCTTACAAAATCTAGACTGCAAACCCGGTTTACGTCTTGAAGGATTTCTCCTCTTCTTCCTCTTGTCCAACTCGGCTTGATTAAAGCTAATCGTCGAGTTCCTACGACAGCTTCTCATGTCACACAAATATCATTCAGATGTCGCCGAGATATGATCTCTCGCTTTCAATTCCGAGACATTAATTTTCATTGTTTGACTTCTTCACTGCACTTCCTGATGTCGGGGAATAAATTATCCTTAAACATACGCTTGAGAGAACCACGCGTCACCTCGTAGGTTTGACTTCTTATCCTCCTGCCAAGTGAGGCAGTGTGCTTATCTTGGGCTGCAACTTTATTTTGACATATAACTGTGCTTCAGTAGTATTGACTCCCCCTGCTGAGGAAGCTAATGCTAACAGGTATATAAATCGTTATGTTTCCTTGACTATCGCATCATTTTTAGTACATCCTGTGAATTAATTGCATATAATTTCAACGATGTTTCTTTCCCGTACTCTCGCAGCTGTTATACTAGCTTGTATGTAATAATTTTCTCTTGCTTCTCCAAGCTAACACTAGTCAATCAGCATCTACGATATCCGCTCAACAAGTCTCCCACTGCTCGGATGATGTATGCTTTGCCGTCAACGTACCAGCCTCGGCTGCTTCGAGTGGCTCAGGAGACATATATATCCAAATGAGTGGACCGAATACAATGTCTTGGATAGGCATTGGACAAGGTTCTGCTATGAGAGGTTCCAATATCTTTGTCATGTATGCAGATTCGACTGGGAATAATGTCACACTCAGTCCTCGGCGAGGTGTTGGGAATGTACAACCAAACTTCGACGGATCTACTCAGGTTACTCTACTTGATGGTTCCGGAATAATAAATGGTCGAATGATAGCTAATTTTAGATGTAAATTCGTGATCACGACTATTAGTCATTCATTCTAACTATTCGAGCAGGCTCGAATTGTAATAGCTGGAATGGTGGATCAATGAGCTTTGTCGATGATTCCTCTCAATGGATTTGGGCGCATAGGACCGGACCTGCATTGTCATCCGACAGTGTTAATGCAAATATTGGATTTCACGACGGATATGGATTCGCAAGTTTGAACTTACAGACGGCTGCTGGCGGAGAAAGCGCGAATCCATTTTTGACGACTGAAGCCGTTTCTACACCTACCCAAACATCATTTGGATCTAGTCAAGCCGCCACTGGACTTTCCGATTATACAAAAGTTCTCATCGCACACGGGGTCTTGGGTTCCCTTGCCTTCGTAATTTTATTCCCTTCAGGTGCGATAGCAATCCGGATCTGCAATTTCCGCAATTTGCTCTGGCTCCATGCCGGATGGATGATTGGCGCTTACATGATTGTACTTACATCACTTGGAATGGGTGTATGGTTGGCCAATACACGTCAACTTCTAGGCTCAGCCCATGCAATCATAGGTCTTACTGTTGCTGGATGTTTGTTACTTCAACCCATCTCCGGATTGACGCATCACATGCTCTACAAGCGTCACGGTGGTCCAAGTATCGCAACTTATCCTCATGTATGGTGGGGCCGTGCGGTTATTACTCTTGGTATCATCAATGGTGGTTTGGGTCTGAGATTAGCAGGTAATAGTAAAGAGGGCGAGATCGCGTATGGAGTAGTAGCGGGTTTTATGTGGGTTTTGTGGATGGCGGTTATTCTTCTCGCAACAATGAAAAGCAGAAGTCGCCGTGGTGGTAGTATGGACCGACGTGGAAACTCGGTGATAAAGGAGAAGTCCAGCACGGAAGCATCGTACTTTCATGATCAAACGCCGCCCCCTCAGTCTAGCAGCCTGCCTATTTCTCATCATGCCTAGGTTTTGTTAGATTTCTCGGCATATAAAAGATGGGATTCATGATAAAATCCATGGGAAATACTCGATATGTTTGATGATAGTGACGATAACAAATGTATATTTAAAGGGGACTGTCAGTCTAGTACCCTACTTCTGGGCCACCCCCTAATATAGGCCACTTTCCTCGCCAAAAATGACGAAAATCAACTTTTATAACTTTCTTATTTATTGATATAATTTAATAAAATTTGAATCATATATTTATTACTTATATATGCTACGAAGTTTGCCGTCTAGATCACGTGGAAGTGCTCTAGGCTCTCGAGGTGGTTTATAACTAGGCGTCAAGCAGGGACTCAAAGTAATGACAATAATGCAATTCGTAACTAATAGTAGAGTATACTAAATGATTGATCTTGAGCACGAAGCTCTATACAAAGGGAATCCATCTTGATTATATAGACCTTCGTGCCTATGGCTAGTCAGGACCGCGAAGCGGTCCGTAACGTGACTTAAGGTCATGTTACCCTAAGTTAGTCATGTGACGCGGCGTTTGATGATAACCGTCGTAACAAGAATGTAGGTAAACTAATTGATAACTAAGTTGAGCACGAAGCTCCTATACTATGAAACTACTCTGATTATATAATGAACGATAAAGGGAGCCCTAGAAGCTTTCTGGCTCCTTAAAGCTCCTGGAGCTCTAGGACAAGTGTCCTAGGATAAAATGTGTCCTGGGATAATAACTACCCTAGGATAAACGATTAGGCAACCATATAGGTATAAGGATTAGTGTCCTGGGGCCAATAGGGACCACGTGATGGAGCCTCTAGGAGCGCAGGCTCCTCAGGGCTCCAGGAAAGGATTCATTATATAGTCAGAGTAGTTTCATAGTTTACGAGCTTCGTGCTCAACTTAGTTATCAATTAGTTTACCTACATTCTACTTGATCTAGTAACGACTTCACTTCCAAGTGAATACCAGTGATAAAGCCTTAACCCATAACTACCAACCGACGAACCTTAGGCAGCCGCTGCCTCCAGTACAGTAGCGTTACAAAAATATTCCATCCTTTCTCTCTTCTCGCTTACTCTTCTATACCCTCTCAATTTTCTCTTCTTCCTTCCGTTTATTCCAATATCCATTAATATCTCTCTTCTCTCCTCTCACCCTCCTACCCCTTTCAATTCTCTCACCATCCTCTTTTCCTCCCACCCTACTCATCAAAATCCACACCTTACCTTTCCCCTCTAATCCCTTTTCTTCATCTCTCCTTCTCTCCTTCCCGCCTCCACTTTCCTACCCATTTAAATTCATCCCTTTCCCTCCCCTTCTCTCTTCACTCTTTCATCAATTAATATCCGTCCTCTTCTCTTCTTCCATCCTCTCTTATTTTTCTCTATCCGAATAATTAAATATAATCTATAATTTTTTTTAAAATATCCCTCCCCTCTATCCCGCTCCTCTATCTCTCACCTCTTCTTTCTCTTCTTCTTTTTCCTTTTCTCTCTATAAAATCCCCCTTCTCTTCCCCCTCTCCTTCTTATTTTTTTGATTCCTTCCCTCTTCTTCTATCTATATAGCCAAAACCACATCCCCAAAACCACACATCCCAATGATTGCCACATATCCCAAATCCATAAACAAAAAATCCCCCCACCTACATAAAGCATACCTCCCCTCCCCCCTCCTCCCCTGCTCTTCTTTTCCCCTCTTATTTATATCCATTCCCACCACCGCCTATATATATCGGTACCATAGTTATCAAACATTCCTCCCCTTCCATCTCCTCCTTTTCTCTCCTCCCTTCTTTCCCTTACTTATACATATCTAAATCCATATGTGAAATATCCTCCCCTCCTCTTCTTTTCCTCCCTTCCCCCTTCCATTCCCTTCCATCTCCTCACCTCACCTCTTTTCTTTCCCTCTCTTATTCTTTTTATATAAATATGAAACCTTAAACCGAAAACACTCATCTCCATCCCCATTCCCACCCTACCTATGTATATAAAACATTCCTCTCCTCTCCTTTCCTTAATTTCCTCTCCTCCCCTCTCCACCCCCTCCTTTCCCTCCTTTCCCTATTTCCCTCCTTTCTTCTCCTCTATCCCTCCAAATCCCACCTCACCATCCCAATCCCCACTCTATCTACACAAAACACTCAAAATATGCAAAACATTCCCCATCCATCCCAAATTCATCCATCCAAATCCACCCCAAAAATCCAAGACATTCCCAAACCCTCACCCTCACTGAAACCCTCGTATCGAGAAACAAAATCCCACCAACATCCATCCTACCCACTTCCCAGAAACATCCCAACTATTAATAACTCCAAACTCAAACTCAAGCTCAAAACCCAATAAACATCAGACGAACATTCGAACCAAACTTTTCCCCATCTCCATCTCCAATCATCTATTTCACTCCACTCCACTCCATTTATTATACCTACACAATATACTATATATACTCAATACTCAATACTTTATCCTTTACACTCTACACTCTACTTTCTCGATTTCCCTTCAAATAAATTTTAATTCCACTCCATACACAATTCACACAATCCACCCAATACACAACACACAGCCCACACAATTCAAGCACAAAGTCAAAGTCAAATTCAAAGCCAAAGCAATTCAAAATCAGTTATAAATAAAAAAGACATTAAGATCATTCATTAATCTCATCATAAAACGTAAAAATCTTTAAGTAATTTCTCTCTCTCTCTTTGTGATGTGCTTGTGCTTCCATGACTTGTGAACTGTCTTCTTTTGTATAAAAAAAAAGCAGACAAATGAAAAAGGAAAGAAAGAAAAAAGAAAAAGAATTGAAAAAAAAAATTCAAGTCGAAAAGAAAAAAAAACCATTTAAAAGAAAAAGGCGCCATCATAATTTTTAAGAAATTACGTAGAATACATTAAGTACAATTATCTTGATCTTGATCTTTTTAGTTTGTTCGAAAAAAAGAGTTTCTTATGTTGCTCTCCCTCCGTTCAAAATTGAGGAGGGTAGGTAGGTTGTGTGAATATCTCCTTTCTCTTCCAATTCTAACCTATAAAAGAAAATGATCCATCACGATTTCGATTGTGAGTTTTATTGTAGTAAATATATGAACGACGCCAAATACCCTGAATCCTTCCTTAGTAACACCTTGCTTTGCCGTTCATGGAGTTGATCGAAGTACTGAGGAATTGTCGATGAGCGATTTAAACAAGAAAATTTTCGGTATTGGTATGTAATGGGATTGGGTCTGAGACGAAGATGTCATTTACAACATGGCGTGGTGAAATGCTGAAGGTGGAATGGAAGTCTATATGCAAGATGAATGTATGAGGATCCTCCGTATGTTCATGTGATTTGAGTGCGGTAGCCCAGAGAAAAAGAAAAGAAAGCAAAGTCGTGGGAAAATTTATGACCAGCTTTCCTTTTCCTTTAAACCACCGATGCGATCCATATCGATAGATTGAAATCTGGTACCTCCAGTCTCCTTTTCATAAGCTGGTAGTGAGTCCTCCTTCAAGGGTTCGAGACCAACTCCGGTTTCTCCGACACGAACAACAACCACGCGACCACGTTTCTTACTTCCTGTGGATTCGTCATGTTCATCAGGGAAAGTGATGCGAATTTCGGGAACATCTTCAGGTGAGCGTGATGCACGGTCTGAGTCCATCATGGATGACTTCTCATCATAGACATGAATGGTGGAACCGCGACCACCATATGGGGTAGCGGTAATAGTTAATCGGCGGTGGTGTGATCTTGGTGGATCGTTATGTAAAGGTAATTGCTGACGAGCAACGGCTCTGTTTCGACGAATCTTTCGCACAACATATAGAGCACCTGCCAAGACAAGTCCAATGAATACCAAGATCATCAAGGCAGCAAGAAGGTTAACCATTGAATTTGACATGGTGGTAGTTGAAGAATCGTCACGGACGTTGAGAATAGATGCGCTTCTGATTTTGAGAGTGGATATCGAAGCCATATTGAATATGATTATGTAAATGAATGGATGAAGTTATTATTATTGCTTCGGGTTGTCGTTCAACGGGTCGTTATTTGAGTATCAATGTCATAAACACAATAGCAAAGATCGAGGAGAGTATTGACGTTGACTATGGCTATGGCTATAGCTATAAGAAATGATGATGTTAGTCCATGTTATTTAATCCCATGTGTCATGATAGGTCGAAGCTATTCATAGTCTTCCATCCTTAAATTGTCTCTCCATTTGTGTGCAGGTACTCCGAACTGCGACAACATATTGTGTAGCGCATCTCGATCGCTCCCTAGATATTTACCTCGCAACAACAATAATGATGATAAGCAAATAGGAACAACTTACACAAAGAGTAAGAAGTTCCAAACAAGACAAGAGCAACAATAACTGCTGACCAAAGTAATGAATGATTGGAGTAATATTCGCTGAATCTCCTAATAAATTTTTTGATTGATCTCTTCCGGAACTGTGTGAGTTGGGCTGGCTGGACCTTTCGAAAGAATGGACGGTTAAAATCAACTGAAAAGAGTGAAGTTGATTAAAACCTAGAAATGAATGAGGATGTTGAGGCAGGTAGTTTTTTTGGTTGAAAAGAATGTGGAGATCCCGAAGGAAGGAGCGATTATGTGTTGTTGTCTTGTCTTTTTCTTGTTGAAGGGATTTTGAAGATTGTCGAGATGAGATGGAGACTTCCTCCAGTTATATTATGAATATGAAGAAGCGATCGAAGTTGAGGTAAAGGTAAAAAAAAAAAAGGTGAGTGAAAAAAAAAGTAAAGGAGGAAGGGGAGGGTTGAAGGTGAAAAGGGAAATTGTGCAAGCGTAAATATAAATGCAAGCCTCATTTTCTTTTTACTCTTTTCATCAGTGACTACCTACTTAACTAATAAGTTAGCTAGCAAGCAGACCCGATAGGAACAGCGAGTCAAACCAGCCAATACGAACATCCATATCAATAGTAATTCACTATTTACCCTCTTTAGTCAAGTCGATCCGATCCTAATAATTCCATTTCATAAAGAGTCAGTCAGTCAGTCAGTCAGTCAGTGGAATTGGAAGCAAGCTTGAATAAAAAAACGGAAAAGTTGAACCGTGCAATTTTATACATCATCTGCAGTTCGTACTGTACCTGCTTTGAAAAGATCCACTCCGTTCATTTCATCCACTTCCATCCACTCATTCGACTCCACTCATCCATGAAAGCCGATTTTATCCCTAGTCTAGAACCCTTTTAATTCCCTATGAACAAAAACGGTCGAAACATCTTAGTACCTTACTGCTACTAGATCTCTGATTGATTGAACGAGCGCCCATGGGTCCAATTTGTCAAATATGGAGAAAAAGGGACACCCGAGTAACATTAAACCCTCAGCGACCAATGGAATCCTCCCATGATTCTCGTTAAGAATCTTAAGGTTGCATGTGCCCCATCCAACCCATGCTCCACCGAACATCAACGTGCATGGTACCTGACAACAGGTACAATTTTTAAAATGAGCCTTTCCCACTTTGTCCGTCCTGTCTGTCTGTACCTGGATGGGATGGAATTGAGCGAGGACCTCTCTGTGTAGGAAGAGTTCTGGAATTAAATCTTGGTTCCTTTTCACTGCCCTTTTTGCATTGGCCTCATTCATCATCTCGTCATCTCATCATTTCATAATTCATCAAATCTAGAGAATTCCATGGAGGATCTCAAACTTCCGAGGTTTAACTAGACTGACTGACTGTAGCTAATTCCTGAGTACGAACGAAAGAAAGTGTGTAATGTTTCTATGAATAGATTCATTTATTAGTAAAGACGATTGATTCTCTCCTTAACAATCTTAACTTTCGGTAGTCTAATCGTTTAATCCATCCTAGAGAGTAATGAAGCAGACAAAAGACAAGCTCGGAATAATTTTATGCTCATGATTATTATGTTTTTCAATAATCCTCATCTCAACTCACACTTTGCTTTGCTTCTATCGATATTTCAATCTCGAACCGCCGATAGATCTCTCCAAGCGTGTATCTATTGGAAAAGACCCCGGCTTCTTATCCAGATCGGGCATCCAAGCAGCTCGTGAGCGGTTATTATTTACTCTTTATGGATTTGTGAAGTGTTGGAGATGATTGATAGGAGAGAGATGCATTTCCCTTCTGTCAGCGTGCTTTGAATGATAATGTGGTTATTCTTGTTGGTGATTATCAAAGGTTGAATGAATGGTTATTAATCATTGATGCAGTGAAGCGAAATGCATAAATTCCAATTCCCGCACTGTAGGATGGCAGTGGGATGGATGAATGCAAGTGCAACTGCAACATAACTCAATGTGTACCTCTTCTCGTACTTATTATTAATACCTACGGCAATTAATTAGTGAGATAATGCCGAACTTACCTTGATCTGCATTCTTTCATGATGAAAATCTGCTTTATGAGATGTGTCGTAACTGTCGTTCATCCGAGTTATCGCATCAATGGCATTATTATGGGTATTCATCCATATGGCATACGTCAAGCTCAATACCATCATTCAAGGTTCAATGATGTTTCCGTCCCGTCAAAAGCGGAGATTCCATTGTCGCCAAATTTAACCTCCCTTCCCTCATGAATTGTATTATCCAATGGGGGAGGAAATGAAATATGCTTAAATAATAAAACCTCCAAGAAAACAAAATCGACCTCTCGAATATCGCAGATGAGGATCTTCATCGTTCTTAATTGGAAGTTTTTGGAATTACGAAACTTTCTCCCCTTACTGCAACCCCAAGGCGCGACTTGACCTTTTTCCTGGGGTTTGTGCCGTATCAATTGACCAATTACTGGGGAGAGCACGGATGATATCGTCGGAGTGCAGAAGCCATGAAAAGCCATGAAAGCCGTGGAAGCCGTGAAATTCTTTGCTTGTTTCTCCATGGATAGCGGTCAGGCTTCGAGGCTGATTGTGAGGAAAAATTATTAATCGTGCGCGCGTAGATGATCAATCAGTTGTGTAAAGAAAGAAGTGTAAAATCGTGTACGAAAGATATTGGGGAAACTCTCGATATACCTGGCGGATACTCGTTGGGTGCACTCGTAATATTCGTAACACTAATTAAAGGAGCAAAAAGCGAACTTCGATCTTGACTGCTCAAACTCTCGTATTGTTAAAGTGTCATCACACTGGAAGGCTGAAGGGATACAAAAATAGATACCTACGTAGAATGTCGCAACTACTCTGAACGATCAATCCATCGATCATTTCCATTGTTGTTATAGTTGTAGAGACTTTCTATTATTTCATCTTATTTTAGCTTCCCGTTTTGACATTAAAGCCCTCCGGATCTAGCGTTTTAGGGGACCCGACCGAAGATCCCATTGGCTTGGAATCCAACCGCTCAAAGTATATATCTCGTTTCCGAATTCCGACCGGCAGGAATTCCTTAGTATCGAATATCTCCAAGTATATCAAATAGGGGGGGATCCCGCATCATGAAAGCGATTCTTCGAAATCATTAACGTCAGAATCTCCGATGATGGTATGTATTGTGTTTCCATTAAGGCTGAATTTTCTTAAGTTGAGAAGCTTTCCATCGCTCCAAGTCTTTGCTTTTAATAATCCATATGTATTGACAAGCCTTTGCAGGCCTCGGCCTCGGCTTCAAACTTTTTGGTCCTTGGGTGTGACTAATGATGAACACAACATGCAATCATGCAAGTCATTGATTGATAACCTGGATATCGAATAGTCACGTGTCCCACGAGGCTCTCGATTCCCGACGCACATCAATGTCGTGTAACCTCAGACTCATCGGATGAAAAAAAGAAGCAAAAATCCAAGGAAAACCCGAAAGTCGGCCTCACTTTTCAGTAAATAGCGGTGAACGACAGAAAGGCTGGAAAATTAGGAACAAAGTGTCTATGGTGTATGTCCTAGGTGGCGCATACTTGTCACTTTTCAAACCTAAAGACTCATCTCTAGAGACCTTCTAGCGTGTGATTATATGTCAATACATGGTCTGATCGCCAATGTATCCATATCACAAAGTTTCTTCCTTGCTCTTTTCTTACACAGATCAGACCCGAAGCCAGCAAACGGTGATGCAGATGGAATATCTGATCTCTTACGACTTCGGTATCCATAGCGGAAGGACCAGTTGAATGGAACAGATTTGTTGGATGGGGATACATAGATCTGCAGAATGCACCTAATGCTGTTTCGACGTGGCTGATGATATTCCTCAAGATGATGAAAGGAAAAACTTTGAAATATGCAAGAAGGCGACCTACCCGCAGAATGGGCCACATAACCACTAGTCTTGGTGATGAGAAATTTAATCGTTGGTTGATAACCCCCATATAGGGAAGCTTGCCCGAAACGGCGACATGAAGGCTTCAAGCCTTGAGAGAGGTTATTCTTACGTCGCCCATATGAACGCCACGAGCGAGTAGATTCATCGTTGGCAATCATTGTCATGCGAAGCAATCAAGTGCCACGGTACATTTATCAATATACTGGTGTCTGTGTTATGTACTCATGCTACTTCCCGTTGATGGACCTCGAGCAACATTGGCGTGTTAGAGTTGGATTGCGAAACGAAACCGCTGATCTTCTGGAATAGATCTTGTAGTAGATACTGATATCATCGTGTGTCTTTGCAAGAATTTTGAGCCATGATACTTGTGATGGTGGGTACAAGAATGGTTGCTTCTCTGAGATGGAGTGAATCAGAAAGAACAATAGACTGGTGGATGAACGCCCAAGCTGGATCTATGTATCGCATAGTAATGATGACACCCGATTTCATGCGGAGGGATGGCGTCAAATGTGTTCCCCGGATGAAACATCAGCGTAATGTATTCTTTTCGGCGAATCACCATTGAGTGGTATAGAATACTGCAGAAGATACAGCCTGTTCAAGTCGGTGAAAATACTCAAGAAAAAAAAATTCATGCTGATGATATCTCCTCATCTGAGTAAATGAGGCTTACTGAAGCTTTGCAGATCATAGCTTTCTGGGGAAGGTTATAACGAATGATTGAGGCCGCCTGAATAACTTATGGCGTTGTGCTGAGGGTTATAAATTGGATGAATTCCTACCGGATTTGGCCAAATTGAGGCGGTCGGCGAATACATAATTAGCTGACATTATCAATTGCATTCCTTGGAAACCTCAATAATTTATCAGCTCCAGGAATTGACAAAATGAGAGGGAGGAATGAAAAGAAAAGAGATCATTGGGAATGATGTACAGATAAGGATACATATAATAGATTGAATGCATTCTAAAAAAGAACCTTTAAAATGTTGGGTAATAAGTTAGTATGAAAATACGAATACAGCAATGAAGGGGTTTGTTTCTAGCCTTATCCGAGGTCTACCGATCCCTAAAAGTTGCTCCCTTTAAAAATGTATATTTGCTTCTACCGATTCCTGATCAATGATTGAATCTCAAAAGGAAAAGGATGATGGTAAATAGATACAATTCTCCCGGAGACCAATTTACAATAACCACAATGGGGCCAATGGCATTGTACACACTGTCATGGTACGGAACCCGGAATTGGGGGGTTCTCCTAGGAAAGCTTAAACAAAGCGGAAGGGCTAAAACCTTCAGAAATTGGGGCCACTGTAAAGGTTAAAAAAATACTCCGTCCCTATCAGATCTCAAACAACGACTTTTCAAGGGCCATAGATCAGATCATTCATTGTCTGTGCTTTTGCGGTCCCTGAATAGCTTGTTAATTTGTTTGGGGCATGCAAAGTGAAGAAGATGGCATGCATCGAACACAATCTGGATCGATGTGGTAATTCTGGTAGATGTGCTGCTTCAATGATTACAGCTGTTTGAAACAAACGCATGGCCTCACCGAGTAAAGAATTATTCCGTGTATAATACTTTTTTTTTTTTTTTTCATATTGTCGCTCAAAAGTGGCTATATCACCGAATACGATTTTTGATGGACTGAATTGATAGCAGAGGATGGTTAATGGTTCCATTAGAAGTCTCAGTTAATGGCATATGTCAAACTTCAACTGGAGCGACGGTGCGGGTCACTCCCTAGACCAGGTACCCAACAGTCAATATTATCTATATGATATGAATGTGAAGAATAGATGTATTTATAGAGAGATGGGAAAGAAATAAATGATGTACTCTGTATAGGAGAGGATTCTATACAGAGACAGAATATATAGAGTGGAGTATATCTAAGGACAGCTAAGAGAATCAAACAATCATTAGTTTCGCAGCAAAAGTAAAATGCAACAGAAAAAGCCACCTTGGCCAGCTTGTAATACGAATTCGATCCTTTCAGAAATCCTCCCTTTTCCCATCCATCACGGTCTACGCAGTGTATTATTTTTACTAGGTAGTTACAGAAAGGTCAACTAGTCCGAACTTCACAAGTCCCAGCTTTGGAAAAACCCCTCCCTCATGGGGCCTCATCCCCATACTATACCCATACTCAGATAAATCCCATCCAATTGGATCTGTTACCTATTGCAATAAAAATAAAAAGAGGTTCAAGGTTACAGAGTCGAGAGAAAAATGTGCGCATCGATCTTATTGAATAATCCAATAATCCAGGAATCCAGTAATCCATCCTAAACGAAATCTTTCAATCGTTACAGCTCTTCTCTTCTCACTCTCACTCTTTTTAATAAATCTCTACTTTGTCCTGAGTTCTCGGTGAAAATTCCTTATTCTCTTTTCCTTTTCGATACATATCTTCCTTCCCCCACGCCCTCCTCAAAATAAATAAATAAAAAAGATCCGACCTTATTATTCATCCCAGACAGGAATCGGGAATACAATACAATCCAATACCTTCCTTACCTTACCATACCTTACCTACCTTACCTTACCTTACCTCTTTCATCTGCCTTAATTCCCTCTCGTTTGTTCTCTCTGCCCTACCAACATTACGAACCTTTCCCCACAATCCCTGCTTGACCTACGCCCCCCAAAGAGATAGATACCTTGAAAAGTGTACTGCCATAACTTGCCATACTGTCCGTACTGCAATACCGCAATACTGCGATACAACCATCAGGAAATCCATTTCGACAGTGCAACCTATTTATCTTCCTTTCCCTTGATCATCGACGTCGTGGAACAGGGACTAACCGCTGGTTTCCTACCACAAACCGCAATCCGGACCCTCGAATCGATTCTCCACCAAAAAATCCACCGAAAACTTTACGTTCCTGACGACTTTCCCCTTGCTTCCCCAGGCGCATCTCCCGCGTCAAAACCAACGAATTCCCAACCCCAAAAGGGTCATATTGACTCGATCAAAGCAAGACAAATCACACAAGGGAAAAAGAAAAAAAAAGGGCAATTTACAGCAAAATTATTTCATTCTGGCCACTGCTGCGCGGGTGCCTACCTCTACAGAAAAGCGCGCTTCTTTGACGTTGCATATGACAAACGAAGGGGTTGTGTCGCGCGACCTTTGCCCTACCCTTCATACTTCAACATATCCCTCCCTCCCCTCCTCAATGCTCGATTCCTCTTGAACTCCAACTTTCCACACATCCTTCTTTTGTAAATGAGCTTCCCCAACCGTCGATTACATATTCCGACTTCTTGCACTGGTAAGATTTGTCCTGGCAACTCAGCTTAAATCGGGGGCCCTGCCATCAGCCTTACCACGCGGCATATGCTGACATTTGCGGATTTCCACAGTCATATAGATCTACAACCTGTCAAATACTTCGTAGAAAGTCTATTCTTTGGTTCAAGTAATCTGCCATCAGACATATCGGCTACTTTCAACATATTTTCGTCCTGTTCGTTCCCCTCGACCAGAAGTTTCCACATACATACAGAAATTTCATTACATCTTCAATAATGTCCTCGGCCGCTGCAAACAGATCCGCAGGTACCATGAATGCGGTGAGCACGCCCGAATTTCCCAAGATTGAATTCAAACTAATTTTTGGATGCAGCAACGGTCTACTCGATTTGGAGATTTCCCCACTGCGCCAGGCAGGCACAATAGCGACGATAGAACTTCGCAAAACTCAACGCTCGGCCAAACTTTTGGAAACGGCGGTACCTGGCAGCCTTCGACGGGTATTTGGGGTAGTAACACGATCGGGAGTGGTTTTGCCAATACAAAGCGAGATGCCTCGCGCTCTCGAGGTAATTATACAAGCGAGATGGAAATTTTTACATTCACTGATGGTCGTCTAGCAGCAGATAATGATGGCTTTCCAGATGCCCCCAGTGGCTCTGGTGCTCTAGCCGCATCTTCAGAAGCCGACCCTTGGGTTGCTCGCGCAAATGGGCCTTGGAATCCTCCAGACACAACATCTCCAACGTTACAATCATCGCATAGCGGAAGTACCTCTCCTTCCCACCTCCGCAACAGTATTCCGTCACAGACACCACAAAGTCTACTTGAGTTACAAACATACCAACAATCAAGACCTGCTATCGGTCAAGGAACCAGTTTCAGTCGACAGCAACCCAAGAGTAGCTTGGACCCCTCTTCTGGAAGCTTCAAATTCTCACGAAAACCTTCCTTTGGGTTCAACGACGACAAGGAAAATTCTTCCCAATTTTCGTCTAATCAAGAGAGTGCATATGATATTGATGTATCATCTAGGGCCTTCAGAATGGATCAATTGGGCTCTCAGAACCCAAGCTACCTTGGTATAGGCTCCGTTTCAAGGGATGGAAGTATGCCTCCATCCAGAGCATCGGAGAGTGGCCTCAATAATTTGACATTCGGCAATGGAAATCCAACGCATGGCTCTATTGGTGGTCATACTCCCAACAATTCAATCCATTCACATCGTCCTTCCTTCTCAGCAATGTCAGGCTCGTTTGCACAGACGAATTCATCTAGATATGCTGATCTTAATACGCAAACAGAAGCTGAGCTACGGGAGAAGTTTGCAGGATTTGGCTTCACCAACGATATGGATCAAACTGGCGCATCTCAGATCGGCAACGCTTTGAGTTCCTCGTATTCCCCAACCAACCAAAACTTTAATCAGCAGGCTTTCCAAGTCAACGGTGGATTAGCCATGTGGAATGATGGATCAAGTGGTCCCAAAGTCAATAACTACGACCATTTCTCGAATCAAGCACCTTTCACAGATCAAGCCTATTTCACGAAAGGGCCTAGATTTGATAGAGGTTCGGTCTCTCCTGCATCAAGCGACTACCGTCGTAGCCTCAATAGTCCAAAATATTTCTCCGGCACTCCTCCAACGGGGCCTGAGCAAATTTACCGACCAAGCTCAAGGGCTGGCCCTAGAATACCTCAAGGCCCAAGTGAATTAGACCGCAGACTTCAACATGTCCAATATTCTCAACACCAGGCATATCTTTACAACAGCGGCCATTTCCAGGGGCAATATTCACCACATTTATACGACTACTCACCACAAACTTTTAGGCAAACCAACGTACCACCATATGGTTATCCGATACCACTTCCTCCTTATCCGGCACAAAGTATCCCTACTCGTCCAGCCAAGGATCAGGATGTGGGACTTGGAGTTAGGAGTGTACTTCTGGAAGAATTCCGTTCCAATGCTAAATCCAACAAGAGGTATGAGTTGAAGGTATGTATTGTCCTGCCTCATCTCTCCTATCAGCACTAATTAAAGAATAGGATATCTATCAACATGTTGTTGAATTTAGTGGAGATCAGCATGGGTCACGGTTCATTCAGCAAAAGTTGGAAACAGCTAACAGTGACGAAAAAGAACAACTTTTCCGAGAGATTCAACCCAATGCGTTACAGTTAATGACTGACGTCTTCGGAAACTATGTTATCCAAAAGTTGTTTGAGCACGGGAATCAGGTTCAAAAACGTGTGCTAGCTGAACAAATGAAGAACCATGTAATGGAACTTTCAATGCAGATGTACGGCTGCAGAGTTGTGCAAAAGGTTTGTCTTTGCCTCATCATTATACATAAGCTTTATTAACAATCTTAGGCTCTCGAGCATGTCCTCGCCGATCAGCAAGCTGAACTTGTCAAGGAACTTGAGGCAGACGTGCTCAAGTGTGTCAAAGATCAGAACGGTAACCACGTTGTCCAAAAAGCTATTGAGCGTGTCCCAACAGAACATATTCAGTTTATTATCGAAGCATTCCGAGGACAAGTTCATATTCTCGCAACTCATCCTTATGGATGTCGAGTGATTCAACGCATTTTGGAATATTGTCAACCTCGCGATCAAGAGCGAGTCCTAGAGGAATTGCATCAATGTGCTTCGAATTTGATCACCGATCAATACGGCAATTATGTTACTCAACATGTCATACAACATGGAAAGCCTGAGGATCGTGCCAAGATTATCAAGATCGTCACAGCACAGCTTTTGACTCTGTCCAAGCACAAGTTTGCCTCAAATGTTGTGGAGAAGAGTATACAATTCGGCACAGATGAACAAAGACATACTATCGTTTCTCTATTAACCGCTCTTCATAGTGATGGTACAAGCCCTCTGCAATTGATGATGAAGGATCAATATGGCAATTATGTCATTCGTAAGTCAAGTATTCTCAATTTGATTATCTTATACTAACCTTCGTAGAAAAACTTCTTGGGCAACTCAAAGGTGCCGAAAGAGCAGCATTTGTCGAAGACTTGAAGCCACAACTCTTGGCACTCAAGAAATATAATTATGGCAAACAAATTGCTGCCATTGAAAAGTTAATCTATGGTCAAGATGACTCGCAGCAATCATATGCCGCATCTCCAACTGGTACGGCATCTGGTGTTCACACACAATCGATCGAGATGAATTCGAGTGCGCCAACTCCGCTGCTTACAAATGGGCAAAACAGTCCCCAAAGCAGTAGTCTTCCCAGTGCGAACGTCAGTACAATTGAAGATCTTACAGATAGTGCATCCTCAGACAAGACCGCCGTTGCTGCTAACGAAAAGTCTTGCCCTGAAGTCGTTATCAGCGGCGTTTAAACCTATCATTTTCCTTCGCCGAACATTCTCTTCCACTTCACGTCATATACAAAAAGCATTATTAAAGGGCGTGACGGTATTGGGTCCGGAAAGGTAATTGGGTACTGGACGGGTATAAAAAGTGAATATTTCTTAATTGTATCGTCTACCTCTTCGGATCATTTTCTTGAGGTGTTAGAAGGCGGGTTTGGTCTGCTTTACTTTCCGCATGGGTGCATGCATATACAAGCCAGGATTGGCTACGGCGGATTTACTGTGAATGAATATGGATATGGACATGTTTTTTCAGATATTTATTATTTTCCTTGAACAACTACGGGTGTTTGATATCTATCTTCGGACCAGGGACTCGTGGGAAAGATTCATGGATAGCAGAAGAGAAAGTTTGCTCTAGTCATACTTGTTACTGCATATTTTGCATTGTTTATTTTTTGAAAGGAAAGAATATGGAAAGGATACCTATCGATCGTACTATTTATTGTCTTTTCAGAAGATGCGCTGGTTCTACTTGCTTTTTTGGCTTTGATATTTTTGAGGTTATTCCGCACTGCACTATTATGCAAGCTTAATACATTTGATTACTTGCTTTGTTGCTTGTTTTTTTTTACAGCACGGAGGGAGAAAATATACCTACTTCTATATATCACATCATATTATTCTGTGGAAGGGCGGGCACTGGACATTAGGACATAGGGGATGAATGTAAGAATTGCTGGGTGATTATACATGGTAGTTGGAATAAATACTTTTACATGGTGGGATCAATGGTATTGGATGGATGGGATAGGATAGGATAGGGTAGGGTAGGGTAGGGCAGGGTAGGATAGGATATAAATAGATGGGGAAAATTATATGTGCTTGTCGAAAAATATTGGCTGGTATGGTATGGTATGGTGTGTAAGATGGGATGGGATGGGATGGGATGGGATGGGATGGGATGGGATGGGATTAGGTCTTTTGAAGCTTAAACTTGGATCTATTGTTACTTGCGGGTATGGTTGCTGAATGGATAAGATGGATGGATGGAAGGGGAGTTGATGGTTTGGATTTGGATACCGGTGGCTGGCGTACTTTGTGCAGATATAATATATATGATTTGATATATTGTGTATTGTGCTGCTTGGTGGTATTTGTAATGAATGATGTGATTGTGATTATGAGTGGAAGATATTCAATGAGATATTATTTAAGATTGACATATGTATAAAGTAGTGAAGTGGAGTGAAATATAGGATGAATCTACAGACCTCGGGATATATAGGTTAATGTAATAGATGAATATTAACTAGATTGGGGTTAGGTAAGTAAATGTGAGTAAATTATAAATGTTTTGTATTTAGGATATGAAAGAAAATAGAGATAGGAAGATAAAGAAAAGAAGAATAAAAGGATAGGAGGATAGGAGGATAGTGTAACGATACTGTACTAAAGGCAGCGGCTGCCTAAGGTTCGTCGGTTGGTAGTTATAGGTTAAGGCTTTATCACTGGTATTCACTTGAAAGTGAATTCGTTACTAGATCAAATAGAATGTAGGTAAACTAATTGATAACTAAGTTGAGCACGAAGCTCCTAAACTATGAAACTACTCTGACTATATAATGAACGATAAAGGGAGCCCCTAGGAGCTTTCTGGCTCCTCAGGGATCCTCATCACGTGATTTCTGATGGTGCGTGCATACACGATCTTCAGGTGACCAAGATCACATACTAATTCGATGAAATCTGATCGTGTTTGCACAAGGCCTAAGCTCTCCTAATTAATCAGTTTGCTACCATCGTAACACCATCAATCCTAATGGTGAATCGTGACAGATAGGAGGATAGGAGGATAGGAGGATAGGAGGATAGGAGGATAGGAGGATAGGAGGATAGGAGGATAGGAGGATAAAAGAATAAAAGGATTTATGTATAATTTTTGATGAAAATGAATTGATTATAATATTAAATAAAAGATAAGAGGTGGGAGAGGGGAGTAGATGAAAAGAAAATTAATAATATATTAATTTTTAATAATAAAATAGATAAAATGAAGTGAGATGAGATGAGGTATAGAAATTTAAAGATTGGAAGATTGGAAGATTGGAAAAAATAAGTGAAATATATAATTGATAAAATAACTAAATGATTAATGGAGAGGAATAAAAACAAGGGAGAGGAAAAGTTTAAAGATTTAATTTAAAAAAAAAGAAAAAAGTTTTTTTTGAATAATTAAATAATTAATAAATAGATTAATCAATTAAAAAATAAATGAGTATATATATATAATTAAATATAAATCAATAGTAGAGTTTGTTAAAAGGAATAGCCTTACACAGGGAATAGTGGGAAGCTGATAGGGTAGAACTGAGTGTGACGGAAAAGTCGTAAACGGAGTCAATTCAATTACTTAGAATCTAAAACTAAAGAACTAAGAAGATTCTAAGTAAGAAGGTCTTTATATACAGGGCTAGTGCACGTGAGCCACTAGTGGGTAACAACCGTCACGTAACACTGAGGCTATATTGGCCTTTTATATGAATCACCCATTTTCTTAGTTCTACGGAAATGCGAAGCTCTCCTACAGAGAGCTTCTCAATCTAGTCCTAATAGGACTAGTGTGACCAGAAGGGTGTTTATAGACCAGCAATTGTATTTAACTTAGAATTTACAGGTGAAGAGCACCTGCAGATGGGGATAGCTACTCTATATATACACAAATGAATGGCCTAGCCGCAATGGCTAGGCAAAAAGAAGTCATATTTATTCCTCCAATGATCTTACTTTACCGATAACCATTGATACCTAGTGCTTGTCCGGATCTGATCCTCAGGTCACCTAAATCGCATACTAATCCCGAGTAATCGTATCATGTGTGGACATGGTTAATGTACCTGAGGTTTCTTATATAATAAGGGTAGGAGGAAAGCAGGGGTTTCCGTCGCAACTGGTGCCCTGTGCACGTGTTACTCAGGAACCATTCACTTTAACAGAGTTATTAATTTAAATTAATATTTAAGATTTATTTAAAAAAAAATTTAAAAAAATAAAAGAGAGGGAATTAAAAAAGTTGAGATGAAAAAAGTTAAAATATACAATAAAATATATAAGTTTAATACTTGTCACGATTCACCATTAGGATGAGTGTCCTGGGATAAAAAGTAATCACGTGATAAGGAGCCCTGAGGAGCTAGAAAGCTCTTGGAGGCTCCCTTTATTGTTCATTATATAATTAGAATAGTTCTATAGTTTAGGAGTTTCGTACTCAACTTAGTTATCAATTAGTTTATTTACATTCTACTTGATCTAGTAACGACTTCACTTTCAAGTGAATACCAATGATAAAGTCTTAATCTATAACTACCAATCGACGAACCTTAGACAGCTGTTACCTCCAGTATAGTATCGTTACAATACTTTACTTTCCAATCACTTTTTGATTCCAATCATCTTTTATATCAAAAATTGTGATTTTCAATTATTAATAGTTTTATAATGAATAAATAAAATTTGATGAAATTTGAATTATAAATTTATCATAAATCTATGTTACGAGGTTTGCCGTCTAGATCACGTGGAAGTGCTCTAGGCTCTCGAGGTGATTTATAACTAGGCGTCAAGCAGGGACTCAAAGTAATGACAATAATGCAATTCGTAACTAATAGTAGAGTATACTAAATGATTGATCTTGAGCATGAAGCTCTATACAAAGAGAATCCATCTTGATTATATAGACCTTCGTGCCTCCTTAAAAAACCGATGGCTATGAGCCCGACAAATCGATCACCGCAAAGCCGATCTCGATTTGTCGGTTTCTTGATCATGTGATCAAGAACGTGACCTATGTTACTGTCCGACGTAACATAGATATATTCATTTATTTTAAATCTAAAAAAGTATATAAGTAAAATATAAAGAAGAATTTAATAAATGAAAATCAGAAGTTAAAAACTATTTCTCTTAATATAAGACATTTTCATCTCACTATCTCATCATCCTATTATCTCACCACCTTACCACCTTATCACCTTACCACCTTACCACCTTACCATCTAACTTTCCATCATACAAAAACCAATTCATCACAACTTATTCATCAAAACTATTCATCACAACTATTCATCAATCACACAATCACACAATCACACCAAACAACCAACCCCAACAATTTTTTTAAAAGAGTGTATACATTTAAATTTTCTAAAAGACAAAGTTTTAACTTTTTGTTCTTTTCCCTTCCCTCTTCCCTCTTCCTTCTTCCTTCTTCCCTGACTCCCAATTCATAATCCCCTTATACACACTCCTTCCTCTTTTAAAACACTTTTAGAGTAATTAACCGGTTAAACAACCAGTTGATTAATCGAGTAATGTATGAATCAATCAAACGAGGGACTGATGAGCTAGAGAGCTTGCTAGCTAGTTGATAACCGGTCAGGTAGATAATCGGTTAGGTAGATAACCGGATAGACAACCAGTCAGTCCGACAACCAGTCAGTCATCAACCAGTCAGTCCGACAACCAGCCAGCCAGGCAGCCAGCCACCAAAATATAAACAAAACAAAACAACCATTCCTCGTTTTTCATTTTCCATATCTCATTCCCCATTTTCCTTCCAACACCAATTCTCCTTCCAACACCAATTCTCCCAACACCATATCTCCCCCAGCACCATATCCAACCAACCAAAGAAGCAAAACAATTTTTTTTTTTGGTTCTTTGATCTTTTTCCCTCTTTTTTTTCCTTTTATAACATTTTTTGTTTTTCCTTTCCCAAAACCAATCTTATACCAATCAAGTATAAGACCAAAACCAAGACCAAAACCAAGACCAAAATCAAAACAATCCTTTTTTTTTGGTGTATTTTTTGGTTTCCGTTTTTTTTTCCCCGAATGTATTTATACAGCCGCATCCTAACTTTTTTTTAAATCCAAATAACCAAAGAAAGAAAGAGAGAAAGAAAGAAAGAAAGAAAGAAAGAAAAAAAATATACAAACGAATAAAGTGAAATACAAGAACTTACTAGCCCCGTCTATCCATCTATTCACTATTCATTCACTCATCTATTCATCTATCCGTCTATCCATCCATCTATTCTATTCTACAGCAAACCACCCATCTAATCGAAATCCCGAAAAGAAATTGAGTAATCACAACCTGAGAATGAAGAATGATTTGAAAATAGAATTGTTGCAAGATAGAAAGGAGGATGCATTAAATCATATGTTGCGAGTGAGATGATATGCGATGCGATGAAATGTGATATGAAGTGATGAAATATGAACTTTCGATGGAAGATTGGGGGAAGATAGTAATGCATATAAACAATAAACAAACTAAACTGCAAAATGCCATCTAACTTTGATGATTTACGTATTCGAAACTATCATGAAAAACTCAGCAAGCAAACATAATTGCATCCTTAACGTCAGAGGTAAAATAATTCGAATGACCCATGCCTCATCTTCTTTCTTTGCCCGTAACCTGAAAGAATCCCTTTTCCTGTGACGCATCATGAAGCCTGATAGCTTCTAGGATCAAACTCCAATTCGTTGTTCGTGCCAACTCCCAACGTCCTTTCCATAATAATGAAAATTAACAGGGCATTTATCACTCTGTGAGGGAAACGAAATATAACAAAATGCAAGAGAATGCAACCTTCCACCATCCCATGTACCATGTTTTTTCACGTAAATAAAAACGTGATTCACCATGTACGGCACCGAACCGAGTAGAAAAGCTACTTCTAAAACCATTGAAAAAGAAAATTGAAACCCAAACAACCCAGACAAAAGAAAAGCCAGTATGATACATATGATACAATCTAATGCTCGTACTTAGGTTGAGCTGGATTAGCTGAAGAAAATGTTAGCTCATGAACTAAAATAAGGAGTGAGGGAATAATGACATTGGTGGCTGTAGATATGGTTTGAAGAGCCGTAAGGTGATGCTGGATATCCACCATAGTGATCAATGTTGGCTTGACCATTATTATAACCCTGCAATTGCTGGACAGAGGAGGCTGGTGCTTGAGGTTGTTGATATTGGTTAGGAACTTGTGCACCAGGTTGATAATTGATAGGAGCCCCAATAGGAGGGAGCTGAACGTTACGACCTGGAGCATAAGCACCTTGAGCTGGAGCACCCTCAGAGTGAGACTCAGCAACAGTGGAAGCACCACCAGCACGAGCGGCCTCTGCTTCCTTACGTTGAAGTTCTTCCTCCTTCTTGCGAGCCTTCCATTCCTTTCGGATTTCTTTGAATTCTGTAAGCACAAGGCGTTAGCTTGCCAATGTTACACAGCAGACCCGTTTTTGATCCCGCTAATCCATGCTAGCCAACCGACGTCAAACCTTAGTTTGACACTATTTATAAAAACAGCCCAAATGACAAAATAGTTAAAGCGGCGCAAAAATATCTAGCACAGAAACTAACTGGACCCTGAAGGGTGCAAATAGAAATTCTTAAAAGATTCTTTCCGCGACCATACATATTTCTGCGCGATAGATAATCGACTAGAAAAACAAGAATGACATACCTTCAGGTGTACGTTTGCTTCCGTGGGATTGCATTGTAACATGCGCGTTGAGATGGTTCAATGTACCATACGCTTTCTCACATCCTTGATGTCCACACTTATACATACGTTCAATCTCTTCAAATCGTCTTCTGGGACGCTTCTGTTGCGTAGAACCAGGGATTGGTACAAATGAATAGACCTGCTGACGACCCTGTTAATTTTTAGTGGTTCATCATAATTAAAAGGACGCGACTTCTGCAGTCTTCTACACATAAGAAAAAAAGTGCGCGTAGATGTGACTTACTTGATTTTGACCTCGTCCAACGGCAGTTACGGACGATTGGCTTGGGGCACCAGTAACTGGATAGTTCATCCCATTGTGAGAAGATTGATGATGACTTGCGTGAGGTGGGTGACCTGCGTAACCGGCCCAATCGGGTCTTGGCTGAGTGTACATCGCGCCGCCGGTGTGTTGGGAGGAGTAACTATACTGCAATGTGTCTTGTGGAGGGTATGGAGAATGTTGGCCGGGGTGCGACGCGTAGGTAGGGCTGGAAGCAGCAATTGATGGATCTATAGGAACATCCTGGTCAGATTTGATTTGCGGGGTTTGATGGGTTGAACGGCCATCTTGCAAAGGTATTGACGGACTTGTTGGTTGAGCCATTCCTCCACTGCCAGTACTATGACTGCTTGAATGATATGTTCTTTGTAAGTGATCGGAGAAGTTGCCTGGACGCGCCGACGATGGTGGATAAGCTGCACTGTACTCGGATGCCGTAGTAGCTGCTGCAGGGTAGTTGCTCGATCGAACTTCTTGATGTGGTGGATACTGCGCAGCAGATGTATTATCTGCAGATGATTCTTCAGATTGAGCGTCGGTGAACGCGTGTGGATAGGGCGTTTGCAAACCTGACTGCGTGTATGCGGTAGAGCCTCGTTCCATAGAGGTGTGTTTCTGACCGTTTGTATATGCCCCAAGAAGCGTACTTAAATTGGCTTCTGTTTCGTCTGGAGTATTCTTGCTCTCAACGACGTTGGTGGTGGTAGGTAAAGAAGTGTTTAATGGATGCTGTGTAGAGGCCAAGGACATACTACAGCGAAAATATTTGGGAAGATAGTCTTGTCGATGACTAGATGTGGAGGGTGTGGGTGTAGAAGTGCTCGGACTTTATGGTGATGCAGGGTCGCTGCTTACTATAAAAAGAACTCTACGATTCCGTTGCAGAAAAGAAAGGTTTAAGGTGAAGTGTGTTTGGGAGATGTTGTTTGCAGAGACTGGGGGGTTGTGTCCTTTCTTAAATAACTTCTGTGGGTTTGAAGAGGGGGAGATTTGAGAAGTCAATCGGTATGTTCGCCGATCTTCAATGGAGAAAGAGCGACAAGCAAAGACCGAGCGAAAAAACCGGGTCCGTTGTTCTAACTTCTGTGGATGGGCAGAGTCTAGTCGATTGAATGATGGAATTGGGAACCGCGATATTCTAATTTTGTGGTAGTCTCAATATTGGGACGATGGTTCCGATAAGTTAGGTAGTTGTGAGGGTTTCCCAGAATGGACTAGACTTGGAAAAATATTCCGATGACCGGTTTTTGGGGGATGATGTTTGAGTCGAGGTCCTAGTCCTTTTAGATAAGGTGGGAAATGATGGGAAATGGAGAACGCGTGAATGAAAAAGGTTTGACTAGTGTCCAGTCCAGAGGCCCAGTCCAGTCCTTTTAAGACTTAGATGGAAGATGGAGAAGGCGTACTAAGGTAGATGCGTGAAATGGGTACGGTCAACTGTGGTTGGTCGATGGTAGCGTTGGTTTGTTTTCTGGCTTGGTATGAGATGATGTGGTGTGGTATGGTTGCCGGACTAGTGACTGGCAGTTGAGTAGTAGCAGTAGTTGTAGATGAGTGATTGAAAAGGTGGCGGCTTCTTCAATGATAGGAACTTTCGAACTCTTATTAATGCGCGGGAAAAAAAAAAAAAGAAAAGAAAAGAAGAAAAAATGAATTTTGTGGAGAAAGTTCCTAAAGTGGCTGATGCTGATGATGATTTAAAGGATGAGATGCCTCAGCGATTTGGGAATTTATTGAATTGAATTGAATTGAGATGATATGATGAATGAGTGAATGAATGAATGAATTTATGAAATGAGCTAAAATTTCTTAAATTGTCTCCACAATCTCCAAAAATTCAATTCAAGTCAGTCCAGTCAATCAAAACCAACCAATCAACGCAGTCAATCCAGTCAATGAACTAAATCAATCAAGTCAATTAAATCAATCAACTCAATCAAATCAGTCAATTCAATTCTTCACCCGCAAAATTGATAAAAACGGGAAAGTGGCAAATCTTTATTACCCAGTGGGAAAAAAAGATACAAGGGGATTGATTGATTGCTTGATTTGACCGTCTCCACCACCAAGCTTTTTACAAGGAAGCTAGCGTAGGGACTCGAGGACTGGGATGGTGGGCAGGTGCAGGTGCAGATCTAGTAAATGGGCAGGTGTCGATCTAGCGCTCTGGATCAATTTATTATTATATTGTGTGTTGTGCCGGGAGAGCCGTCTGTGCGTTTTAGAGTTTCGCTTTGTCGTAGTGTGGGCTGCCGGTGGAGTGGAGTGGAGTCGAGTCGCTGGAGGTAGGGTAGCTTACAATGCAGTAGACTTGGTAATGCAGCGTGGGAACCGAATCGTACGTAGAGTAGACTTACAGACTCTCCCTAACTGCTTCGGCTTATCGGCTTACTCGAGTGGGTAGTAGTATGGTTAGATCAAAACGCTGTCCAGAAAAGGAGAGGATGCTATTGTGGGAGATAGTAATGGGGGAAAAAGGAGTTTCCGGTATGTAATGCTCGCTTTGGGGAATGAATGGATATGGGGGCTTGAAAGGTTTCTTTCTCTTGTCTTTCAAAGAAATTGCTGTAGATACTCCTAGTATTGGTCCGAGTCCGCCTGGATGATTTGTCGAGAGTCTACAAATAATGAACGAGCAGAAACAAATCCCTGTTTTCCTCCAGGAAAATGCTGTTCGAGACTGACAGTGACAGTGAATGCACGACTAGTGATTTCGTGCTTGTAGATGAATTTGGGGCACTCGTCAGTTGGCATGTAATGTTCCTATCTTTCCAGATGATTCCGATACAACTGTCATCAAAATTAAGTAACGGTCGCACTTGTAGATGATCCCTAACCAGTGAACTTGGAAGTCGTTAAAAGCTCTTAATTCGGTCGACCAAATACAGACAGATGGCGATCCGGAATGTGAGAATTCGCTAGGAAAAAATGTGCATAGATTATACCTGTCTAATAAGATTTGTCGATCAGCTAATGGTTGCGAGGATCTTGGACAGTTATAGTTCGGTACTTTACCTTTAGTTTGGAGCCCGAGAAAGTCTGTGAGGTGATCAAATCTAGATCTTCAACAATTCTCATTCATTAACGAAAAGCCTTGAAGAATTCGAATATGATGATGTAGAAGATATCTCGTCACGAACGTAACAATTCTCCAACTCCCTATGATAAGAACTTGCTAAACCTGGTATGAGAATCTCGATCGTTCAGACCCAGTTGGGGAGTGCACGAGAGTCACAGTTGAGTGTGTGCACGAATCAGTCTTCCGGTATGATGATTCCGAAAGTCCAGAACACGTTTCTGAGCAGAAGTCGATCTCACAGTGATCAAATACTAATGACGACAATTCGAATTGGGGTTCGATGTCAGGTCTTGCTGTCTTGGAGAGAACTGATATTCTGTTCGACAATAGAGCCTAATTTTTTTAATTTTTTTTTTTTTTTCGAATGTGCTGTTCCTGGATCGAATCAACGTATGGTCCCTTCAATTCAACGCCCTTTTAGTTACTACTTTTCGACGTTTTGTGTAGCCCCTTCAATTCAACACCACTCCTGTTACTACTTTTTGACGTTTCGTATGGTGTTTCTTTTCCCGTCTGATCTATATTCCCGAAGGGGTGGGTTGGGTTCCAAATCGTTGATGGCGCAGGCTTGTGCTGCAGCTCTTCCAAATGGAGAATCGTTGGTTTTGTCACCTGCGTTGATGGGGCTGAACCTTCGCCGTAATTGGTATCGAGGGTTTTGTAGCGTTATGCTCTACCACAATACCCAGAATCAAAGCACCCAGAATCTTGGTGGTAGGAGATAGCGCTGATGATCTGCCTGCGTTCGTCTTTTACCAGCAAACGGGGAGAATACACAGACGCGTCGTGCCCTGTTTTATTTTCAATAAACAAATCTCGGAAGTGGGTCGAGAGATGGAGATGTAGAAGTTTCGCGTTATCGTCGCAGATTTTCCAATTTGTATCTTTGTGATAAAAGAATTGAAATGGTGCCCACTCAGTAGCTTCAGAGATGCTTGGGTAGACAGATATGTTGCAAACGTATATTTATTTTTGGGTGGTAGAGTGAGGTGAGGATTGATTAGAGCAAAGACGTCTGTTGGGCCCGCAAAAATTATTAATCTTGGACAACTTTTATCTGTCAGTATGAATCAATCAAGATTGGGTGAAGCAAAAAAAATGCGCACAAGGCATAAATGCACTCTCGAAATCAAGAAAGTTTTCTTCCGACACACAGAGTTTTGAAGCATCAAAAAAAGTTTTTGACATTGATTTTCATAGATGGATATGGATATTGGATATTGATCGATACCGATACCGATATCGATATCGTTGTTGACATTCCCATGAGGATATAATTTCATGATGGAAGCTAACTTACAGTGACTAGCGCAGAGATAGGGTAGATCAAAAGCCTCGGATGATATCCTTGGCAAGCCGCTGCACAAAATGCGAAATGTTGATGGGGAATAGTCGTTTGGAATTTAATAGTATACACGTGATAGCAATTGGCTTTTGGACAGGAAGCTTGAGTCTCTTTGAAGTCTGGGTCCACGATTTAAAACAATTTGGGAATAGATGATTTCAGTCTTTTCTGTCTCGAGGCTTTCGTATGGATACTGGGTTGCACTATTACCGATGTGCCGGTGATGTGGCGGTAATGTCGATGGAGAGGGGATGATTGAACAACGCTTGTGTAGGCGACCCAAACGTGCGGGAGACACTATAAATTGTTTCTCTGGGGGTGAAAAATAATTAGTCTAAGAAATGAAGCCAGAGCTAGAAGCTAAATCCAGTACCTGGGTCAGGCGTTTGTTTCCAGCGACAAGATAGTCGCGCGCTTCTTTGCAAGTATTCACAATGGTGCTACTCTAATAGTAGGTAGGTTGAAAGGTTCACCTGTCGTAATAACAGGGCACAAGCAAACAAGCAGTACAGTACAGCACAGTACAGTAGTGCTAGATAGTTTATGGATGGAGATAAACGGAGAAGTAGGAGACTACTGACGTGCGTGTCTTGTGTTCAACAATTGCAATCTTTTTTCTTCGCACGGTCGACTGCGACCGAGTAAGTCTTTCTGGGTATATGCTGAGGTAAAGGCTAGGAAGAAGGAGGACTAGGAAGATAATTGAGAGTCTGGAGTAAAGGCACAAAAGATCGTTAATGGATTAGAGGATCAGCCTTTGGTCTGGCTGCTTTGAGTGGCCTTCGAGTCGGTCATCAAATTACTCGCACGAATGCTTAGAAGGAATTTGGTGTTCTAGTGAAAAAAAAATATATATTTTGGAAGGCTTGGGCTGAGGAATGCATGTCAACCCTGGACATGCGTCGAGGAAGTGTGGATGGCTATGGATGGGTTGGGTGTGCCAAGGATGCAAAATGTAACGAATATAACGAATCATATACTAATCAGTGTAGCTAGCGGTCCGGCCAGATTTCACGGGAGATATCAAGCAGGGAAGAGAGTCAGAGACTGGGATTAAAATGTCCATGGTCCTTCAGTCGGTGACATATTCCTTTCAACCACTCCTCGGTCATAGTTTAGCCAGGGGGTCCACGTTTATCGCAGAGTGGATAATTCTCTGTCTGAATAATCAATAATAATCATCCAAATATCGAGTTGCCAATATTCATCGGCAAGTTGAGTGAAAGAAAGTATTGGATAGTATCACGCGCGTATTGCCCTTGAATCAGAAAGAACAGACAGACACTGTAGCAATTTCGAGGATTTGATTATGTACCGATTGAGTATGTTGTGACGATGAGACCATGGGACGATGGTTGAGCGAGAAAGATTACAAATCACACCTATATGCAGGTGGTAAGAGTCGCTGTACATGATCGATTGGAAAAAGGCAACAACATCTGAGATACGGTCGCATTTCGATGCGATATGCATAATTTTTGAATTTATCTTGGCTTTGCAATAGTCTCCCTGTCAATTTTTCGTTTTTCGTTTTTCGTTTCTCGTTTGGACAATGAAGGGGGGAGGGGGTTGGGTCCTGGCGGATGAGCTGTCATCCGGGTGAGCAACTCGATCATAAAACTCAATTGTGTGTTTGTATAAGCCAAACCCTGAATACGGGTCAATTGATCATCTGGGTATGCGACGAAGAAAATTTCATTCCTTCTGAATCATACTTGGAGCCTACTCCGTGCGGTGCTGAAGGATGTCGCTGCACTGAAGCGAACCAAACCAAACCCTCCTTTTCTCTCTATCCTTTTCATTCGCATGTGATTTGTGAATATTACCTGTTTCGTTTGTCTACGTAACCAACCTGCAGCAATTGAATGGTGGCAAGCTTCATAATTTGACAGATATTTCTTTCCTTCTTACCGCTGCTACATTCATCACTTTACCAATGATTCATTCGCGCGTAGGTTTCTATCACAATCGACATTTCGGGAATTTATTGGATTCGTCGGAATAACAGTTTGTCCTCCTTCCCATATGCGATGGAATGGCCTGTTTTATTGGTTATCACGCACGAGTTGACCTAATCCAGATGAATCACCTTGGGTTTTGGTACTGATTTGGGATGACTGCTCAGCTTGCCGAGATTGAAGTTATCATCGGATCTGAATGAATGCTGCTGTGAAGTGAAAAATCGATGCGAATTACGATTTGCGTATCGTGCCAAAATGTCACTCAAATCAATATTTTGTCTTTCTCAGCTGACCAACAGATATACATGACATGGGGGGAGATTTTGCCCACTTTCAAGCTCTATATCCGCAAATTCCCCCTGCTGTTCCGCCCTCTTCCCCTCTTTGCGACTTTTCAATCTCCACTCTTGGCCCATAATTCGCCTTCTAAGATGATTAAAAGATGATCAGTTCGGCAGGCCCAGCCAACAATTGGACAAATAGTCCGTGACTTCCGCCGGCAGGATCCAGAGACCGGGTGAGCAAGCAGCGTGGATTTATCATATTGTGGTAACGGGGACAGGGTCATTCTATGAATCCGTCCTTCGTAAGGACAACAAGTGATCGCACATGAGAAACATTTTACCCTTCGGCTCCACTAACTTGTTGTGACTCCATACTCGCAACCTCGACTGAAAGAGGAGAAACCGATTGCAAATCCATTCGTCGTTGAATGTAATTTTTCGGAAGAGCGGACATTGAATGCCACCAGGTCACAACTTACAAATGCAAAGCAACATCTATCTCACATCTGCCGTTACTTTGGCAAGGGTTCGGTAGGATAGGATAGATGTGATATGCGGTTCTGCGCCTGCAGCTTTCCTCACTCGGTGAGATGTGTGGCTGAACGGGCGCCGCAAGAGTGGGAGAAGAGCAAAAAAGAGATGTTGGTTGGTGCGAGGAAATTTCTGATGTTTTCCTAACTTTCCGGCATCGAAAGATTTATCTCGTAAAGGTTGAGCCGATTTTTATACATGAGGTTGAAGTGGAGGGATTTTGAAGACATGTCGTCCAGAATAAATAAACCCTTGAGGTATTTCAGATCTTAGTTCTCAAATAAGCATTTTTTTATGGTACTGGATATAGTGTTGTGCACTTAAGTCGTGGCTACGTGTCTACTAAAATCGTTCACCCGCAGTAGCAGCTCCCGACATAACGGTCATGGGAATCCATTAGCAGGTTCTGCTTTAATTATCTCTCACCCATGTATGTGAGTGGTGGGAAGCGATTCAAGCGAGTTACTAAAGAGATAGAAATGATAATTCTGGGAAAAGCATCATTTTAAGGGCGACGCCAAAGAAACAGGGGAACAATGAAACTAGATAGATCGTCATTTAGGGGCGATCTAGGAGGAGTATAGTGACTTTTGGTCTTTTGATATCAGACCATTTAGTATCAATCCAATGCAGCAGATGTATATTCTGGATAACTTCATCATACAATCAATCAATTATCGCAACACACATCAAGCAGCGCCAACGACAATAAAAGAGCCAACCGACCCTCCCACGGCAAAAAGAGTTCCGCCACCCCAGGAAACTCTGACTGGGATGAAAAAGTATGAAAAAATGACATATCATAAATTTCCAATTTTTCACCGCATATTTGTATTCTGGATAAAAAGGTTTATTTACTCAACGCCCACTGCTCACATCACATCTGGCGACTTTTTCACGAATAATGTGTGCCATTGCCCACTGCCACTGCCACGATCATCGATGTCCATTAATAAGCTTTTCTACCGTACTCGAATGTGTTTATGTGCGACGCGGAAAATGCCAATCCATTCATTCATTCCCAGTCTCCCACCCATTTGAATTTCGCTTTTCCCTCCCTGTTGAATTTTTCTCGTATATGTCGACGAAACAAATTGATATAAGAATCACAAGAATCCTTGGAAAGCGCACACAGACTCCGTAAACATACATTTCTCTCGGACTACAAAGTACTTGTATGGGGATCACGAAAATCATTTCACCCAATCATTTAGCCCCCAAATCTTGATTTTTGGATGAAGAATGGAGTGAGCAAATGGATCCAGAATTTCAGATTGAAAACGCATGAGTTGAGTTTTGCTAGAATCTCCACATGTATGCTGAGGACTCAAGACTCAAGACAGCACCATGACCATGCCATGCCATGCCATGTCCTCTTATTATGCCCTGGTTGAAGGATTTGACATGACTTGATGAGTTGATTTGATCTGACTAGCCCTCCCCATGTAGCCAATCCTTTTTTCGGCGAAATGATGATACAGTACGTAAAATGACCGGGGAAATCTCGCTCTTCTTCATTTATTCCCTGGACATTGTGAAGAGAAGTTTCCATAGATATCTCCATCTCAAAATCTTATCGTATTTGTGTTACTTGAGTGTAACTTTCATTGCCAATCAAAGCAATTCATTCAATATCAAAATACATCTCCATATCCCCATGGACCTCGAACCAAGGAAGAGAAATCATAGCGTCGTCGTTAGGTTAATAACTGCACGAAATAATAATACAAATCCGCGAAAGTGGTGAAGTTCTTTGACCACCCCACAAGCAACCTTGGAAACAAAAGTCTGTGTCTGTAGATTGTGTAGGCTTGTGCACATCTGCATTCTGGCGTCAGTAGACAAAACTTGGCAGAATGATGAATCTGGAGATAATCCGTTTCTAACTTCGAGGCAATAGATATCCTGCGTACACGCTCGTAATCAGAGTTTAGCCCCTCTCTACTCAAGACTCGGTACATGTTAAAGTGGCAAAGTCAGGAAGGATCAAGGTATCAACAGTATCACAAGGTCTAGTGTTGATATTGATAAAAGAGACTTCGAGTGGCTACGGAGTAGTTCCCTGTCATACCGTAGCTGCCGCTTTCCAACTCCCTCAGGCCAATCCATTCAAATGCATTTCTCAATACGGATACAACAGGGTTGGGTCTCTTACATGACCTCTAAGATAATTGGATAATTAAAAACCCAGATGATTCCATTTCCTTCTTCTTTCGTACATGATAATCCAAATGTAGACGCTCATCCGACTCTCCCTTAGCATGCGTAGATTAATTTTACACGCTCAGCAAGCAACATACACAAACCTCGGTTGAAACACCCGATCATGATTCGACATGATATTATTTTCTCGTCTATTCAAGCCCCTTTGAACGCGTTTTCGAAAACTCTTCCTTGTTGACAATACGATACATACATATGTAGCCGGCTGTAGCCGGCAAAAAGACCCGATATTCCCCAATCTCGAGTATTCCATTCAGCAGTGCTAGGATACAGCGAGGATCCAATTGCAAGTCGATCTTCGACACATCAATCTATCAAAATGCAACGTAGATGTTAGATGTTAGATGTTGGATGTTGGATTTACAGTTCATCCATGCTATTGCGGGACTGCGTAACATATCTGGCTCAAATTTACCAGTGTTTTAGTCAGGAACTATACAGCTAATAAGTACCCTCTATCCCTCCCCATTCAATCATATCACCTACCCGTCGGAGACTCTAGCTCAAGTTGAATCTCGGTTCTGTACGATCGAGGCTCTAAACGATGGTTCCCGTGTGGCCCACTTCGTTCCTTTGAAATGTTCAAACTTTGACTTCTCATTCGTCGTATTGATTCTGCATCACAAGACGCGGCACAGCTCAAAAAGGAGTACATACATACAGTACATTCATTACTGTACGTACCTTTTGTGAGATTTTCATTATTTTCTAGTTCTAGGTTGTGCGGGCGCGCACCTCCTTCCTAATTCTGTTTACGCGTCGCTTCTATACTTTATTCCATACATCAAAAGGCTTTTTCCGATTTGCTCCAAACTTGCTTGTTATCCTAGTGGGATATCCAGCCACCGACATGGGTTACACAAAGATATCAGTGCGGGACATTCCAATATCGCATTGCTTCATTCACACCCTATCGAGTGATCAACCTACTCCCCTCTACTCCCTACCCCATTTATACCTCATCCGAAGGTTTTTAACCTAAACTCAAATGTACGAACACCCACCGTGCACTGCAAACAATCTTGGTACATCCTTCAGGCTACCAAACTATTTGGAGTAAATAGTGGTCCTGTTCTGCAACTTCCGACAATACTTCCCGTATATAGATCTACTTACGGAGTACTTCCGCCCCGTTCTTGGCTCGAAGTCTAGTCCTCGCACCATGGGATCTGCATCAAGTCCCGCTCGCGGCAATAATGGTCGTACAAAGCTAGAAGAGACGCAGGCTTGAGCGCTACGAAGACGGGCAGTTATCCGTTCCGAAATGAATGCATGTGAATTCTGTAAAAAACGTCCATCCTTCGCAAGGTGCACCCTATAGAGTCTCTTGTGCAGATGCTAGCTCCTTCACAGAGCGCAATCGCATATCCTCGAGTATGCATAGCTATGGGGCAGAAGTCTCTCCACGCTTACACTTCCTCGAATAAGCAGTCCTCCTTCCATTAACCCAGAACTGCAGGATGAATCACTAAGCTTTTTGACACCAACGTCATCAGTCTGTATGTGCGAATAAGCTTACACAGTTCAAAAGCGATGTACATGCTATTCGGTCAGATCCAAAGGGCAGGTCTGAGCTCGTGAATCACCGGCCCCATCCATCATCAATAATCTGCAAATGCCTGTGCATGAACAACACATAGTTCAGCTCAAAACCCTTTAATTGACAGAGAGATTGAAACACGGGGTATGCACGCGCCAAAAGATTTCTACTAGTTCGCGAATTCGACGACTAGATCGGGGACGTATCCGGTAACACCGAAATGACGGCTTTTTATTGGTATCCAAGAATCAAGCACTTCAAGGTTTGGAATTGCATCTCAAACGAATCATCGATTCGGAATTTGATGTGGTGGTGGTAAAGCAATTTCTCCTTCCTCGACTTCAGCTCTTAATGACACTCCCTGTCTCACGAAAAGGTTCTCTATGATTATGCTGAGGCGGAGAGAGATAGAGCTAGAAGAAAAGGGGAGAACGACCGCGTAAATTTCCACTACAAATATGTTGTGTGTGTGTGTGTGTAAGTGAGAATGTGAATATGCAGTATATGCCAGGGATAAACATGTGATCGTCTGCATAAAAGGTACGAGTCAGGAAATCCTTACATATTGGGCATTTCTGCACCTCTCGCCACAAATGGGTTGCATCCAGATCCCATACAAAGTGGAGTGTGTCTAATATATTTTTTTTTTCAGCTATCGCCCCCCTGATTCTCGAATCAGCATAATATTGGCGAAAGAGTCTTTTATTCTTGCAATAGGAACTCTTTTTCCTTTCATTCGAATGGGGACTACACTAACTGCTTGGTGGTGTCTCGCTTGTCCGATTTTCATTGTTGGAGGAAGGGGGTCGAGTCATTCCCACTTACATACGTATTGTATTGCTTGTTTCCCGGTGGAGTGAAATCTATATCCTTGTTAGCGGTCTTTGTGACTCCCTGAATACATAGAGAATGTACATATACCTCGCTTGCTTGCTTGCTTGCTTGTTCGCTTGCACGCCTGTCCGCAGGATGATGGATGACAAGGAACAGCAAAAAGCAAAGAGTGTCGAACTCCACATCTGCAATTGACAAGGTCTCCAAGGAGTCGAGAAGATGGATCTCCGCACCAGTGTGCGACTGCATGCCATGTCTTGCGTTTCTTGTTCATCGTGAGTTGATATGATATCTGTCGATGACATACTCGGTCTTCGATTACAATGTCTCTGTCTCTCGAATCACGAGTCAATACCCGAGAGTATCAATGAATGGTAAGCTGGCTTCATACTGAGCTTTTCCCTGGTGCCGTTTTCTCTGGGATGCTGCTTGACCGCTGTTATTTCGAAATGTGGCGAAATGGAGTGATGTTGTTAACGTTGCGGTTGTATTTTTGGTGTTGGTGTTGCTGCTGATGTTTGAAGAAAGTTCTTCTGTTGAATAGTAGCATTTGAGGTATCGCCACACCAATATTATCGAGCCAAAACTGCTCGTATCGGCGGAAATGCTAAGTTAATATCTTGTTTCTAGAGTTTGCCACTATGGATGAATAATTAACGGGAGTTCGTTTACGGTAACTTGGCGGCAAAGAGATGGGATGAAAGGAGTGTAATATGACTCTGTATTTCTTCGATAGCCAACGCGCAGAAGGTATCAGTAGTAGGTTTGTTGATATCCTTCAATTCACGCACTAGCGTTTACAATATCATGATATCGATGCTGAAGTCTAGAAAAGACATGCATATCCAGCACGACATACGAGCCTGAAACCGTGTAATTAATGCTAGAAATAGATATCGCGACAATCCTTTCGAGTCTCGCCATGTCCTAGCATCCCTTCTTCTATTCTCGTAAATTTCCTCGTCTATCTATAAAGTCGCTTTCCATCCTAAAGCATCTATCATTTTCATCTGCAGCAGGCTGCAGTGGAAACTTTTACTTCAACTTTAATGTAATCAGTTTGATTTAATGGATAGATCAGTGTAGCTAGCTGTAATTAATAGGTATAAATTAATGTGCAATGCAATATAAGATCTTGAATAATATTCGTGATGAACAGTATCGTATATACACTTTGAATTATATCTACATCTGATACATCCTGGAGACGCGGGACGATCTTCGAGGTTGGGAATGGGAATGGGAATTCCAGGGTATTGTGATGCTGATGCTGGCGAGGATAGGAGTCGTGTGGTATCGTATCGTGTTGTGATATGATGGTAATTACAAAATTGTGGTGATGAAGCAGAGATAGAGCTAGAGGTAGAGATAGGGAGAGAAAATACTTTAATATGAGATCTATTATTACTGCTGCTAGGTAGGAGTTTAATGGTATATGTAGCTTGTTGGTTGGTGGTGATTCATTATAGAGTTTAGATTACGCAGTGCAGTGTAGTGTAGTGCAGTGTAGTGTGGTATTCTTTCTTCTTCTGGTGTTATACTTTTAGACTTTTAGACTTCTCCCACATCCAATCTGGTATACTCGTAATTTGCCCACCCCATTCATATTCGCATTTATACATTCATTTATCTCCCAGAAATTTTCGCAATCTGTTTGCTTTGCTTTCTTTTGGTTCTGTTAATTACTTCATGTTCCTCGAATGAGCATATCATGCTGCGCTATCGTGTGTATGTGTATATATATGTGTGTGTGTTCTCCTGGCTTGTCAGTAAGTATTCTTTAAAGTTTATTTATGTTCTCTGTGTTTAGATTGCTCTTGGGAAATGTTTATTATTTGTGGCAAGGAGGATGGAGGGAAGAGGAATGAATACAAATCCTGTTATTCAAAGCGACGAATCGCTATAAGACGGCGAGCATATATAGTCACGTTCATGTATGATCTACATCTCCTCGTGTATGGGGGATAAAATATAGAAGATTATATAGAAGTGGGAATATATCGTGTTAGATCGTATGAGGAAAGTGAGGTGACGGATGTGCTTTGAGTGCCGATAAATATAGCTTTGAGCGTGTGGACGATAACGTGTAAATCACCTCGTGTCTAGGGATAGAAGATAGATTAGCTTTTCAGGAACGACAGTTTTTTGATGGGAGCTGCTTGACATGTTACTTGAGGCTGTAGAAGTGGGTTTGCTTTATTGCTTCGGTAATTTCATACTTTAAATATGTGATATCTGCGCATAGAGATTCTCTCATGTGCTTTGACATGAACCATAAGCCTAGTGCCACAGAAGAATCCCGGTACGAATGAATGACTAAACGTCCCTTAAATGCAGGCGTGGAGATTCATATGCACGGCATGAAGTTCATGCAATGTACCTTGTCCGCTAACTCTTTCGAGGATAGGGGTAAAATTACTTTTGGGGGTTCTGATATTAAATTAGATACAATATCGTTTAACGCAAAACGAACCCCTGAAAGATATATCCTACCACGAGACTACAGGGAACTCACCCGTGCGCCAGTATATCAAACTGGTTGGTGGGTATCAGGATCCACTTGCTTCTTCCAGCTGAAGTTATTCCCGTTAAATGACAGTAGTGGGAAAATAGTTGCACGTACTAAATTAAAACAGATGGTGGTAAATATTAGAAAAAAGCTTAATTGACCGGTTGAGGAGTATACTATTGTGCTCATATTTAGCTATAATTAGCAAGTCAAATCTTAGCATCAAATATATGACGTGCGGATGGTGATATAGATTATATATGAAAATCCCAATCATAGTAAAAGTTAAGGGACTGATAAGTGGAAAAATAGTCATAAATCAATGGCAAAGTAACATAGTATGGAGGAAATACAAATGGAATATACATATCTGTTGACCTCCTGGGATCTTGGCAGCAAATGCATATATATTGCATGATGCATATAAGGAGCAAACAAAACTCAACTTTTAATTCATTCTTTCCTTTTTGGTATACTGTTTGTTTGCTTTCAATATTTTGATTTCAAAGCACTTTAATTCCGAAGGCTGAATACCTAACCTTATTCCTTCATTTTTTGAATATATACTCGCAGCTTAACTGCTTAGCTAGAGAATCAATCAATTCAATCTGATGCTCTTTCTGGTCTCAATAAACCCAATAATATCTCATTAGTGTTTCTTTTCTGGATTTTGCGAACTTACCTGAAAGGCTTCTCAAAATGGATCGAATAATGTATAAATTGTACATAAGCATCGTTTTTGGGGCTTTAAGAAAGAACTGCTTTCGCTTCTCCCGGTTTCTCACTGGAGGATCTCTACTGGGAGAGGTTTCCTTAATTCTAAATAAAATTAATTGGAAAAAAATGAAAAAGAGCATAAAGAAGAAATAGGTATGAAAATTGAAGGAGAGAAATAAAGATAGATATTGAAAATGTATTCTAAAAGTAGATAATAGATAATAGATATAATAGATAGTAGATAAGTAACAAAGACGAATGGTAAATATTAAGGTTAAATGTTGAAGTTAAATGTTGAAGTTAGATATTAAGAATAGATATTAAGAATAAATATTAAAAATAGATAGAGGATAATTATTAAAAATAGTTGAAGATAGATAAGGAGATATTGAGGACAGATATTAAGGATAGATGAGAGGATAGATGAGAGGATAGATGAGAGGATAGATGAGAGGATAGATGAGAGGATAGATGAGAGGATAGATGAGAGGATAGATGAGAGGATAGATGAGAGGATAGATGAGAGGATAGATGAGAGGATAGATGAGAGGATAGATGAAGAAGAAAAAAAGGTTTCAGACAGAGAGAAAATGAGGACTTTATTTATAGTTTTTGGTCTACTAGCTTGGTGATCTCTGGATGTACTATTTGGTCACGAATAGTAGATTCCAGAAGTCAAAAGAGTAACTCGATGCTCGAAAGAATCTAGCTCCTGATTTCGGTATCATTAACCCTTCAAATGAGGGACAGGTGAATTGTTAGTCTACTTACTAGTAAGGAAGAAAGAAAGTGTAATTCTGTGGGTATCACAGTATTCCGATCAAGAATAACCTAATGTCAGTCTTTCATGAAGTCTAGAGGAAAGAGAAACTCAGAATAGAACAGCTTCAATCAGGCAGCAATAAGAAGACTCGGAGCCGTTGCATCATGATTCATGATGATTAGCTGGTAAACTAACAACAGGTTGAATGGGAAAGCACGTTTTGCCGTAAAATCGGATCACTGGACTAAATGCGTGATGTATTCTAAATGTACAGAATCATAGCCCCTACAATCAAGGAGAACTTCGATTCGAACTTTGATATCATTTAACGAAGGCTTGGACATTGGTTGTTCGTTTACTTGTAGACAAGCAGATTTGATATCAAAACCCTCTTGTGGTAGGCTCCATAGATTCTGATGAAGTTTAAGGAAGACCAAAGGACACGATCAAGGTTAATGGTTCAATGCTCAGAGCGAGATTGGATAACTGTAAGAGATATAAAGCTCTAATGGCCAGGTATGGATGTGAAAATTTAGATTGCAATCAAAAAATATTTCGCTATATCAAACGTCGCCCTAGAACCGAAGGATAGAGCAACGAGGAATCACTTGCCAATTATTGAAGAAGTAGATGCTAAATATACCATATAAAAGTGCCTATAGAATTGATAAAATTGTCAGGTAGCCAGAATTTATGTCCCGTTTCCGGAACCCTATAAATGAACCGTATGGTAAGGTTGATGCATGAGCCGTTGATCACACAAATCAATAGCCTCGGGGAGGAAAGTGCTACGACTTGTTTGACGTGTATAGCATCATACACTTCCAGTCAAATAATTATCATAACTAGGCAGTCCACTATTGGAGCATAACCATGTGCACTGTTGAAGACCATATGCTAGTACGGCACCGTACTTTCCTGGGTTAAACAATTGCCGCCATAATTCCAGTACAATTCTGAGCGTTGCCTATCCATAATACATATACGGTGTCTAAAGTCACGGCACTTAAAACTCTATATTCAACAACTAGACATTCAAAACATGAAGACAATAAACACTCGACAAGCACCTAAATACGCCCAAGGGATTGGCAACTTAGAATCAAACATCTCAACACAATGCAGACCAACCATGTCATTGGGGTGCTGGTTACTGTTTTCATGGTATGTATGGTTCTCCTTGGTATAGGAGTCTACTACTTCGTTCAAGCAATGCAGAGACGTCGTTTCCGGGCCCGAAACTTTGGACAATCGTCGACGAGTGAAACACAAGGAACTCGATCAATATTTCCCAGCCAGGCATCATCAGAACAATGGAATCAAGAATCTCAATCGTCTAGCTCGACCCAATCACGTTCAACTCGAGCTTCAGCTCGAAGAAGTGATAGTAAACAAAAATATCAGGCAAGGTCTGAACGCTCTCGTAGACTTTCGGACATTGCAGAGGAATGGCAACATGGTGGTTATCAAGGAGTATCGCCGGAAGCTACCTCAGATGAGACAGCAGAGTCTATCTTGCAACTGGAACAAGAAATACCAGCTTCTCATGGTTGCAACCAGACTTGCCATGAACATCACCCAAAGCCTGGTGAACGCCAGATCGGGCTTGGTATAGCTCATGGAAAGGGACGTTCGGTATTTGCATAACGAGTAAGTGGAAAACCATTTCCACACCTCTCCTGACATACAGACGACACCTCATCTATCCAGAAATACTTGCGCTGTCATGCTGACTCGGCTGAGGTTCCTTGTTCACAGTAGAAAGTACCATTGTCTTCCTACATGCAAAATTTGCCACTACTTCCGACTTTGGTTTACTTACTCGTTGCTTTCTCTGGTCATAGGCTTTCGTGTTTGTCCGAATGGTATATTGCAATCTTGTTATCATCCAGTATTTCCACCCTCATCCACTTCTAGCATGAAATTGGGGCTCCAATACTCCCACTCTTCACTTTGCTTATCGACCCACAACATACTCTCTGAAACGACATCTTCGATGGCTGTCTTAGCTCTTGCCCTTGGCCAGCGAAGATTCAACATGAGCATCGAGACGCTAACATATCCTAGTACTTGCGCGGCTTCCAGAACAGCACTCTGATCTGTGTTAAGTTCTTTGGGTATCGAGCGGATATATGTTTTGTGGCCAACGGTTATGGTGGAATATGAAGAACCAAGGGGTTTGAGGGTAGTCACGGCACGAAGGATATCATCACTGGCCAATAATTAGCATTTTGCCCATCACAAGGATATCATAAGGTGATCAATACTCAGTTATTTCAGCCCCACCTTCCATTCTTCTGCTCATGATTTTATCTTTAACCTCTTTCACGCCGATAAGCCCACCATTTTCTTCTCTTGTAGCACCACAGACTTCCACAACTCTTACTGCCAACTCGAAATAGAAATCATTCACACTTGTACCAAGCATTTGAGCCCAAAAACTACCACTCCCATCTTTACCTCCAGCATTATTACTACTTGCTAAAGGGTCAACTCCAATAGCTGAGCACATACGCGCAAACTCGGCGCGGAAAGTGGGATTCGAGCGTATATCTTTGGCATGAGTTTGAGCAAATTGCTGAAGTAAAGAACGGAAGACCGACAACTGAGTAGCTAGAGATGTGGAGTGAGAACTTCGTAGATTATTTCCATGAGACGCGTATTGAGCAGACGTGATCCGAGACCTGTCGAAAGCTGCGAGACCGACACCTTTGCGAGACATTGTAACAACTACTCTGTGAAATGGATTTGAGGTCTCACGGTACTCCGTACCCGCACAGAGTAAATGCTTTGCGATAAGGATAAGACATCGGTGTGTAGACTGGGGTGGAGAGGCTGAGCTAACCGCTTTTGGCGTTAGCTGATTTCGCTAATTGAGCGGTTCGCACTTTTTGCAAATGGAAAAATACCCTCAAGGAATTGAAGAACATCGCGACAACGACGACAACACTTTACAACCACCTCGACTATTTACGCCAAGGTGAGCTCACATTCCGACCTGATTTGAACTGCGATCGCTTTTGGGATTTTGGAATATTGGAGGATTGGCACGTTACTTGGAGGTTCTGGAACTCGGTCATGGATTTTTTCGACATTCGACAAAAGCATTATCAATTGTTTTTTATGATACTGGCTGGCATTTTTGGTGGAACAAGAAGCTAACATATATTCGAATTTGAAGGACAATAATCCAAAATGGCCTCCACTCAGTCTGTTCAGTGTTTCGGAAAGAAGAAGACCGGTAAGAATTTCAATCTGAGTTTGGCCATCTTGAAATGCACACCAGAACTAACAAATTTTTTTTTAATATAGCCACCGCAGTTGCCCACTGCAAGGTACGCATTTCCTCGACGAAAATTCCACACATCCACAACAACAGCCGGAAGAATTTATATACTGATCACAAGGAAATAGGCCGGAAAGGGACTTGTCAAGGTTAACGGAAAGCCTTTGAACTTGGTCCAACCTGAGGTCTTGAGATTCAAGGTCTACGAGCCCCTCTTGATCGTCGGTCTCGAAAGATTCGCCGGTGTTGACATCCGTGTCCGAGTTACCGGTGGTGGTCAAACCTCCCAAATCTATGCCATCCGTCAAGCCATCTCCAAGGCCATCGTTGCCTACTACCAAAAGTTCGTCGATGAGCACTCAAAGAACCAATTGAAGCAAGCCCTCGTTACCTACGACAGAACCCTCTTGGTTGCCGATAACAGACGTTGCGAGCCAAAGAAGTTCGGAGGTCAGTTGTTGTGTATAGAGAGTAGGATTTCAGCTAATATTTTCAATAGGTCCCGGTGCCAGAGCCAGATACCAAAAATCTTACCGTTAAATTTGGGGTTTTATGGGTTGCGGATTTGGGGGAGTGGTTATGCTGCATTTGCATTGGACTGGCTTTTTACGCTGGTTTATAGAATTATGAGCAAATAAATGCAAAATTCTTCCGACATGTTCATGAACTAAGGAGCATATGGCAATGGAAATGTTGATTAATACAACGACAAAGTGCTAAGAACTCGCGTGAGTTCTGTTGTGTGATTATCTGGTGATAAGGGGGGTCGCTTCAAACGACCGAAAGCACTACGTAGAAATGGCCACATCTACATCTACAAATACACTTCCCATTCCGACCAATCATCTATTTCTCCAGGTCGTGTGCGATGGCCCACAGCACAATATGTGATGCACAAGTCTTCTGCCTATCTTTTCCGGATCTCAATGACCGTAGATTTCGTGAAATGGAGTTTTCCTTGAGTTTAAAAAGAGTGTCATCTTAAATTACAGCGCAGTATACCCTCTGTTACGCCCTACTGGAAATTCGAATCATGTCGAATGTCGAGCAGCCAGCCAAACTCCAGATAAATAAGTCAAACCACCTCCAACCCAACCCCAATCTATCCAGTCCCCAACTCTAATCCTTGATATTTGCCAAAATTGTCTTCATCATCTCATTACCTACTCTCGTTGCCTCCGGGAATCTTGGAGCGAAGAACATTTGCGTTTTTTCAAACCTATCCTTCCAACTCTCAAAATCTCCAAACTCTACACACTCGCTCCATCCTCTAGCCGCAAACGTAAACTCTAAATCATCAGAACGGAATGTGTTGTCTTCAATAGCTGTATTGATAACCTCATCTAACAATTTCTCATTTCGAAACAGATATTCCGAGACACCGAGCCAAAGACGAAAGAGAGGCGTGCTACAGATCATATGATCGTAGGGAATAATATTAAGACGGGCCCAACAGTCCACAATGGCAAGTAGAGAGAGGTGATTATTTGGAGTAGGTTTCTCGGGTTTCTTGCCCAAGGAAAAACGATCAAGCACTTCATCTCGCAAGAGTAATTCATCGGACTTTTTGCGCCCAGCAAAGACAAATCGTCCTGCACTCTTGATTCGCTCTTCTAGCTCTCTTCGGTGCCCTCCCAGCATCAACTTATATAGATCTGTCACGCTTTGTGCATACTCTCTAATCTGTTCTTTGGCATAAGGGTTCAGGATGGCGAGACCGGCGTAGACATGCCATTTTTGAGAATAAATACGAAGAGTCAGATTGATTTTGACGTTTTCGATACCTCCAACGTAACGGGCTATCTCCCAGGGAAATTGAAGGTTGGCGTGCCAGGCTTTACCCATGGATAGGAAGGCTGCATGGGTGACGGCTTGGGTATCTGCTGTGATACGGTCGTGCTGAGATGCTGAGAGGACATGCTGTTTGGAGCCGAGGCAGGAGAGTACATGCTCGACTTTTTCGAAACTTTCTTGAGAAGCACGATGTTTGATCAAGACCTGTGTTGTTCTTAGGCCACGTGAAAGCGTGATACGACCGGGATACTTACAAGAGGTTGACCTCGAGGATCAACATTGGGACCGTGGAGGGAATGGCAAGATACGATTTCAACATCAGGAGGTAGATATTTCTCAAATGCTGCTATCTCAGGAGCTTTGCATGAGGTTTGTCCTCCTACTATCGCACCTTGCTTGGTGGCTACACAGATGATTAGAAGATGAAGATGATAGGATTATGTAAACCATACAGGGACCATATTCAGCTACAACCTTGCCGATCGCGGCGGCTTCGACATTGTAAATAGTGTAATCACTTGCTCTGGAAACGAGATGGCCATTGGGAAGAATTGTAATTTGTTTCTATGGAGGTCTCAGCACAAGCTGCAGGCTCAAACTATCTAAAACGCTGGGTATTTACTCTATCTGCAAACTCTTCACACAAGGCTTCATATTTCTCCTCCCTATCGCAGGCATTCACTCTGCCCCAAGTATATCAGTAGCTGTCAAGTTCAAGTGGTATAACTAAAGTTTGATTGTTAGCTTCTGCGAATTCGAGATGTAACAAAAACTTCAAAAGTGATTTGATTGATTCAGACAAAATAAAATAAGGTAGCTGAGATTTTTCATCATAGAAAGCCAGCCTCCGACCTGGTACCAGAATGGTAGTCAGGCCAGCTGAAGGCGATGCTCGAGCCAAATGCACTCAGGTCATCATTATAAAGAGGAACGGAGGAAGAAAGAGGGTGCTTACCATTACAAAAGCGGGCTCAACGAAAACTCAATTGAGGGTATTTACCTCCATCCAGCATCGCTGAGCCTGCGGGCATACATCTTGCCCATGTCACCCATACCAATGATACCGATGACAAAATTATCCATTTTCCCCTCAAGGTCTGACTTGGCTGAAGTAGCCATGTGCGCGACACAATACCAGTAGCTTAAAAGACTGTGTAATGTAAGTATCCGTAAAAAAACTCAAATCTGGCCAACTGTCCCAATTCTACACGTTGTGAGAAAAATTGAAATATTCAAGTCATTGAAAATATTGTTGTTATGGTGGTTGGAAAGAAAAATTCCAATTGACCGAGAGAAACTTTATGTCTTTTTTTCGAGCCCCATTACGCTAAGGAAAGATAGCAAACTATTCCTATTTCGTATTAGCGCGCACAAATTCGCCAAATTTTGGAATTCGAATGTCCTACCCTTCCATTTCGAAAACCTCTGATATTTTCGAAAACTTCGTCGATCAATCCTTCAGCAACTAACCAACATGCCTCCAAAGAAAGCAGCACGCCCAGCGCAAGAGAACATCAACCTTGGCCCTAGTGTCAGGGAAGGTAAGCAAAATTCCAATTCCTGGAGAAATTTGATGCAAATTGCTAACCCCGCGGCTTAGGTGAACTCGTTTTCGGTGTCGCCCGTATTTTCGCATCTTTCAACGATACCTTCGTCCATGTCACTGATCTTTCGTATGTACTCCCCCGAAAAAATCTACAGTAGGAAATTTGGTGTTGTGAAATATACATTGTGCCATTTTGGAATGAAAAGGTTCATAGGCTGACTTTCTGGGTGATTCCAGTGGCCGCGAAACCATCTGCCGTGTTACCGGTGGAATGAAGGTCAAGGCCGATCGTGATGAGTCTTCCCCATACGCTGCTATGTTGGCTGCTCAAGATGTTGCTGCCCGTTGCAAGGAATTGGGCATCACTGCTCTCCACATCAAGATCCGTGCTACCGGAGGTAAGAACACAATCAAGGACTCTAGAATTACTGAGAGCAAAACTAACACTCATTCCTTACAGGTAACGGAACCAAGACCCCAGGTCCAGGTGCTCAATCCGCTCTCCGTGCTCTTGCCCGTACCGGCATGAAGATTGGCCGTATTGAGGATGTTACCCCAACCCCATCCGACAGCACCCGTCGCAAGGGAGGTCGCCGTGGTCGTCGTTTGTAGACGTGCCAATTCTGGCTACAAGCATGGAGCAGAATATGGGTTTTATTGTGCAACTGATGACAACTACGCGGAGAACGGCATTTATTGCCTGGTCTCTATATCTCAAATCTGGGCTTGGGTCGACCTTGTCTCATTTGTCACGTAAGCGTTTTAGCAAAGTGCGGCCATGAATATCACGATTTCTGCAAATGAACTAAAAACAGATTTATGCTTGACCATTATATGTGACAATTGTACTTGCTTGTATGTTTCGTGGATCGCAGATATGTTCGGAACTGCGCTTCGTGAATGTCAATCCTGATACACACCGCTTATTCATCCATGCTGACGACCCTCTGTAAAACCAAGAAGTCCTCCGTCGTAGAACCGCATAAAACATGCCCCATCCATGGAATATAATTTCCTCAAAGTATCACCCATCTTCGCATCCCGACCTAGATACATCCCTCATCCTCAATGCAAAGCCAATCCATATTACATCCCAAACCAAGCCGTGATTCATTAATTCGTAAAGGGTATCCAGCTTTCAAAATCATCTTTGTAGAAACCACTAAACCATTAAATCGTGAGATCGTAAGTGTAAGCTCCCGTCTTGAAAGTCAAGAACTCAAGAAATCAAAGAATCGAAATTAAAATCTAAAAAAAAAGGGTTGTAGTAATGCACTTGCCTCTGTTCTGCGACTTGAAGCGTAGCAGAAACAGAGCAGCTGAGGGATGGAAAGTTGTATTAGGAAAAGTCGGGGAAAGAGAAATTGAATATAGAGTATAGGAGGAAAAGTCGAGCGTTAGGATACATTTGGAAGGGCCCAGGCGAATCCGGAGCGACTGATGCGGTTACTTCTTGACTTTTTGGACTTGTCGGATTTGTCGGATTTGTCGGATTTGTCGGATTTGCGACCTAGAGGCGCAACACGAGGGATGGGTTAGATGAGTGGTTGGTGGGTACGGCAAGATAGGAGGGGGGTGGAAGGGAGCGAAGGGAGCGAAGGGAGGAGTGGGGTTGCAAATGGAGGGAATGGATGGTATTGGAGATAAATAGTGTTAGACAAGAAGCATGTGAAGTGTGGTGGGATGTAAATACTGAGTGTAACATGATTTGATTTGCTACAGAATTATGCGATCTTTCTCGAGCCCATCTTCATCGAGATCTACTACCATCGGCGCGTACTCACCTCGTTCATCTTCGTCCTCGAAATCCTTGAGCTCTGCGTCAATCATCTCTCCATCCTCAAGCTGGAATTTTCCAGACCTAAGATAGTTTCCACGTAGATCCCATCCCCATTTCCAGAGCCAAGATTCAAATGCTTCAAATGCTTTTCCGACTTCTTCCTGCTCGGGAGTGATCTTGGAACCATTAGAGAGAAGTTGCTCATTTAGACGAGACTTGAACTTGGTGAGAATGATCTTCAAATCATCCCCAAGATGGGAATCGTGATCAAAGATACTGGTATCGAACCCCTCTTCGTCATACATAAACTGCGCATGAACGGCGGTGATTACCTTACGGAAGAAAACTGGGTGATCCATGGAAAGGCGATATGCTCCAAATAGCTTGCTGATAATGATACCCCACTGTTCCATGCAAGCAAGGTTTCCAAGGACCATTCCAGTGATGTAGCAAAACTGTAACTCTCCTATAATCTCATCTGAGTCTTCGTAAGTGCAGTTTGCGATAGCTTCAACGATATAAGCCGTGCTATCGATTGCCTGCTCGGTGCGCTCGCGACCCGTGGATGCATCGGAAAAGGTACGTGAATTTCTTGGAAAAACAAAATTAAGGAAATCGTCTCCATCGAAATTCGTACTGTTGCCTTTGACATCACGCGGGGCGCTTGTAGCCTGTAGCTCTGTCGTCTTAATGTCATGGCTAGACGAGACTTTCCAACTATTCCATTTGCCACCCGTAACTCTCTTGAGGTAGGGATGCTTGATACAAGAGGTCAAGTGACGCCACTTGTCGCTGCCATAAATGTCTTCAGCAGCGATCGGAGAACTTGGGAAGTTGACGAAAGTTGGTGAAGTGGAAACAGAGCCAGCGGGTTTTGGGCTTGGGACTGAAGTATTGCTCAAGTATGGTTCGAGTCTATTGACGATTTCAGGTATGCTGGCCTTTTGAATTCGTTTTTCTGCTTCGCTGACCTCCTCTTCCAAACACTCATGATAATTATCCCATCTTAAGACGTGAGCGTCACCATACTCGTCTGAAGCTAGTTTCATAGTCATAAACCAGAAACCGGTGCGCGAGGATCCATTCGCTGATCCTCCCCAGAAGAAATGGGCTCCAGGAGGAATATTCTTAACGCCCTCAAGGGTTCCCTCAGTCTTGATAGTATAAGCTTTTGTGTCGTATCCAAACATTGAACCCGGCGGAAGGCTTCCAACGATAATGACATCGCCATCCTTCAAAACTTCGTGATGTTCCACACCTCGCCCTCTGGTAGGTGATGGAGAGTGAACTCTCAAGGTACCGAGGGGATAGTTACCAACGACGTTGACGGAATGGACTGACTTCTCTGACTTCATTGACAGACTGGAAGAAAACGAATCTGATTTCAACAATGTAGATCTGTTGACTTCTCTAGTATTGCTTCCATTTGAATCACCATGCGACCTTCTTTGATCATCTTCCCTGATTCTGTCTTCACCATGAGTGCTGGCAAGTGCTGAAAACCCCAATCGAGGACTGCTTCCATTGGACTTTATTGATAATTGTCCAGAGATAGCTGACACATGAGATTTTGTTGTAGGACTCCTTTGAAGGGAAATCTGATTTTGTATGAACGAGGGATCAGGTCTGATGGTTGGATCTTCGATCTTGGTTGTTCCAGAGATCGATTCATTCAAAGTAGATTGAGAGGAGTTGTCAGAAACCAGATTATTGACAGGAAGGTCTCCACTGATGTGTTCCATTGTGAAAGCTCGAGCCAGAAGGCAATATATGGATTGTGGGGTCTGTAAATAAAGAATTTGGGAGGTATGAATGGACGGAGAGAGTTAATTTCTCAAAATAATTACCGAAGTAACCAAAATTAAGAAATAAATGATCACAAGAGTGCGGCCGCCTGCCTCCGAGACAGGTTGATTGGATCTTCAAAAACAAAATACGTTTATTTATTATTAATGTTGTGATGATGAGGAGGCAAAATCCAAACTTGAAGAATTCACCATTTTTTGAAGAAAGTTAGCTTAAAATTCTTTAAGATTAAGGCCCACTAGGACTTTTCATTGGACTGTTTGAGATGAGATATGTCTGGAATTGGTAACATCATGTTCCTTGAGGTTTGTTCCAGTATGTTCTCCTCCAGAAACTTCTTTTGATATTGGCCGGCTCCGGAATAACAAAGAGGCCGGGATCCTCAAAAAGTATTGGGAATCCAAACTTATCATTTCCTTCAAAAGTTTTGAATCGAGTGCCTTTTGAACATAGCATTTGAAAAACAGCCAAAGTTTGGTTATGACTACCTGAGATAGTCAGTAGAAGTTAATAAATAAATCATATCTGATTCATTTGCATGAATTCACATATCCCAATTTCCATCACTATTTTCGCTTATGTAACCCTGAAGACGATGCAACTAGGGTCCCACATTGCGGAGAGGCCCCACCATTTTGACATCGGCTCAAAGCTGCTTCCATATTTTATCAACATTGACACCCCTGCAGAGCACGCCGAATCAGAGCAGTCAGAGCACTCCATGGAATTGCTCTTGCTGCGACCTTGAGAGAATGGATTCTGGTCAATCAGCTGCGACAAATGCTTCTAGCCAGTCCGGAACCAATGTAGACGGAGATGCTCAACAAACAGCAGTTTCCGGGTCCGAAGAGGTATGGGATGAAGCAAAACTCGAGCAGGCGATGAAAACTTTAAAGGAAATGCATATTCAAGTCAGTCACATATCATGAGTGGTTATAACGAGTATTAGCTAACAAGGTGTTTAGTGTCGCAATATACGATCTACAATCCCGAGACTGCTTACTCCATTGGCAACTAAGCAGCAATCACGTACGTTCTTAATCTGCGTTTTAAGAAGCACCTAAGCTTCAGGAAGTTGTAGCTGACCAGTATATACAGCCGAGAAGCTCTTTTCTTCTTTTCAGCAAGCAGCTACCACTTCAAATAAAGAAGTACGGGATTTCACACGGCTGATGAAAGATGAAGAAAGTGTGAAGCTCTTTGAGCATGCAAAGAAGAGTCGAGCCGAGAATCCACATGGGATAAAACCTTGGAGAGTCACACAACACCCTGATTGGCTTGATGGAGATACATGAGATATATTCCGCGACAAACGGATGTAATATAGGATCTAGGGGTGTCGAGGATTTCTGGGTAAGGGGCGTTTTTGGGATATCCGGTGGTGGGCGTTGTGTGATTTTGGTAGATATATCATAACTGGGAAACGCATAGAAAAACACACATTTCATTAACCTAATAACCTGGAGCGTGATGTTCCTACTTGCAATAATCGACGTCTCTTCTTTACTTTCCTGTGTTCTCAAAGCACATGTGTACGTATCCACTTCCACTGCGCATCATTGGATGTGTTCAGAGACAGTATGGAAAATCGCTTTCGTTGCAATATGCCCAATAGCGACAGATGACCTTTGAAGATCACATGTTCCTGAGCTGAGCTACAATAACCTCACTATAACATAATATAAAATAATATGCAAGCGCAATGTCATTTTGTTTAATGATCAGACACTCAAATACTAAAGTTTTCTCAAGCAAAATGCCACATTCTGAAAACGTTTGTCAATTCGATTACCACCTGTGGACAATGCATCGACTTCTTTCAAGGTTCAGAGCAATCTGCTAACTAAACGTATACCTACTGCTCATTGGCTGTAATAATTTTCCCGACCTTCAAGGCAGTATTCCTCAGCCAACGCAAAAATTGAGTGAATAGTGTAGAGTCACTTTTACGAATTATCAGTAGATCTTTACTCTCTATTATCTTGATAATTTATTCTGACCTATTCACATCTATCGATACCTACGTACCTAATTGTCACTCTCAAGGCCACCACCGTCCTTATCCTTTTTGTTAGGGCAAGATTCATTTTGTTCGAAAAAAGTCGCTTAATTTTTGGTTCCCCGCCAATTATTCCTACTGGCAACCTTTTTTCTAAACTCGAGGCTAAAGCAAATACCACCCACTCGCAACCATCAACATGTCTAGATTCTTTCGTGGCGACAGTTCCAGCGAGAGCAGCTCCGACGAGGAGGAGGATCTCTACTCTGACGACGAAGAAGTTCAAGAGCAACCCGAAGAAGAATCTGAAGAAGATGATTCGGAGGAGGACGATGATGATGATGACTCCGATTCCAGCAGCGATGATGGAGTTGGCAAAAAGACCGGCGCGAACGCTTTCTTGAAAGATGACTCCGATTCCGATAGTGAGAGCAGTGGAGATGAGGGAGTTAAGGTCGTAAAGTCTGCGAAGAACAAGCGATTCGAAGAACTTGAGGCGACCGCGAAAGCCATCGAAAATGGCGAGAAGATTAATGATTGGGGATCGATCTCGGCAGGTCAGTAGATCCTACTAAAAACAATTCCTTGTGGCATAGCTAACTATTGTGTTACAGAGTTCGATAAGCTCAACCGACAGGTCGCCAAACTTCTACAATCCGGCACAACTCCAAAGGTTTACATCAAAGCACTCGCCGAGTTGGAAGATTTCATGAATGAAACCTTGGCGAAGCAGAAGGTGACGCCAAAGAAGATGAACGCAACCAATTCTAGAGGTTTGAATGCTGTTAAGCAGAAGCTCAAGAAGACCAGCAAGGAGCATCAGAAGGACATCGACTCTTTCAGAGCGGACAAGGATGCATACATGGAATCAGAAGACGAGGAAGTCGTGGCACCAAAACCAAAGAAAGCCAAGTCCTCAGCTGCAGCTCAAAATCTTGTCATTGACGGTGATGATGATGAAGGATGGGGTACTGTTGGTAAGGGCGGACGAACTCTTCAATTCACGCCAGAGAGTATTCTTAAGCACTTGAGGACCATTCTCGAGTCCCGAGGTAAAAAGAATACCGACCGCAATGAGCAAATTAAGATCATGGAAAAGTTGTATGAAGTAGCAGCTACTCCTTACCAACGCATCAGAGTCCTCTTGACCCTTATTTCCACAAGATTCGACATGACTACTGGTACTCAAACTTTCATGTCCCAAGAGCAATGGAAGGCAGCGGAGAAGGAATTCGCAACATTACTGAGTGTCGTCGAAACAAACCGGGAATTTGTGGTTGTGGAGACCGCAGAACCATGGGAGGATGATGAAAAGCTTCCTACGGTTGCCGATGGCGAAAAGTTCAAGATTCCAGGAAGCATAGTCTCTTTTGTCGAAAGACTCGATGACGAGCTTACAAGATCACTTCAACATATCGATCCCCATACTGCCGAGTACATCGAACGCCTTTCTGATGAGAGTGATCTTTACAACAATATCGTCAGAACTATGTTGTACCAAGAAGAAATTAGCAAGGACGAAAGCTTGACTGAACCCCAACGCAGCTTGAACAGAGTTGTTATGAGAAGATTGGAGCACGTATACTTCAAGGTTTGTAAATCTTACTTTTATCTCAGAATCTCTACTTATTTTTTTATAGCCATCTGCAGTCATCAAGATACTCGACGAAAATTGCTGGAAAGCAATCCCCGCAGAGCTCGACTCCACCATCACACCAAGAGGCTCCGTTCAAGATGCCAAGACCTTGGTCAATATTCTCTGCAACTACCTTTACATCAACACTGAGGGCGAGGGACTCACCAAAGCACGGGCTATGCTTTGCCAGATCTATTTCGAGGCTCTACACGACAACTACTACAAAGCTCGTGATATGATGCTTATGTCTCACTTGCAAGAAACTATCAATTCGTTCGACGTTCACAGCCAAATCTTGTTCAACCGCACCCTTGTTCAAGTTGGTCTCTGTGCTTTCCGAGCCGGCTTGGTGTATGAAGCTCAAACAACCCTCCAAGAAATCTGTGGTAGTGGCCGTCAAAAGGAATTGCTTGCACAAGGTGTCATGATCCAGAGGTATAACCAAGTCACCCCAGATCAAGAACGTCTCGAAAAACAACGTCAACTTCCATTCCATATGCACATTAACCTCGAACTTCTTGAATGTGTATACCTCACCTGTAGTATGCTTCTCGAAATTCCTCTATTTGCACAAACTGGTTCATCTCCCGACATCAAGAAGAGAATTATCAGCAAGACCTACAGACGTATGCTCGAATATCATGAGCGTCAAATCTTCACTGGACCTCCTGAGAACACTAGAGATCATGTCATGCAAGCATCAAAGGCGTTAGCTCAAGGTGAATGGAAAAAGGCCACCGATTATATCCATTCGATCAAGATTTGGGAGCTCATGTCCAAGCCTGAGGAAATTAAGGCAATGCTCTCAGCACAGATTCAAGAAGAAGGTCTCCGAACATATCTTTTCACCTACGCTCCTTATTACGATACTTTATCCGTCAACAGACTCTCATCAATGTTTGAACTCCCTGACCGAAAGGTTGCTGCCATTGTTAGCAAGATGATTAGTCACGAGGAACTTGCAGCCGCATTAGATCAAGTCAACTCTTCAATTATCTTCAGAAAGGGTGTTGAGTTGAGCAGACTCCAAAGCTTAGCATTGAGCCTTAGCGACAAAGCTAGTGGCTTGATTGAAAGCAATGAGCGCACACTTGAGACAAGAACACAAGGCACAGCTAATGCTTTCGAAAGACAAGGTGGCAGAGGTGGACGTGGTGGTAACAGAGGAGGTCGTGGTGGTAACCGTGGTGGACGTGGTGGTATCTCCAATGCTCCAAGGCAAGCTGGTGGAACACAATTCACTGGTGGTGCTTTAGGAGCTGCTGTTGGTAGCAGAGCTTAAATATGGATGGATGGAAGTGTTAATGCATTGGGAATGGGTTGCTTACAGCGCTGTAATTGACCCTAAGGCGTTTTAATGTAGAGCTTAGGAAAAGCTAGGTTCATGCTCCACGAAGACAAAAGAAATGAAAATATTTGATCATATTTGAATCTACTTGAAAACTTTTTACTCTTTTATATTTTCATCTTATTATATGATGTGAGATATAAACAATATAATATATTTTATTTTATTTTATTTCAGGTATTTATATCTGAGAGTTGTTTAATTATTAGATCCGAATTCAGATAATGAAGAAAATATTATAAGACATTTTAAATCTAAGAATTTATTTACTATCTATTTAAAAAATAATAAATTAAGTAATACAAAATAATTATAATAAGATATTTAAATCTAAGAAATTATTTAATTATTCAAATCTCATATTTTACATCTCATCTCACGTCGCACTCTCCCTGTATAATTTAAGTAGGTAGGTTTTTGGTGTGTTGTGCTTGTGGTATATACTGCAGTTGTTAGTGGGAAGATTACTATTGTCACCTACCTACATATGGTTGGCTGTTACACATAAATGGTGGAGATGGTGGGAATAATGGAGATGATGGAGATGATGGAGATGATGGAGATGATGGAGATGATGGGAGATGATGGAGATGATGGGAGGTGATGGGAGGTGAAACATGTGTGTATGTGTAGATGTGTGTGTGGATGGTTGTTACAGTGGGAGTTGCAGTGGAAGTTGAAGTTGGTTGGTGGTTGGATTCGAATGGTAAGATCTTACATTGATAGATGGGTACTTGGGTACTTGGGTACTTGTGGGATGGGGAATATTATTTGGGTTTATGTTGTGTATTGTATTGTATTGTGTGATGTATGGTGTATATTTTGTACTACCTCCGTATTATATATTGTGTATCCTGTTATTCTATTCTATTTTATTTTATTATCAAGTAGATGAGATGCGGTGGTAAGGGTGACAATGAGAAGATGATGAGGGGTTAGAATAGGATGAGTTACCAGGTTACTAGTGGGTCTCTGTATTCTAAGAAGGATTGTGGGGTTTGTGGATCTTCGATAGATGGGGAAAGGATTGAGGGGAAGATGAATACAACAGATGTATCTCTATAGGTATAGATAGATATGTATCTAACATGTATATGCACAAATATGTAAGATCTCACTCACTCATCAAATCAAATCAGACCACCTACCAATAAACATTCCACAAGCCAACACCTCGAGTACATCTACCTACAGAGTGAGTAAGAGAGAGAAAAGCAAGAAAGCGGGGAAAACTCAAGGTTACATCAACCTCGTATAAATAAGAATTTCCTGTACAAAGATCATAATACGGGGTGGGTTCGTGTCTTAAATAAGCTTAAGCTTAAGCTTGGTTACCCAATACCGAAAATCATGAGCTCATCATGATGATCATGGTGATTATTTGAGGAACATCATGATCGATTGAGGAAATATGTATTCATTAAGGAATATCAATGTACGGAATGGGAAGATGGGAACGGGATGGATATATGTACGATGGGCTTGGATACGAGGTATATGTATGTCTGCTGATTATTTGTGATGTTTCTAGGAGATACTTTGCGTGTTTTGTTGTGTTGTGCGTGTAGTCAAATCGTCTATTTGCGTTGCATGTCATGTCTTGTCAGGTCATGTTGTACATATCGTACATTTCGTACTATTGTGTTTTGATATAATGGTTTGGTATGTGAGATGTGATATGTACGTGATGCAAGCATCTAAATCACTATAAAGTAGAGGATTTCCTCTCTTCAAAACTCATATCTTCACTTCCTCACTTCCTCAACACTGAACAAATCACTCTTCATATCAATATTCTCATCCAATCAAAACCCAACAAATAACAAGAAAAATGTTCTCCAAATCTCTCCTTCTCATCACTGCCTTCACGGCATCAGTCCTCTCTGCTTCTCTCCCAGTGGGTGTCGTTGGAAAACGTAGTACTAGTGCTTCGAGTGCTATTCCGGATGTACAGTGGAAAGTGACGGATTTTACTAGACGTATGTTTCATTATTTTTTTCTTTTGAGCTTTGGATTTGTTTGGGAGTTTGTAAGGTTCACTCTCTCCCTCTCATCTACCGGACGCTTCTTTTGGCGGCTTGATGGGGATGTGGATGAATTTGGATGAAATTTGGTGGGATTGGGAGCGATAGGAATGGATAGATGGGTAGATGGGTGGATGGGTGGATGGGTGTGAGGGGGTGGATGAAGTGGTTGAAGTGGATAAAGTCGACAAAATGAGCGGATGAGAAGAGGACTTCAAACAGCATCGAGATAATCTTACTAACTATCTACACAGCATGCATAGCAACAATCTGCACCTACAATTTCACTATCAATGTGATTCCCACCAGTGGTGCTACTGTCAAGGGTGAGCTTTTCCCTCCCTTTCCCAATACCTTCCCTCATCCCCATCCTTTCCCTCACCCTAAACTCATTCTAACCCTCCAAAACAGTCCCCTGCCTCTACAACGACACATCCAGCACACCCCCCAGCAGCTCCACCCCACAAACCCATTCCTACTCCTCTCTCTCCTGTAGCAAAACCAGCAATGACTGGCAGGTAAACTGGGGATACAACACTGATGGAGATTTTGCCGTTATGACTATTGTGGATACAGTTAAGCAACAGGATGCCTTTTTGTATGTTTTTTTCTTCTTCTTGCTTTTGTCTGGTTTTGAATATCTTCTTTTTGCTTTTTTATTCTCTAATTTGTTTCACCTCGTGCAAACTGGAGGTTAAATTCAAGTTCAAGCGAACCCCCTCTTCCCCAGATTAACGTTAACCCTTCCTTTCCCCCTATCCTAAAAGCCCTAAAACCACAAACCCTCCACCTATCCCAACCAACCCCCCCCCCCTCTTCAAATCCCCCATCAATCATACCCCTCAAAAAAAAAAGAAGAAAAGAAACCCACAAACTAACCACCTCTCTCCCTCCCCCAAAACAGCGGCTGGAACTCCGTAATCAGCACCACGAACTTCGAAGATAAGGGTCCTGAAACTGTTTATGCAGTTGGCACTTTTAATTAATTAGGTAGTTAGAGGTACTTGTCAATTTTATCTGGTACTCGATTTGAGCTAGTAGTGGATGGATGAATGGATGGATGAGTAAACGAGAAAGAGAGGAGGAAAGAAAGAATGGGATAGGGAAGAAAGGAAAAAAAGGAGGGATGGATGAATGTAGTTTATTCTCTCAACCTCGATTTTGATTTTCGATTTTGGATTTTCGGTTTCAAACACAGACAAACTGAGATCATTAAGCCAAATTAGAATTAGGATTGAAAATGAAAATGAAAATGAAACTTTCAAAAATCTACATATTAATCCCTCTCATCTGTCACACTCAAGAATACTAGGTAAAGTATCTTATATTAGAAAATACTAAGCTAAGGAGAAAAGAAGAAGGAAAACAAGAGTAGAGAGTTTTTCTATGATTAAATACAAACGGGGCATGCCACGTGACCCGGAGGTGTGAGGCGTCACTGTCACGATTCACCATCACGTCGGACAAGTAGGGATCACGTGATGGAGCCTCCAGGAGCATAGGCTCCTCAAGGCTCCTGGAAAGGACCAGTATATAAACATTCATTATTTTCATAGTATAGGAGCTTCGTGCTCAACTTAGTTATCAATTAGTTTACCTACATTCTACTTGATCTAGTAACGACTTCACTTCCAAGTGAATACCAGTGACAAAGCCTTAACCCATAACTACCAACCGACGAACCTTAGGCAGCCGCTGCCTCTGTCACACTCAAGAATACTGGGTAAAGTATCTTGTATTAGAAAATACTAAGCTAAGGAGAAAAGAAGAAGGAAAACAAGAGTAGAGAGTTTTCCTATGATTAAATACAAACGGGGCATGCCACGTGACCCGGAGGTGTGAGGCGTCACAGCCTCCAGTATAGTATCGTTACAAATATATCTTTTTTTTCATATTATTTTTTTAAATATAAATATAAATATAAATATAAATATAAATATAAATATAAATATAAATATAAATATAAATATAAATATAAATATAAATATAAATATAAATATAAATATAAATATAAATATAAATATAAATATAAATATAAATATAAATATAAATATAAATATAAAAAGAAATTTTTTATATCTTTATAAGAATATCAAAGCCTTTGGAAATCTTGATATACAAGTATATCAACGAAATCTTGAGATATAAACTTCACTGTATATTAGAACATCAACATCAATATCAACATTAGGAAGTAAATATATACTAAATAATTTCCTATTGATAATTCATCTATAATGATACCCCTACGCCTCCTAAAACTATCCCGAGCAACACCATACCATTCGAGGTTCAAAGGATATCTCCCGACGCCCATCCCGATAAATATGAATTCTATGGTACAAAAGGTATTAGATCTTGCCTTTATTCCCTGATCCCCTCTCCATTTACTCCACCTTCCCCAAACGCCTTGATAAAATCTCATAAAACGTTCAATCGTGTTAATTATTTAAATTCATCTTTCAATACCCACTTGGCTCTCATCCTACTATTCGTACCTTGCTCACAAATTGCAACTTCGGTCAGTGTGTGCTTAAATTCTGCTGTCAACCGATCTGATGTGCAATATCGATCAAAATGGTTAACCACTGCCTGACTTGGTACTGAACCACCCATTCTCTTGATAAATCGACAATCATCTTAGCAAATCATGACGTTGACGCCAAACTGGACGATTTGGAGTTGCAGCTCGTGAACTATTCGAACTAGAAAGGTTGTGCAATACCTTGTCTGTTTGAAAGACTCGATAAAACACTTGATGAACTTGGACCTGCACCTCTTCGAACATTAATTGGTCTACCCGCAGATCCATATTCTCCAGTCCAAGTAACTGTTCCAGGTGTAATACTCCTTGCTGCTTCTCCAGCACGCCTCAGTGCGGTAGCAGATTCAGCGGCAATTCTCTTGGCTTCACGTTCAATCATTCCACGATCAGCTGCAACCTTTCTCTTTCCGTTGATAATTTGATCATGTTCAAGAGCACTATGAACTCCGGAACGAGCAAAGATACCTTCCATTAATCTGGATTCTTCGTTATCTTTCTCCTTCTCCTCGGAAGGATCATTGAATTGCTCAAGCTCAGCAACTCCAGCAAGGTTTCGAAGATCGGATTCCGAATCACCTTGACCTGGATCGACGGACAAACTACGAGAGGTTGAGGGACTGGAAGTCTTGCTGAATTGAACCTCTGTGCCTTTGAACATTTCACCAGTCTCAGTAGTTCCACAATCCTGATCACCAAGGGTAAAAAGGTCATAAAGATCCTTCATAGCAAAAGTTTGTCGCTGCTTTGGGTCTTTGAGAATCTTGTTGGTAAGGAATTGCTTGAAAATTTGTCGATGGTAAATCTTCTCTTCAATCGTACCGGCAGTCATAAGTCGGTATATAGTGACCTCCTTCTTTTGACCAAGACGCCATGCACGTTCACGAGCTTGTACATCTGTGGATGGATTCCAATCAGGATCAAAGATAATTACTCTGTTTGCGCCAGTGAGATTAACGCCAAGGCCGCCAACTTTAGTCGTAAGAAGGAAGACATGCATATTAGGATCATTGTTGAACTGATCGACCAGAGTTTGTCTATCCTTGATTGCTGTGCCACCATCCATACGAAGATAATTGAATCCACCGAGTTTCTTGACAAATTCCTCAAGTATATCAAGCATTTGGACACCTTGACTAAAGAGAAGAGTCTTATGTCCATAACCCTTCCACATTTGTAGAAGGGCTTTTACGACTTGCATTTTGCCCGACTTGTTTCCATTACCCCATTTGTAATTGGGTTTGGTCTTCAATCGTTTGTCCAGAAGATCTGGATGATTGCAGATCTTCCGCAGAATGTCAATACCATAAAGTGATTGACGAGTACGGTTCAAGATTGACTTCATCTCATCAGATGCGAGAAACATTTCATATGCATCTCTTTGAGGCCTGGTAAGCTTGCAGAATAAGACTTGCTCGCTCTTTTTTGGTAAATCTGCCGCAACATCAACCTTCAATCGTTGAAGTAAGTATGGACTGATTGCATCTTTCAAAGTCTCAGCACATTTAGTTGCCGTCAGAACTTGTAGATTGGTGGCGTTGGCATAACCTCCAATTTTGATAGGTACTTCAAATGATTGTCGAAAGTTAACTAGAGTGCCTAAGCGCATAGGAAAGACGAAATCAAAGAGTGACCACAACTCTATCAACCCATTCTGCATAGGAGTACCCGAAAGAATGACTCGGTTGGGTGTTCGTAGTTCTTTGCAGTAGATAGTGACAGCAGTGTTAGGATTTCGAATTTTGTGTCCCTCATCTAATACAGCGTAATCCCAGTCAACATTGATGAGAGTATCGCTATAAGTCTGAAGTCCAGCATATGTAGTTACCAATACGTGGCCATGCTTGACAACACGGTCGACAATTTTCTGAGCCAGCTTTTGCGACTTGGGAGCTTTTTTAGTTGTTTGGCCATAAATAATGTCATCCTCTTCGTCCTCTAACCTACCTTCGTTTCTAACGTTGAGCATGCCGGTTCCAGAACTATGCAAGATTGAAACTCTAAGAGCTGGCCACCACCGATGAAACTCGTTGACCCATTGGCGAAGGACAGTGGCAGGAGCAACAACAATAATAGGCTTTGTAAGCTTTTTACTGTAATGCAGACCAGCCAAAAATGATATGATCTGTATGGTCTTGCCAAGGCCCATCTCATCTCCAATAATTCCTCCAACTTGTTGATTGTAAAGTTCTGACAACCACTGAACACCGGTCTTCTGGTAGTCGAAGAGTGCAGGGAAAATATCGCCAGGTAGTTTCAGGCCATTCTCAAACCGGTGATCGGGTTGTCCTGGGCATGGCTTGAACCATTCCTCCTCCTCAGAAATTTCTGCAGCTGCATCATCCTCGCTTTCAGGGTTGTGTTCTAAATGTAGTCGTCGTGCAGCCCTTCGTTTTTCTACCCAATTTGCCAGACGTGCTTGATACATGTCCTCGTTTCCATCATCAATGCCAGCCAAGCTTTGCGCCTCGTCTTTTCGAGCCTTGACAGGCTTTGATCTCTTCCTCGTTGAAGTACGGGCTGTCATAAGAGCATCATTCTCATCTTCCTCATCATAATCATCATCTTCAATCAATTCCTCCTCTCCTTCGGCTAAAAGTTCAGGGGAAAAAGTATCATCTGCTGTAGATGAACGAGCAGGAGACATATCTGTGGATGCACCATTGACGAGTCTTCTCTTTTTCCGAGGACGCAGACCAAATTCACTCTCGGTTGTACTGACTGTAGTATCTGTGACATCCGCGAAACCTGGTAGACGAAGGTTCTGATGTGATCTAGGCTCTGCTTCGGCACCTGACTCGTTGATATCCTTTCCTTCTGCATCCATTAACGCATCGGTAAGCGCAGATTGAACATGGTCGGTAGCTGCATCCGAAGTTTGTTGGAAAGGTGTAATTTTGCCTGTACGGATCAGGAATTCCCTTTGGCTCTCGTTGGGCATACGTCTACTTCCACCAGCAACATCGGCTTCTGCATGGTTCTCATTGTACTGATGTCTTTCGTCGATTCGTTTTTGTATATCGGCAATATCATTCTTGAACGCAAAAACTTCGGCTTCAATTCTTGAGATCTCGTCCACGCATCGCTGGCGCATCAATGGGTTATTCGAAAGGGTGTTGAGGCGACGTTCTTGGCTGTGTTTCTGATTCTCGAGTTTCTCAATACTATTCTTAACTTTTTCAATGCGCTTCTGATCTCGCTGATCTTCCTGCTCAATCATAGCCAGATTGGCTTGGTTTGTAATATCTCGCTCAAGGTCATCTTGATTGCGAACAGTTTCGGTCAAACCAGCTAGAGCACTAGCTTCATCTTGAGGTTGTTGTTGGCCAGCCTGTTTAGAGATTATGTTAGCACTGAGGCCCTAGAGTATTTTCAGTGTATGGGATGATTTGGATACTGTAAAGTCGAAATTATGGAAAGGAGCTGTCTTTATCTTACCAGTCTTTCCGATCCAAAGTTTTGATCTTTTGTGTCTGCATCATTATCACTGAAAAGTGCTTCATCAGCAATGACTGCCGCAGCCTCCTCGATGGTATCGGTATGTTCTCGGTGAAGTCTAACATTATGTGAAGGCGGGGACATGCTTTCAGATTTAATATGAGTCGAACGATTATGAGTATGGCGAGGTTCAATGGATGAATCCATTCTGGACATTCATCAAACGAAAGGTTGATGAGGTGAATTAGGACAATGAAAATTGTATGTAGAAGTAGGAGATATGAGTAAAAATTGGCAAGATTGATTTGCGGGCGGTTAGTTAGAAGTCATAGCCGACATTTACTAGAATTTGTATGTGGTGTATGTGTATGTGGGTATGTATATATGTGAAGGTAAGGAGGTTGAGGGTGGAGGTGATCCAAGATTGGGAGGCGACTACGGTATCGAGAAGAGGAGTGAATTAAAGATGTAAAGAAATCAAACCCTTACAGCTTAGAGTAGCAAGTGATTAGCAGACAAGAAAGAATGAAGCCGTACTTCTGCTAGCAAAAAGAGTGAAATTCGAAGTCCTTTCTGGCCATGTCGATGATCTCGAATATTCATTATGGTAGAAAAAGTTTCTACATCAGACGCTTCTCCCCGTATGCGTCATGATGTTCGGTAGGTACGGTATTCGGGCTGAGGCTAGGCTAGGCTAGGCTGGAGTTAAAGTGATTGTGCATTAGCTCTGCATCGCAGCTTTATTACTAACTAATTAGTAATCCTCCAACCGCTAAGCTTTGTACTGTAAATTCTGTTACGTCCTGTTAGATCATTTCTCTATTTATGTACTCTGGATGGAACAGAGGTGAAAGAGAATCCCATTTATTATGAAATGAATTAACATGTGTAAAGTGGATTGATTATGTAATTGATCTCACCGGTAAATCTCGTGATTTCGCAATTCGCACTTTAACATGGCTGGTGCTGTACTGGGTTCAATGGACCGACCACCCACAGTCTGTACTCACTTATCTTTGAGACTTGGGGGGTAATTTTTGATGATCAGATCAATAAGAATTCAATGCATTTGAATTAATTGACAACGTCATTCATTAGATTACTCCTCCAGCGAAACATCTACTAAACATTTCAAAGGTAAGACACGGATAGCACAATGACAACCACTAGGCAGGTATAAGTTGAATTGATGAGGACCTGCTGTGACTTAACCCGTGTGAGTGAGTGACTGACTGACTGACTTGTGAGTTGTCTTTCGAGATGAAAGAAGAAGGGCAAAAACGGCGAAATGATCAATAAGGGCATTCATTCATAGGAGTATCCTCATTGATCAATACGTTTTTTGGCTTATCTTGAGTTTGGAACATGCTACATCCGTTATACGATCCCCTGCTTTCAAAATGAACAAAGACGGTGATCCTTTCATGAAAAGCTCTTGAACTCTCTTTTCGGCTTCGAGATTGGTTTTCGTATTTGGCAAATTGGCTGACTGTAATTCCGCTTTGGAGCTGTACTGGTGCCTTCTCTCTCATTCATCTTTATTTGCTTGATACTAGGTATATTAACAACAAAAAAGCATCTCATGATCTTCATGAAACAGTTATCCAACATTCACTACTTGATACACCCTTAACACTGGCAGGTTCATACGTTGGTGTGTGTAATAATCACACACCCCTAGCCTCTACAATCCATAAAGCTGGAAACTTGTGTGTAGAGTATATTTTCCAAGGTCGAGTAGTACACTATAATAACTAGTAGACTAAACTAACTGCGTACTGAATCATATCATTTGGGCAGCGTCAATCTATATAAATCCTAATAATATATACAGAAATAAATAAACAAATAAATAATAAATAAATAAACCCATTTCGAATTTACCAAATCATCTCACCTTGGATACATATACATTCAAATATTCTCTCTATTCCACTACTGCCCTCAACCGTCGTTGGAATATTTTGATTTATTACATTGCCTGGTTTGGGCAAACTATAAAACGTTCCTAAGCTCGCTACTCTTTTTTAGTTCACAATCCAATCCCCGGCAGCGAGGGTGTGTCCTTGTAGTGTGTGAATCCATCAATTCCACGACAGTTACTAACATCATTTCCTCCCCAGTCAACCAAGTGAATTTATCTCTACACTCAAATCTCTCGACCTGCTTCATCCTTTCACCATGATATGTTGACCAATATTTGGTATTTCACAGGCTATTTCTGCCTCTTTTAAAGAGGTTTACTTGCTTTTATTGCGACGCGTCCTCCATCGCTTCTTGGTGGAAGACCCTTCGACAACAAAGTGTGCGACATAACCGTATCTGCTTCTTTACTATTATTACTTCAGAAGTCGACAATCGTGCCCAATAACTTCACATTCCCCCACTCAAAAACCCGATCATCTCCACAGTATCGTCAAAATGGACCAGTGGCAGAATTATTCTGAATCATCAGGTTCAAGAAGGTACAACGGAAACCCCCCACCAGCCCATCCCCAAATGGCTAGAGATTATAATGGGAACCCCCAAGCCCAACCTCCAACAGGTTTTACATACGATCAATACCCAGGAGCTTTAGGATCACATCCTCAATCTCTGGCAAGTTCTCCTGCTACCCCTCAAATGACAGATGGGAATGGAGATGTGGCCATGCAAGACTCTGGAGATCAATACAACATGAAGTATCCCATGCGCCCTCATCATCAACAACACCTTTCGGGAAATCAGAGGTTATCTCATCAATCGCCGCAAGAGCCATCTGCGGCCGCTCAGCGTTATTCTCCCATGGAGACTTTATCGCCAACCTCACCATATGGCGCGGCACAACAGCAAAACTCGAATCAGTACATGTCACCACCGGGGGCTGGCAGCAGAAAATCTCCTTCGAAGAATGCATCGTATTCTTCCCCGAATTCGTATTATACTAATCGTCAACAATTACCACCCATTCAGCCATATGCTCCTAATTCTAACAATGAATCATACCCAACCTCTGCGACCCAACAACTGAATGCTGTGTTTGGTAATGACGCAAAGGTTCCTCGACGTCCAGTACCCCAATCGGCGCAAGGTCCACCTGGAAGAGGACCAGTTCCTGAATTTACAAAAATTCGGTCTCTATCTGACCTGCAGCCAAAGGTTAATGCGCAACCGGCTTTTCGCAGAGCTAATCCAGAAGGCGGATTCATAAGTGTAAGCTTCCTCATTATGCGCAACATGATTACAATTCGTGCTAATGATTCCTGTTTTAGCCTCTCCAAGCTCTAACGAGCCATCTCCCCTCTACATATCGGATATGCAACCCTAGCTTCAAATACGAATCATCGCGGAATCCACGTAGAGTGCTCACCAAACCAAGCAAAGGTGTCAAGAATGACGGCTTCGATAACGAAGATAGTGATTATATACTTTATGTGAATGATATTCTGGGGTCTGAGGAAACTACTCATAAGTATGTTTTGTGGTTGATAGTAACTATGCATTATAAGAATCCTCCTGCTAACACATTATGCAGAAACCGCTATCTCATCCTAGATGTTCTGGGTCAAGGCACCTTTGGCCAAGTTGTCAAATGTCAGAATCTGAAAACCCAGGAAGTTGTGGCTGTAAAGGTGGTTAAAAACAGGACCGCGTACTTCAACCAAAGTATGATGGAGGTTTCTGTTCTAGACCTGGTAAGCCCCTTTCAGGAAAATGATAGCTCCATTCGCTGACTTCCATCTTTCTACTATAGCTCAACACAAAGCTAGATAAAAACGATGATCACCACCTACTGCGGCTGAAAGATACATTTATCCATCGCCAACATCTCTGCCTGGTTTTCGAATTGCTCAGTGTAAACTTGTATGAACTGATCAAGCAGAACCAATTCAGAGGTTTGAGTACCACACTTGTGCGAGTCTTTGCACAACAACTTCTGAATGGACTGAGCTTGCTGAATAAAGCTCGACTCATTCATTGCGACTTGAAGCCGGAAAACATTCTGCTCAAGAACCTTGAGAGCCCTATCATCAAAATTATTGATTTTGGATCAGCCTGCGACGAACGTCAAACAGTCTACACATACATCCAGTCGAGATTTTACAGATCCCCCGAGGTACTACTCGGCCTACCATATTCATCAGCTATCGATATGTGGTCACTGGGCTGTATTGTTGTTGAGTTGTTCTTGGGTCTTCCACTATTCCCAGGATCTTCGGAGTACAACCAAGTCTCTAGAATAGTTGAGATGCTGGGTAACCCACCGAATTGGATGCTTGAGATGGGAAAACAATCTGGAGATTTCTTCGAGAAGAGGCATGATGTGGATGATTATGGCAGAAGAACATATCATCTCAAATCCATGGAGCAATATTCCCGCGAACATGGAACAAAGGAGCAACCAAGTAAAAAGTACTTCCAAGCTACCACTCTTCCAGAAATCATCCGCTCATACGCAATGCCGCGAAAGAACATGAAGCCAAACGAAGTCGAGCGAGGTAAGATGATTTCCCTGCCTGCTAGTGATGTCAGCTAACCCTATATCTAGAAATGAGCAACCGGGTTGCTTTCATTGATTTTGTCCGGGGCTTGCTTAATATCAATCCTCTAGAGCGCTGGTCACCACAACAGGCTAAGTTACATCCATTTATCACTCAGCAGAAGTTCACGGGTCCCTTCGTTCCACCAACGAATTTGAAGTCGAGTGCCATCAATAGATCTCCGGCCCCAGGAACTACACAACAGCAACAGGCCGAAGCATTAAGCAATCAACGAGCACAGGCCGCGCAAGCGCAAGCTCACTCACAGGCTCAGTCCGCAGCTCATGCGTCATACAATTCGAGTGTGCCGGTCAACTCTTATGGCCAGGTACCACAAAACCAGCAGCACCCACCAATGTACAACAACATGTACACACCGAACTCCAACCACCAGGCTCCTCACCAAACCTCACACCAAGCCTCACACCAGGCAGCACCACCTCCATACCCCACGCAGCAAGGTTATAACCAAATGGGAATGATGGGCCAACCATCAGCACAGATGCCACCGGCGCAATATGGAGCTGGCCCGTCACAGCAACAACCAAGTCTCTACCAGCAGGCTACGGTAAGATCTGGAAGGCAACGTGCTTCGACAATGGAGGTTCAACAGGGAGGTATACCCGTGACGATACAAAGAGTTGCTAGTCATCTTGATCCTAGTCAACCTATTCGTTTACAACCTAGTCCTGCATACTATCCACCTCCACCAGATGGAGTTCCTGATGGCAATCCTGGAAGCGCACGAAGAAGAGGAAGCAGAGCTGCTCAAGGTGGGCAAGCACCCACCCGAAATCGAGACTTCATTCGAAATCTGGAAGATCGAACATTGGAGGAGGGTTTCATGGGACAGAGCCAATATCACTGAGCTTTACGACTCTAAAGTAGTGAGATGAGCAGAATGATCGACAGCCAGCGACAACGAATCACGCTAAACTTATAATCTAGCAACGCGAACTGCAGCTTGGAAGCTAGTGTTCATGTTATTCTTCGCGCATTATATGATGGGCGTGTGTTGTCATAGGGATCGGGAAAATTTGAATCATGATACCCAAAGCCAGGACTTTCCTACGAATATCACTGTGGGCTGGGAGCGTTAGGATTCTACGAAGTGATGAGTTCTGCAACGAGGTGAGAAAGGAATAATGGAAGGAAAAAAGGAGATTGCATAAAATGAATTGGCGAAGCTGTTATTAGAAATCTTCGGAGAAATGAAGTGAAGTGGATATGCAGGGTCTTTTGCTAGTATCAGAGATGCACATCAAAATTCGATTCATGTAAGCTATCAGTTATTGCATGAACGGATGGATGGATGGATGGATGGATGGATTGAATTAAATGGATTAAAGATGAAAGGGAGCTAGTTGGCAACGGAGAGAATATAAAGAAGCGCGAAAACACCGAATTTTCTCAGCTGGTTGGTTCTTTGATTCTATTTTCACGTGAAGTGATTGACATCTACTGAATGTGTGCTAAAGAACTAGCTATCTATTCCAATGTCTTTCTGCCTGTGACAATGGCGCTGAATTTATGGTTCACCCGATAGTCGATAATGTAGGTACGGTTGGCACATTTCTTAACTAATAAGCCATGAACGATCTTGCTGAATGATTCTCTGGCTGAGGCCCATAAAATATGGTTCGCTAATAACTTCGCTGTTTGTACAAAAGGTACATATCCTATCCTCTCCAAACGCCAGAGCCAAAACTACAAATCTAACCAACATCAACACTCCACCATCTACAAAAATCCATTAGCCAACCAAGCCACTCACCAACTCCAAAATTCCCATTTCTCCCGCCTCCCTCCTTTCCCCCTCCCACTTCCCATACGCCTCCCACCACCATCCATGCGTCACCCCATCATTCCCCCTATACCCCGCAATTCCCGAAGCAGGAACACGCGCCCGCCACGGTTTATCAACGATATAATGCAAAGCGCGTACGTCCTCATCGCGCCACATCTCCGGATGCCAATAGCGCCATGTTTTCAAGGCATTCCATTTCCATCCTACGCTGATCCAGCGATCGCGCCACCATTCGGTGAGGAAATCTTGGTCGGGGAATTGGTAGTGAGAGAGACTGGATGAGTGCGTGTGGATGAATTTCCACATGTCGTTCCAGGTTTCTTTGCTAGGGGTGAAGATGAAGAGGCCTGAGTTGAGGAGAGTGTGCGTGTGCAGACCGCTGCCGGTTGGTGGGACGTGTTGGGTTTCTTGTGGGGAGTGATTATTGTTAGGGGTTGTTGTGTATGCGCAATTTTCGCGGCGCCAGTCGCTAGGAGCCCAGGAATCTCTGTCGAGATTACACACGCACACGTGATTTGCAGCGAGGAGTTTCCCGCTTTCTCCTTCAATATCTGGTTTTCGAAGAGAAGTGTTGAGGAGTAATTCATCCATGGGTCCGAGAATCAACATATCCGCATCTAGAAAACAGATCCTTTCGTACCCGGAATCGTAGAACGAGAATACCTGTAATTTGGTCCAGGTATCTGCGAAGCGGGCGGCGACCCCCGCGTTCGGACTTAGGTTTAATAGTGTGGTTTCGTGTAGGATTATGTTGGAGTGTTGGGCTTCTCGTTTGAGAAGTGCGATGGTGTTTGCGGGGAGTCCGGTGTACATAAGGATGAGGGGGTATTGGGATCCTTGTTTTTGGAGGGTGTAGGCGAGGAGAAGGGCGCCTGGGAGGTAGGAAAGGGTGGTTATGAGGGTTGCGTAGGCGGCTTTGAGGGGGGTGGTGGGTAGTGGGGTGGTTGTGTTTGCGGTTGGGGAGGGTAAATTGGTTGTGGTTGGAGAGGAGGAATTGGAGGCGTTGGGGGAGCAGGTTGAGGAGCTGAGATTGGACATCGTTTTTTGAGGGGTGATTTAGTTATAATCTGATTGGAGTGCAGTAGAGTGGAGTGGATATTAATTCATATAAAAATTACTTGCAAAATGCTGTCTTGATGTATAATGTAATGTAACGTAATGTATGTATATTAAACAATCAATATGAATACTAGTGTAAAGGAAGACAACAGTGAATAGATACTTATATTAGAGGTGAAAGAATTTGTTATCTCATCTCCAAAAATAGGGCAGGAATAATTGACATTTTGCTAATTTATACATAGGCATTGCAAGCACTACCTACTCAAGGGCTAACCAGAGATGAAATGAAGACGTCAATGATTCTTTCCTTCTGATGTCGATAAGTAAAGTGTGCGCCACAAAGTTATTGTTGGAGTGGAGTTCGAGGTAGTTATGATGGAATGAATGGATGAGAAGCTTTGTGAAAGAAGAATAAGAGATTCATTTTCTTGAAATGGTTGGGTGGAGTAAAGTTACTTCTAAGTGTGCATATATAATAGGACGAAGATGAAATTTACCATTTCAATGTTCATGATGAATATAAAGTATGAAGTAGAATGTTATTAGGTAGATATTCCAATAAAAATGCCAAGTACGGAGTACAAGCAACGTAGATCCATTATCTAAGGTTAATCCGCGGTTAGATCTTCCCTTCCCCAGATCTTATCTTATCAAGCTCTAACCTTACCTATCTATCCACATTTCATTCGGAGAAATTCATCCGTTTCGCCATCCGCGGACAAGCCACTGTGAGCGAGCAAATAAATAGAACAAAATAAAATGAATTAAAAATTGGATAAAATATAGATAACATAATCCCACTGATCTCATAAGTCAGCAATTGGAAATCAATATCTTCCAATCTACCCCTCTCTCACAAAAATTATCTAATTCCCATACCTCCTACCATTCTACTCTCACTATGTATAAATTTCTGCTGAGAAGTGATAAATGCGACGTTTATTGTCTATTCGTTCGTTGTCACTCTTTACTACTTTAAGATTGGCGTCTTGGGTAACTTGTCCTGTTTTTGGAATTTTTTATACTCGCGCTACTAGAAGTTTATGTTATTCGAGAAATTGGTGGAGGATTGTGAATAATAGTTTGGTTGTTTTGAAGATATCCGATTATCGGTTTTCGCAGATTCGAATTGCTAAGATGTCGAGTTCGGGTGTGGATGCAAATGCGAATGCGAATGAACATGAGACGATCGATAGGCTAGAGTCGACGAATAAACCAGCGGAGAATTTGGAGAAGAATGGGGGAGAAGGAAGAAGAATTGAAGAAGATTCCAAAAGAGGAGGAGAAAGAGGAAAAGAAAGAAGAAGCTCTACCCAAATTAAGCGCAGCAGATTTCAAAATCTACAATTCTATGGCCGAACACATGGATCTCTTCGTACGTCCACCACCTCCCTCCATCCCAAACTAATCAATCCTCACTAACATCCTCCCAGCACAACCACTTCCGACACACCTGGACAATCCTCCACAAAGCCACAACCGAAAATCAACGACCCCGCAACCTCAGCATCCGCCAATTCATCCAAACGGGACTTTCCTTCCTCCGCTCACTCGAAATGCACCACGGCATCGAAGAACAACACATCTTCCCCATTCTCGCGCGGAAGATGCCCGAATTCCGCGCTGGGAAAAATGCGGCTGAGTTATTGAGACAACATGGGGAAATTCATGCCGGGATGGATATCATGCAGACATATCTTGAGAAATGTAGGGATGGGGAGACGGAATTGAATTTGAGGGTTTTGGGGGAGAAGATGGATGGGTTTGGGGAGGTGTTGTGGAAACATTTGGATCAGGAGGTTGAGACGCTGGGTGCGGAGAATATGAGGAGGTATTGGAGTAAGGAGGAGATGAGGAGGATGCCTAGGTGAGGTGGTGGGAGGTGGGAGGTGGGAGGTGAGGGAGGGTGATCATGAAGGGGTACTACTTTGATAATTGAGAAATGGGGTGGAGTGGGGGTTAAGAGTATAGATTTATATAGGTATTATATATCCTGAAACAGCAAGAAAATCATAAATTAAACTATATCAACTAGAATAAATACAACAGAGCTATTAAATACCTAATTATTCAAGATTTCGGGACTTAAAGATATAATATAAGTAAGTTTATCATCCCTTCAATAAATACTATACCTGCACAACAAAATCTAGATCTAAATAACAAAGTAATTATACGTATTACTATAACTTCAACCCTGTATATTATAATATATTAAATAAAATCTAATAATTATACCTACCTAGTGCGTACTTTCTCTAATATGGGATTAGTACGTTTATTGATCTTTATTTTTTATTTTTATATTCATTTTTATATTCATACTATACTATAATTATTATACTATATCTTCCCATTATTATATGACTTAACTCATCTCTCTCCTCCTCTCTAGCCGGTACCACTATATCTTTCAATTCCCCTCCCAACCCTTTCTTCCTTTCTCCTAACCCACAACCCATAACCCATAACCTACAACCTACAACCCACAACCCCTCTTCTTCTCCTTTCCTTTCCCAACATTCTCTAATTCACCCTCACACCCGGCGATCTCATCATCACACCCTCATCATCATCCCCACCACCTCACCATCCCATATTTTACTTCCCATTCCTTTCTACACTCATCACACCATCCCACTATCTCACCATCACGAAATCCTAAACTGGGGCAAACATACAAGAAAAATCCAAGAGGAAGAGAATATATACTTATCAATTTATTGATCCATTATTTCAAAGACAACTCAATAAATCCCCTCCTCTTCCTTCCCTTCCCCCCTTTCACCTCGCTCTTTTCCTATACTGGAAAATATATACATACAGATACACACACCTTCCCATTCCTATTCCTATTCCAACTCCAACTCCAACTCTCTCCAACCCCATGCAAATAATAAACAACACCACTCACTCACCACAATGCTTCCATCACCACAAAAAAACATAAAAAAAGTAACCAACCAACCAAATCTCAACAACTTAGTATCAAAAAAAGAATAAATAAATAGAAAAAAAAAGAAATAACAACAATGCATATATTTATATTCGCTATTCGCTAAAAGAGGATATTTACTGGTATTGGTATCATATCGAAGAAAGCATTTCTCTCTCGAGTCATCAAACAATTATCTCGCTTTCTTCCATCCATCCACCCAATCCACCCAACCCCAAAAAATAATAAGATTTCTGTAGTAATTATACCAGAAAACAGAAATGAAAAAAAAAAAAAAAAAAAAATACATAATCGTCAATATTCATTATCTTAGCTTATCCTCACATCACTCACGCCTTAACTACCCAAATCTAATGTTGATGTTAGTAACTGATAATTTCAAAAAGGCAAAAAGAAAAGAAAAAGACAAAAAACTTACTTCCATTTTTCCCATTTCTAAACGTTCTTTCTTTGCGTTCGATTTCACGCTCATTAAAACCATTTCCAAATCATCTTGATCACCCATAGTAATCATATCACCATTCGGAACATCCTCATCACGAACTTTAATCTTGAATCGATCACGCAAGCCAAACTTCTCCTTTATTTTTTCTTGAAAATCGCGGAATTCGATCGCCGATCCTATCATAATATATCGTACATCCTCCGCGTGGACCTTTACACGAACTTTGCGAACATCGGGTTGGCGAGAACCAGCTCGTCCATTTCCACCATTGATTGAAGATGTGGTACGGGATCTAGGAGGTGGGCGACTAGAGACCATTTCGAATTCGTCTTCGTCAAAAGATCCTTCATCGTAATCGCTTGCATATTCACTTTCTCCTTCATTATATCTATTTCGTGTATTGCGTCTCGAGTTATTCGATCGTCGATTTGGGGAACTATACATATCATAAAGATCTTCAGGATAATCATCTTCCTCTTGAGTTGGTTGCATCCTTCTTGGTGGTTGTCTTGAGCGCGATTCGGATCTTTTATTGGAATATTGCATTGATGGCCCTCTTGGTTCTGATGCTGTTCGTTGAGTTCCACGTCTAGGTCGAGCATCTGGAGGACTTCTTGCATCTGGTGGGCTTCTTGCATCCGGAGGACTTCTCACATCGTCACGCTCACGAATCTCATATCCTTCATTTGGACGTGCTTTTTCGATATTGAGTTTAGCTAGCATGGGTTTAGGTCCATTACGAACAGAAGCTCCACGACTCATAGGTGGAGGTCCAGATGATTTCTCTGACTCAGGAGGTGGCGTGGGTGGGAATACGTTTCGATTTAGAGGAGGTTCTGATTGTTGCCTCTTACTAGCCAGACCTGGCTTTACGAGATTCGCCGCAGCGTATGAAAGATTCTCTGTTGGACGGTCGTCCTTCGGTTGTATTATACCCGCCTGAAACAATTAGTGTCACACATTGGAACATTCAACAGCATTACTTACGTTCTTGATCTCTGAACCAGCAAATCCAGTAAAAGCATTAGCACGATCTGAAGCTGCAACTAAACGTGCTTTTCCCAGATAATCTTTTGTCTTCAAGTTCTTGACCTTGGCTTGATTAGGTCTATAGACCACTCCAACGGGAATAGAGAAAACGGTATAACCCTATGATGATGTTAGTAGAACTTAAACAAAGCTCAACCGAAAACATACCTCTGCTTCATCACGAATTGCCTCATCAATAACATTGTGATCCTCAACAACCTTCTCTTTTACAGCGAAAGAGAAATCCTGTAGTCCGGCTTCCTTTTGTTGTAAATATATGTAACACAATCCACGATTAAATAGCACTTCGCATGAATATAGCTTGAAGAGAAGACCGAGCTGGGCATAATCGATCATGTTGTTTCCTCTCAGATATAGTAAAGTATCATTGAAGTTTGCCAAAGCTTCCTCGAAATCTCCAACCAAGAAATTCGAAACACCTTGTTGGAAATATGCTACGGCCAGGTATTGATCCAGACGAACGGCTTTTTGATAACATTCGACCTGTAGTGAATTAGATTCTGCACATACAGTTGACTTCTTTGTAAGGAATGGAAAGAACTAACCGCTTTCTCATGTTCTCCCAATGTCGCATGAATCACACCACAATTGAAAAGAATCTTCGAAGTATCTGCAATAACATCGAACTCCTTTAAGGCTTCATCAAATTCATTATTATCGTAACGATTAAGGGCAGAAACCCAAGTCTCGATTTCCTACGCAGGTGGTCAGTACTGATATGTCTTTGTCCTTTCTCTCCACTAACCTGTTTCAAAGACATGATGTCTTTCCTCTGTCAAAAATTATATATTCGTAATATTCCTTCGTAGCTGGCTGGTCGCCTTCGTGAGCGACCAGCTGTAAGTGGTGTAAGTAGTTCTTATGTCGTGTTGCAATACTGGTATGTTGTGCGAAGTTATCTCGAATTGTCGGTATCTTTTCTGCGTATGTACGTCCCTTCTCTGTGATGCAAGTAGCGTCTGTATTAAATATCCTCGGAACCGTCCAACGATGGAGTTTTTGTTCTCGAGTGGTGTGCTTGAAAATTTTATTATTTCCTAAAGTATATAATTCGAAAGGATCGTATGAGTCCTTGTACTCCGTTACTTTTCGTAGGATTTGAACCTCGGGCTCCTCCCGTCGCTATCAATTAGTGTTGATTGCTGTCGATCCTCAGTAGTCTGGTGGGGAATGACGGATTCGACACTTTAATGGAACGTGGAGACTGATGAGATCCTAATATTTTCCGTTCTCGTGATCGAGGTTGAATATTGAAAGAAATTGATGTCAAAATGTGAATGAATAGATGGAATAAAATAAAAGAGACAAGGGAGTGTGGGTGTATGCAAGAAGCAGAACGAATTGTGTTGGAAATGTAAGGTACAATCACTGGCTTGCAGCGCTCTGACAGCGAATCGAAGAGGATGAATGGATGCGAGAGGAAATTCAATATACAAGTAGCGCCCGCCCTAGAAGCTCTTCTGGATGTGGAAGATTGAGATGCTGAAATGGGAGGGTTAGACGAGGTTTGAATGGTTTTGGTCGTCGTGGTAGTCGTAATAGGCGTAGATACCCTTGAAGTTGTAACTTGTGCATAGTGTAAATTACGTGGGTTGGTAGTCTTTTGATGGTGCAGTGATACTATAAAGTGGATGTAGAGGGGTTCTCTAGTCACAAATGTTCCCTGCTAAACCAGTTCATGATCCACGGCAAGCAATCGAACGTATCGTGTTGAACGGGGCTACGACTAGTACGGAGGATATCTGTACAGAGTAGGGATAAGTTACTGAGTAGATCGAACAAGAGAGTTTCATGCATTAGGATTTTAATATTTGCATGTCATATTCAGAGAGTGGCTCAAGGGCCGTTGATTCGTGACACAGAGCAGGGCAGTATATTGGCATTGAAATACCTAGTAGGTTCTTTCTTCTGCTTTACAAAAGTATTCTTACCATTTTCATTCTACCATGCTTTCCTTCGCTTTTTGAATACAACTTCTAAACTATTTCCCTTGTCAATCGCTGCTTCAACATCTCTACTACTTACGTACCTTACCATTCATTTATCGGGCAGCTCCGTAACAAAACCAACCTCGCCTTGTCTTGCCTTACCCGCAACGATCCGGTGTAATGATCTATTATTACAACATCGAAGCATCACATGTATATACACTAGACACTCATACTTTATACTTCAAATGGCCGCGCACGACGTTGAAATGAATCGAAAGAGAAGACCAGGATTAGGAAGCTCTCAAAGAAGCATCATGATTAATCGTCCAAGCCACGAGCAAATATGTTTTTATTCTCTAAAAATGACCAACTGATTGGTAAATATGAAATTTTGGTGGGCAACACATTGGAGCTTGCGAAACTTGGATGATGTTCGCTTGAGGCTGTTCAAAGCAGCAAGTGTTCCAAGAAACCCCCTATGCAATGCCGATTGGATAGTCAAGAGTTACGCTTTCTGTCATTTTTGGCTCCATCGGCGCCTAAGTTTATTTTCTTCGTCCCGACTCCCGTCCACTCTTTTTGGCATTCAAATAATTTCCACGATTTCTCTCTTCTGTTTGATTTATCGATGAATCGGTGAAATTTCTTGAATTGGTAGAATCGAGTTGGGTTCGAGTCTATCCACTAACATACAACGTCACTGGTGATTGTGATAGACTTACTTGCAGCGGAGTAGATTCAATAGTTTATATTGTCATGAAGTTGAGATTTCCATTTCATTCGACATTATTTATAGGTTCAGGTCTTGTGATATCGTGTAACTATGAATAACATCAGACCCAGCAACTTGTTTATATGCCAAGTTATTTTTAACTATCACTAGCTATCTACCTTTAGAGCTATCGACTCGGCCATGAGGGAGTATACTATATATACTTACTTATCCATGCCATCACCAATGCATGCGGATCTACCCAATATCCAAAATACAAAAAAAATACAAGAAATACATTGCCCCAGACCGATTCAGTAATCCACTCCGAAAACAGCCTCCGAACACATCACAACTGGGCACGAAAGAATTTTTCTAAATAACCTTCGCAAGAGCTATCGGATAAGCACTGAACTGAACTGAGCGCAGGAAGCTTGGCAAGTCTCAAGGGAAACACCTCGATGGGACGAAACTCGCTTCCACCTCACCTTGTTTGAGAATCTAGGGCACATGCAAACCGCTACGCAGAATAAGGAAATCAGGACTTAAAGATCTAAATACTTCATGATTATTGCGATTGGTTTTGTTTGCATGATGCCGAGCATAATATCCAAGCACTATGATTTTTTCTTCCGTCTCAACTTTCAAGGCTGTGTAATGTATCAATTTATCAAACAAAATTAATTACACCTAGGTACTACAGTACATACATACCATAGCCGACAATATGAAAAAAGCGGATTATTCTGCAGTTCTGCAGTACCCTAAATATATATATATATATAGAAATTCTGCATTACATGAAAGTATATTTATCGAATCTAACCCATTTTCCGTTATTAATGAGATCACCATACATATTATATTAGCTTAGGGTAGGGTAGGGCTACGATTGGTTTGCGCTTAGAATGATCTCCCTCGGAGGCTCAGACCATGCTTGAGCGAGCACCACCTATGCAGTACAGCATTCTTCACGGTGTAAAAAGGTGGGAATCATTATCCGGCAGATGACAGGTCTTGAAACGCTTTCGAGGCTTAATGTTTGACAAGGATAAGCTTACTTACTGTTCATAACAATCCTCCGTAAGGTTTGATATAGAACCTAGTACCCTCATCGAACACTCCTTCATTCCTCACTCTTGCTTGCTTCTTTCGAATCTTTAGTCTAGCCAACCATGGCTCATTCTCACACGGAAAGTACGTACATTTTTCAAAGCGTGTGCGGAGCAGGAGATATGCTTGTTAAGCATACATATCGTATCATATTATCGTTCCATTTCCTATACGATGATCTGATATATGATCAGAGCATACCTTTGCTAATCTCATCCTTCCTTTCCTCCCACAATGTCTTGCCTGAGCAAGAACAAACCGTCTTATCATTATCCCAGACACCAGCACTCCGTGCAATCACACCCACGAGAGTATTCTCATCATTTTTCTCAAACTTCCTGTCTCCCTCATGTTGGTTCGATACTACCATCCCCCTTCCAATCATTTCCCATATCTGGATAGGTTTATCCAAAAAGACACTTCCCATGCCATTCTTTCCCACACTCACAGTACCAAATACTCCTTTAGATGTGTCTTCACCATCCCCCTTCCATAAACCAGCCGTAGATATCGCACCATTAGAAATATCTCCCGCTTCTCTAACAGTAACCCAATAAGTCCCCTCTGGCAATCCTCGAATCGTCAAATCCACCAATGTTAACGTAGGAGATACTTGTACCATTCTCACTAACCCTCGCACCTTATCCGATACAGTCGTATCATGTGTTTCAAGAATACACACAGCAGCGCCTAAATATTTCTCAGACAAAAATCCCCAAACACAAAGTATATAGCAACATCGCATTCATAACAAGGCACGGTAGAAAAGAACTCCAATCCATCCAGACAAAAACATAACAAAAATAAACATACCATCACTCCCCCCCGCACCCCTCAATATAGCATCTCGGCCCGTCTCCTCAATCGCCCTTACAATCTCCGAAGGAGCAGCTTCCCATCAAATTAGCAACGAATTCCCCAACACCCCATATTCCATATTCCCTTAGCGGGGTAGGTTAAAGTAACTACAAACTTACTCGTTCCTTCAATAGTAACAAGTTGATCCTGAAGACTCGCTTCAACTTTCTGTATTCCACCCAATTTGAACAATGCTTTCTCGATATCTTTTATACATGCTTCACATGTCATAGGTACTGCAAATTGTGTCTATTTCCTATTAGTAAACCTCGAGGCCACACACACACACACGTGATCAGGATAAAGGGGAACACGGACCTGGAAGGAAGTCGTGATGACCATTTTGATAGATTTTATATCTTTGACAACTATCGATTACAGATATTCAAAATGATAGAATAATAAATGGATAGAGAGATTCACTATGTTATAAGTAAAGTTCCAAATCTATGCTATACATCATCTCATCAAACGTGGGGCAACAATGAATTGCTTTGAAATCCAGCTTTGCTTCGGAAGCCTGCCTCGCCAAAACCTCCATCCAATCAGAACCCAGTAAAGTCATTCGAGAAAAAATGTCTTGGCATCTAGAATCACGAACTTGACTTCAAGCCTCACGGTTGAAGACGACAACGAGTGGGTTCTCTCTCCTGCTACCAATTTTCAATCTCTCAGCGCATCGTCTTTAATAGTGGCTTTTGTGAAATTCATATCTCACGATGTCGCAAACAAATGGTTTCGTATGTCCTTATTCTTTCCTGCATTCCTTATTGTTTACTATGTATATTCCGAGCTGAAGGATATATATATAAACATAAAAATACATAAATAAATAAAATAAATACGAGAAACCCATAAACCAACTAGCTAACAAACAACCCCTCACAGACCAAACTAGCCTATTCCCGCACCTGGCACCACATCTCCGCCAGCACACCACATATACCCCTCTCAACCCTCCGACCACGACCCGATGCCTCCTCCCCGGCCTCAATAACCTCGCGCATCACCCCCCCACCCCTCGGCCGCCTCGCCTCCCGCATCGCCCTCCTCCTCATGGGAAAACACAAACCGATCTGGGACCCCTCCACCGACTGCGGCGACTACGTCGTCGTAACCAATTGCGCAAACTTGCACACCACGGGCAAAAAAATGTATCAAAAGAAATACTATCGTCATAATACTCGACCGGGTAGTTTAAAAGAAATTAGTATGGAGGGATTGATGGAGAAGTTGGGGGGGGCGGAAGTATTAAGGAAAGCGGTTAGTGGGATGTTGCCGAAGAATCGGTTGAGGGATGGGAGGTTGGGTCGTTTGAAGGCATTTGAGGGGGAGGCGCATCCGTATAAGTTGAATTTGGTTAGGTTTGAGGGGAGGAGGAGGGATTTGATGCCGGATGAGGGGTGGGGGGTTAAGAAGGTGGAGGAGGTTAGGAGGTGAGGGTTTGGGAGGAGAGAATGAATATTTGATGATTGGGGATGGGGATGTGGGAGAGGGCATTATTGTGAAGGCCAGAGAGTGTATAATATGCATTGAATGCATGGGAAGTGTATAAGGACACCGTATATCAGTCAAAACGCATTATGAAGCTATAGTTTGGCACTGTGTTTATTCGGACATGTTGAGGCTTGTGAATATGATTCTCCGATTATTCTTAAACTCGATTGCCGAGTGGCTATACGAATCAAGGAAGTAAAGGAATAGTTTATCTTATTACTCCTGAAGAACAAGGCGTCTCGAAGACGTAGTACACAGATATTGATACTCAGCATCCTCAACCATTTTTAAATCATTGTAATCTCAAGCATGGAAGTCCAATATCCATCTCGTCGAATTTTGAACATTCAAATCTGGTATCCCCAGAAACTCAAAATGCAAATAAGATGAATATTATGAACCTGACCATAAATACATTATGTTTTCGGGCGGTTATTTGAAAGATGGATAGTATGATGTTGATTCAATGCATGAACTCGGTATCGAATCGTTCTACAAGAAGCATTGAACCGCGCCGTGAATGTCCAAGAGCCAGCCCGCCCATTCACCCATTCAACCAATTTAATGAAATATATACTCCCCCCAAAAAGATGACAAAAAGCCCTATACTTATCCACTAAACACCTCATTATTATCCTAATCCCTGTATCCATGAACCCTAAACCGTAAGCTCTAAGCTATAAATCGACCCCTCTCTATGCAATCATACTCCGTAGAAAACATCACAAATGAGTCAAAGTCATCTCTAACGCTCTAATCTCTAAATCAATATTCTGCAGTGACATACGCAAACCTACGAGCCTCTGTAGTACAAAGGCTATCGTTGGAGAATTATCATTAGACCGATTTTCCATTCCCCCCGGGGTTGCAGCTAGACTCCAGTCATCCATATCTTCGTCTTCAAATGATGCAGTCTGTAAATCCTGCGTCGTGGTTTCAAGTGTAGCCACCGGACTGAGTAAGACCGGAACGTGGACTCGTCTTTTATGCTCGGTGAGATTGTCTTTGCGTCCGAAACCCTTTTTGTGAAATTTGCAGGTTACGACTGGACAAAAGAATTTAGGATCGCCGTGAACACTGATTTTGTGGCGTCGGAGGTCTGCTGGGTTTTTGAAAGGGTCGACTTTGCATCCTTGTATTGTGCATTTGTGAGGGCGCTGCTCATTCTCCTTGCGTTGCCTTTGTGGAATTAGTGTTTGTTCTCGACAGGGATTAAGAGGGCCTGGCTAACTCTGGAGTAGTGTCCTGCTTCTCTGCTTGATGGACTGCGCTACTTTGCAATAGGGGCAGACGGTCTGCTTGGGCATGTGGGAGCCGATTGGTTCTGGTCGATGTCAGATTTTAACAATTGTGTAGTGCTATGCATTGTTTGGATCTTAGGACCGGAATTGCCAATTGGCACACCGACTTTAGAATACCAGGAAAGACCATACCGTCCCAAATGCTGCTGCTGCGTATGAGTAGAAAAACCCGGGGCTGTTTCAATGGCCAAAGTATGGTCCGCGTTCCAAGGCAATTGAAGCTCAGGATTGGAAGTAGTGCCGAATTGATCAAATCCTGAAGGGGTGAATTGATAGTTGTAAGATGACACTAAATCTGTCCAAGTAAGTAATTTAAGCATGGTATTTTGGTAAAGAAGTTAGATGTAGCTACTCACCATTGGATCCATCTCCGAAGTCCATGGTGGTCAGATGCAGAAAAGAAACGCCTTAGTCTATGAACTCGCTAGGTAACAGTTGCACGGTAGGAAGGTTAGTAGGACAATCCTGCAATTATATGAAGCAGCGATGAATCCCCATGTTAGATAGTGGTGGTTGTACATGTTGAGACGTGTAAACCATTCTGGGTTGTAGACAGGGTCCTCATGCAACCCTAGCCTTGCCTTGAAAAAAAGACCCTGGAAATCTCCAAGGCGCAGTGGAAAGGCTAACAGGGCAGGGGCTAAACATGTACAGGTTACATCTACCCTACGGACAGATGTATAATCCTGGAAATACTGCAGGCATTCTGGTACGACCCCTTGGAAACGTGGCTATAGTTGCCACGTACATAATATTCGAAAGTAGCACTCTAGTTACAAGAAAGTGGTTCAAAAATCACCGACTTTGGTGTCCTAAGACGAGATTTTTTGTGACCCAGTCGATGGTGTTTTCTGCAAATTCAGAGTTGACGACATGATCTGACGAGCTACTCCCAATCAGCAACAAAAATAAACAACAGAGCCTCTCACACCTACCCTAATATCGTACCCTCATAGCGAGGATATGAGATATAGACTATAACTACCTCATAGTCTATCATCTGGAAGGAGTCGTAAGAAATTCAGTATGAGTGGAAGCCGTGCCTCACATATGGAGAAGAAAGAGGAAATAGGGAAAGCATACACATTTATGTAGAGATCGAGCCGGCGGGCAGGATGGGCGGGGGCAATCCCGCGGGTTTTGAGCCCATGCAATAAGCTCGTTTTCAAAGCTGACACCGCCCAGTTACACGCACATGCCACAAGCCTCGTCTCTGGGGCTGATACCGCCCTGTATGCCAGAAACCTCATTTCCAGGGTTAATATCATTATACACACATGCCACAAGCCTCGTTTGTGGGGCTGATGCTACCCTATTATGCACGCATGCCACAAGCACCGCTTGGAGCTGACACCGCCATGTGTACTACAAGCCTCATTCCCAGGGCTAATACCACCCTACCACACACGCATACCCCAAGCCCCGTTTCCAGGGCTAACACACACACATACCACCGCCTCACTTCCAACCCTAATACCAGCCTCACAAACCCACCTGCCAGGCACCCCACGACTGAGCCTACAGAAAACCACACACTAAAGAACACCAAGCATCAAATTGGATGCTACACAATTCTAACGAATCCCCTCTCCTCAGTGGTAAATAGGGCTGGTAAATTCGCCCTGGACTTGGGCGCCATGCAATTACTATGAAATATCCAGGAACTAACTAGACAATGAATACAATACAATACAGGGCGGTATGTAAGATACGACTATGAGGCGGAGTCTTGAGGTTTTGATAGATCTAGAGCTATTGATTAATGCATAGGTAGGTATTTCAATCGCGACTAGCGACTCATGACAAGAGAATTACATACCGGGTGAGCTGAACGGTGTGCATTGGTTGTATGAGGGAAGAGGCTGATACGTGTCAGCGCAAGTGAGGGTTAACATGCGTGTGGTCTTGATGTGTAGGTTTTTGAAAGAATGAGGATAGATATGCATGGGAAAGGTTCAGATGTAAGGAACAATGGCCCAAGTCCAAACTTTAGACTGGCTGTTAACTTTTGAGAGATTAAACAGCTAAACTGAATCGTAAATGGGTTGAATTTGTATTGGTATCTGTCAAATTCTAAATCCGATGCCGTTATATTGCGCCTAAATGCTCTACTATCCTTAAATTACCATACGCCTTTCCACTTTAAAGCAATCCTGAGTGGTACCATGCAATTAAATCATGCAATTATAAAGCATATGAAGTCTATAGTTTTGGCGAGGCGGGGGATCTGGTGACGGTGACATTGATAAGTCCATTTGGTCCGGATTGAGGAGCATAAACTTCTGCATCCTTGCCGGTGTTCTTGAGACCCTTATGCCAGCTGAGATCTGTAGATATGTTAGAAATTTCCTGTTTCATGGAGTGCCTCCTAGTTACTTACCGACTTCGAAATAATGCTTGTTGGGTAAAGAATAATCCACAGCCTCGACTTCTGGGACAGTCTCTAAAATAGAATTGCACATCTTGTACATAGTGTTTTGTACAGATGGACTGTTCTCCTCAGCGAATGTCTTCATGGTGATATTTCTAGCATCATCAAATGCTTTATCAAATTTGGGAATGGCCTCTTTAACAGCGTCCAATCCAGCGAATGTTTTCCAAGCCCAGCCACAGTCAACATCAGTCGACAAAATTCTATCCCAAACCTCGGGGAGCGTAGTATACTCGTCTCTAACAAATCCGTGGAATTGCGAACCAGTACTCTTTAAAACTAAAAGCCCAACAATTCCACTACGGATATCGATGCCCTTTCCTCTCTTGATAACAGCTTCAACATTTCGTGTTTCGTTTCCATCCCTGTAGAATGAATGCGGGTGCGGTTTGCCATCAATAGTCATTCGTGTCCATCTGTGAGTGATGATTTTGATGTTGGCTGCGGTAAGATGAGGGTAGGTATCGATAAAGTGAGTTCCAAGAATGCTAGCAAAAAGCTCAGGTGGAGTAACTGGATGTTCCTTGGCTTTGATATAGACTGTATTCTTCATGGAATCGGTTGCAACCACAACACTGTTGTCGGCTTTTGTGTATCTAGAAAATGTTTAATTACCAATTTGAGACGTATCCGAGAGGGGTGTGCAACATACGATACATCGATAGCACCTTCCAGTAATACACAAACAGTCATTTCTGTGACTGTTTGAGTTCCGGTTTGCTCATCTCTCTCTACCTTATAGACGCGGACATTATCCTTGCCATATCGTGCTGAAGATATTGATGACATGATGAAGGATTTGATTTCGATTTGTGGTCGAGAAAGCAAGATGATGCAACAGAAGTGTATGTAAACGCTATGTGCAGTTAATAGTACTTCACTTAGTGCTCTTATCGAATGCAACGGAGAGACTTGGTATGAATTAGTATGGTGTGATTAATGACAAGAATGAGGAATTGCTATCGAGGGGACTTTGGTCTCTTTATGTATTTTCGATTATGGTCGCTAAACAAGATTAGCGGCAACGAGGTCAGATATTGATCGAGGAGAACGGAGAAGCTCAAGCTATCTGCAGGAGTCTACCGGGTATGATAGCTACCAGAGGCTGCATCTTGGCTCCATATGCATGTAGTTGATCCTAACTTTCATCGGAAGGCGCCGAACGCACGAGGCCGAGCTGCAGCCTTGTAGTGAAACTTTGATTATTGGTCTTCCTTTTACCTAACCAACAGTACTAACTTTTTGATTGAAAAAAGTCTTTTGCTCAGCGGGTCTTTTGAGGGAGGCGTTTAAATCTCGGGATTTGAAGAATAGATGTGATAAACATCTCTTTCACATCATTTTGTTCTGTCACATCAAATGTTCAAATGTCGAGAAATGGAGACAAGATCTTACAAGGCTGACAAGTACCAACGGGACCGTCCGCCTATACTACCTAGTAAGTATATACCAGGTCCGCTCACCTCGTACGATGAAAAGACATTCTCGGTACATTCTAATCTGATGCCGCTTCAAGAAGAGAAGGGGAAGATCGACCGGCTTCTTAAAAGAGCGACAAGGCGGTTTCATTGCTAGAACTCAAGATCTGATAGACAACGTACACTTCTTAAAATAGAGTATTATAGTCCTTATTAGCAAAGGACTTTTGTCTTCCTGGGGTATTTTCGTACTGTATCTCGAAGAATGCAAGGCCATGAAGTAGGAATCGAAGGTCAAAATGTTCTTGGAAAGGTTTTGGACATCGTTAATTAGTCCTCGAGTCAGTTGTGATGGATCTATACTTATTTCAGTAGGCCGGTACAATAACACATTTGTAGTCGAGTAGGTATTTTTATAGAGAATAGCGAAGGAGAGGAAACACTTCTCCTGCGTATATATACGTATATACAAACATGTATATGATTTTGATGTGTATTAATGAATGAAGTCTCCATAAAAATGCGTACTGCAGAATAACAAATGCCTGCTAGCGATACTCTTCTTGGTTGGTTGGTCTGTGTCTGTGTGAGATATCCCCATCATTTGCGGGAATGGGAATGGGAGAAGACGGAGAGCATCAAAGGACGATTTGATTTAACGAAACAACAACTTCATGATCCTGTAAACTTTAGTCGCAATACAGTAGGGACGTTCATTTCCAAAACTTCTGATAAGCTGTATGTGTATGATACCTCTTTTAAAATACAATCTTCATTGATTTTCTAGCACGGCATTATCTCCAAATTTACTATCTACAACTCTGGTGCCCACATCGACTGTGGAACCTCCAATTATACCACGACAAGCACATAACACCCACGAATTGTTTTTGTCCGGCCGAGATCTATTCACCACAGTTGAATCTCCTCTTTCTACATTGGTACTTGGATGACTTCAGTGTCGGTCCCCTAACTGCACCACCTATGTCACCCCCGCACGAAGAACGTTGACCCCGACCTCTCGAATGGGCAGATGGTTGGACCATCGAGCATTCTGGGTTCGTCTGTGACGACAGCCCAGAAAAATACATACGCACAACAATATGCTGGAAGGACGAGTTTAGATCAACCTGGTGGTTTACAGCCGCCCGGTCAAAATGGCTCGCGAATGCCCTCAAGCTCAACAGCTGCATTTGCGCCTCGTGGCTCCTCTCTTGCACCATCCCCCGGCCCGGGGAGTTTCAGCTCGACAATGCGTAGCCAAATGCCTATACGGCAGACTTCAGCCCTTGATACAAATGCTTCGGTGCTAAACCAGGAACGATTAGAAGAAGAAGATAATACGAAATCGGGAAAGCTATTGTCGAATTTGCGCGAATCGCTGAGTAGGGAGATGAAAATAAAGGAGGGGAGTGAGAATATGTTGGAGGCATTGAATACGAAGAAAGCAAAACAGACAAAAGAGCAAAGGCAGAGGGTGGAGACGGAATTGAATATATCCAACCAGAAGATCAGAGATTTGAGATTCCAGATTACGGAACTTCAAAAACCTAAGCCTCCCACGACTCCTACGCGCAACCGAATGGATGCTCTCTTCCAGAGTAATGGTTTGAGATCACCTCAAAGTGCTTCCAAAAGTGTTGGGGGCTCGGAAGCAGCAGATGAGCTCATAGAATCTCCAACATATGCGCTGGCCGAAATTCTACAAGCTCTTGAGGTGGAAGGCCTCACTCCTGACTACTACGTGGGCCATGCAAATGATCTAGTTGAGCTCTTCAAGCGTCACCCAACCTTGAAGTACGATCTAGTGTGGTCAGTATTCGGCCTGAGAATGCAAGTCATGCTCCTGAGTGGGAGCCGAGAAGTAGTCGCCGCAGGATATCGTATGACAAGATATGCAATTTCTGATGTTAGCTCTTTACAAAAGATTCGTAGCTTACATACTGATTATCTCGCTGTCGTGTAAGCATCAACAAGGCCAATATTTAGGTTAATGCTAAACAATTTTTAGATCACTGATCAAGAAGGGAACTTCTGACGTGGAACGGGAGCAGGCTTTGAAATTCATTCGAGCTTTTCTAGATGTCAAAGACGGTATAAAAGAGGTTTCCAGGGCTGTCGTAAGAACTATAGCTTCAGTTGCAGATCATGAGGAGGATCGACTCAAAGCTATCTGCATAGAAACACTTGCAGAAATCATGGTCCGCGATCCCAGCCTTGTCGTTGCCTCTGGCGGTCTCAGACCTCTCGCTGAAGCTTTAGGTGATGGTACTTACGAAGCTTCCGAGAGTCTGACAGCAGCATTTTTGTTCTTGCTTGATTCTCCTCATAGGCGCCAATATCTGCGATCAGGTTATGAGCTAGAAATTCTCTTCACCTCCTTCACAGACTCACTATCTGTGAAGGAAGAAATTTTAAAGCAAAACTCGAAGGCTATTTCATATGCCTTAAATTCATGGCCTGGTCTTATGGCATTGTCTATGTACAACTTTAGAGCTATCAAATCACTCGTGTCATGCTTAATTCTCCCGAATCCCGTTGTACGCGAGACTGTCATAGATTTGTTCTATGGAATCTTGCGCATCAAGTCTCCTTTCTGGGCAACCTCTTTCCTCGCTGGCAGACGTCTCACTACATACGGACGAGTCGCAAACCTCAAAACTGCACCATCAAAAACATCAGCGCAGCAAGTAACTGAAGACGAGGCATGCGATAAAAGCTTTGTCGACCACTATACAGCGCTTTTACTGGCTGTGTTGATAAACTCCGGCATGGTTGAAGGATTGTTGCAAGTTACTCGAGATACTGATAATGCGATGCTAAAGCGAAAAACTACTCTACTTATCGGAGAAGTTCTGAAGCTTGCAAGTCAGCTATTACCATCAAACTGGAGCGCTGAACTTCAGTTGCTCCCCGGATTATTTGCTGCTGCATCTCAATTCGGAAGCGAAGAACGAATTGTAGCCACAAGCACGGTGTATCAGATTAGCAGTGTGAGTCGGACATTGTACAGATCAGCTCCATCCATCTCGACGACCCTCTCAAACAACAATAGCCATGATAATTTGTCCAGCCTGGGAGATCAACCTAAAACTAATCCCAACGTCTCATTTGACGAAACGACATTTAGGCAAATGTTAGTTGAATCTCAAGTTTTAGCTAGCACAAATCCCATTAAGTGGAAATGGGATATTATCCTGCGCGTTATCGAAGGTCCATTATTGAACGGGAAGCGCCTTGACGAAGCCGTCAAAGCCTCGAAGTTTATAAAAAGAATAATGAGTTTCTATCGGCCCTTCAAATACAAATTTTCTGAAGTTAGGAACACCAGGATAAATCAGAAATATGTCAAAGTCGGTTGCGCACTTATGCACACTCTCCTTCAAACAGTAGAAGGAGTGAAATATCTAGCAGACAACAAGCTACTCAGGCAAATTGCGGAATGTCTCGCTCAATGTGATCCGGTAGATTTTACCCCTTTCATTATGATAACTTATATACTGACAAGAAGCAGACGAGTGGTCTCACTGCTTCCCAACCAACATTTTCGAAAGAAAGACTTTCGGAAACGCTCGCATGCGGCTATTTTGCTATGCTTGGCACCTTGAGTGGTGACCCTAAAGGGTTGCAAATGTTGGATCGTTGGCGAATGATCAATATGATGTATCATATAATTGATTTGAAACAGCGCCCTGATTTGATCAAGCTACTGTTGTCAAACTTTGACTATAATTTACAAGGACACCCGAGAGTCCTCTTATCTAAGGCTTTGACCGCAGGATCTAAGGAGATTCGTATACATGCAACGAATGTCCTGCGTAAGTATTCCAGTCGCGCTCCAGGGACCACCGACTATAAATGGGCAATCGAGCTTCTGGTCACTCAATTATATGACCCAGAGGTTGAAGTCTGCGCAACTGCCATCAAGATTCTTGAGGAGGCATGTAACAGAAAAAGTTATCTCGAATTCATTGTGGAGTGTCGCCCGGCTTTAGACCATTTAGGCGAAATCGGTGCTCCTTTATTGCTACGTTTTCTCTCGACTTCGATTGGATATCACTATTTGGACGGACTCGATTACATCAGCAATGAAATGGATGATTGGTTCTTGGGAAGGAATGATAGCTACGTCGGAGTTATCGAGGCAAGTTTATCACGAGCCTTTGCAGAAATGCCTGAAGAATCTTCGCATCGTATGAGTATCGACGAGGATAGCTTTGATATCGACGCCGAAAACGATACCCAGGTTCCTCCTCATTTTTATAGAGAACTTACTCGCACAAAAGAAGGCTGCAAACTTCTTCAAGATAAAGGACATTTCGAAGAGTTTGCATCCACGATCCGCGAATATGGTATGCTAGCCGATGATCCCGAGCTCATTCTCAAAATCAAAGGGTGTCTCTGGGCAGTCGGAAATGTGGGATCCATGGAACTAGGCGCACCATTCTTAGAGGAATCAGACGTCGTCGAGCAAATCGTCAAGATTGCCGAAGAACATCAAATCATGAGTTTACGCGGTACCGCATTCTATGTCCTAGGACTTATCTCTCGAAGTAGGCATGGTCTTGAAATTCTTTCGGAACACGGATGGGACTCCAATACCACTACCTTAGGCGTCTCCCTCGGCCTCTGCATCCCTCAAAACCTAAACAAATTCTTCTCCTATCAACCTTGGGAACATAAAACCATCTCTGACATCATCATCACAGAAGAAGAAAAAATGGAAATTGATCTAGCGCGTATTGATGGTGATGAAACTAATCAACGTATCCTGGAACTCGTTGAAAATCTCGGAAATATGATTTTACATAAAAAGGCCATTGGAGAGTTGATTGCCATCAAAGAAAATAAAGGATATGCATTTAAACAGGTGCGGTTGTTTAAAAAGGTTATGGTACTGTTGGAGTATCATCACTTCAGACTCCCGATGCGCAGGTTTGTCATCGAACTTTTTGAGAAGAGGGTACTGAGGCGTATTGTGTTGGAAGAAGAAGAAGATGAGGTGGAAATGAGTGAGAGGGACGTGGAGAGAGTGGAGAGGAGAATCCCACGTGATGAAGAAGATAGTGAAAGTGAGGGTGTGAGAACGGAACGTCAGAGAAGTGTTACGGATATTGGAACCATGGCGAATCAAGCGAATACTCCGTAGATATGATGTGATATGATTTGTGGCTTCTGAAGAATAGGTGGAGGGGTGGACGGATGAATATGTACGATTATGAAAGGGACATTGAATGAATGTAGTAGAAAGGGAGAAAGGGAGAAGGGAAGAAACAGAGAGATAAGATGAGCAAAGTGATACAGACATAACACGCCATCTCATCTCATCTCATCTAACATAACCAAATATCGAAGACCTGGCCTCTTTCTTCCCTCTTCACTAACCGAGGAATTTTCTTATCATTTCTTTTATTTCCTTCACTTCACTTTCCTTTCTTTTTCTTCCCCTTAAATCTCTGTACAAAAGTTTTAGTTTAACATAGGCATGGCATAGGCATAGGGTGGTGCGAATGGTTGATTACGATGGCGCTGTTGATTGGTTGATTGGTTGAATGAATGGATGGATGGATGGCGTTGGTTATTTACATAGTGCGTGCGAGTAACTTATCTTACTTTATCTTACTTTCACTCACTCATTTCACCTTTCCTTACCTCACTTATTTTGATTTGATTTGATTTGATCTGGCATTTATGCGCGTGGAGAATGGACGGGTGGGTGGATTGCCGGGAGTGAGGGGGGCCTTCGGGGTGGGCGGGTGAGTGGATGGATGGATGAGAGAAAGGAATGATATTTGAATGAAATGGAATTGTAGGAAACATAAGCCAGATATGCAAGATATGTACGCAGGCGAGGTGGGTGGGTATGGGTAAGAGACAGATTCACAGACAGATAGGCAGACAGATAGGCAGATAGGCATAGGATTTGAAAAGTTATATGATTGAAAATTGAAAAATTATGAATGTGTGTGAATGTGTGTGTGTGTGTGGGGGGGGGGGGGGAGAGAGAGAGAGAGATTTATTATTGGTGAGTGAGGTTATTATACATGCTAGGTTGATTATTAGTTGGTCTCTTGTGGTGGAATAAATGGGTAAGAAGTTCAGGAAATTATGAACTCTTGTAGGAAGAGAGTTTAAGAAACCAGTATCCAAATTCCAATACTCGAGTACATATCACATAAAACATAACCACCAATCACAATTAAATCACAATTCACATCAAGACAACAGATAAATAATTTGAATCAGTTTCATAAGTTTCTACCACCTGAAGCCGGCTGGCATGATGAAAAAGAAAAGAAGCAAAAAACCAATGACAAAAAGAAGATTATAATTGTACAATAAGGTTTTCCGAGCATCCTGCATTCCTCCCCACAAGCTGGGACATCCAACTTCCCCTAAACACAAATCCACAGCTTTCACGATAGATTTAGCCTGCACCCTTAGAACAGAACAAGTTTCCATGTTGTATTCCTCCGTGGCACTCGAGATCAACCACCATCAGCCAGCCAAGCTACCAGAGAAAAACTTATCACCATTGCGCAACCATGAAGCCCCATGCCTTCTTTCGTGAAGCGGACATTAGGCTATCAAAGTCGTAATGGCGCCAATGCAAAAATAACAAAAACGCAAAATAGTTGTAGCGTAACATTCGTAGACCATTCGTATGGATGCACTGAAGCAAGCCGGTCATCGATCATTAGAGCCACGTAAAGACGAGGAAAATTATGGACAGAAGAAAGAGAAGCTTTTAGAGGTCGTGTCATGATCAGCAGCCAACCATGCCGCCGTCCAAATGAACCCCCGTCAGCCAAAGAAATTCGCAGATAGAAAGCACCCTATTTTACCCCACGCACCAAATACCGGATAATGCATTAGAAAGATGACCGAAAACAAGATCTGGTGATAACGGAATGTAGTCTAATGGGTGAAATCTGAGGTATCATAAAGAACAGAATGAGGAACTTTTAAGACACCCGTTTTGAAATAGGCCCCGCCGTAAATGCAAGATTAGCCCGCCGTCTATGCACAGAAATTAGAATGCTCCGTTGTATGAAACACTTTTAATGCTGAATGATTCAAGCATCACCCTCCTTCTTGTCAGAAGCTGCTGTGGATTTCGACAACACTGGAGAAGTATGGGTAGAAGGAGGAGATGCCGGATTCTCGGTCTCGCCAGATCCTAATCCTGCAAGTAGACTATTAAATGGTTAGTTGATGATCAATAATCGCGAATATGGAATACACGAACCTAAATGCATTTGCGGAAGTAGCTGATTTCCTATCCTTGTCTTGTGGGGGTGTCCCAGTTCTTGATGAAGCTCCTGAATCTTCACCTGTTCTGCTCAAGGAACCTCCTGGACCCATCTTTCGACCACTGTTGCTTCTTGAATTGAACATAGACGTGGGTCCAAATGACATCTGTTGACTAGCCTGGCGGTTTGCACCACCTTTGTTTGTAAGACGACGAAGGTCATCCATACCAACAGTGTTTTTCTGGTAATCGGGAGGAGGTTGGTTTCCATATCCACCGGAGAAATTTCTTCCATCACCACGACCCATTGGCAAGCGTCCACCACCACCTCCTCTTTGACTCCTGGAGTTCTCGGCAGCCTTTTGTGCAGCAGCAGCCTCGGCCTATAATTAGTTAGTATGTGAATGATCATTACCATATTTGTTAGAATTCTTACCTCTGCTCTAACTTCTTCGAGTGTCTTGGGGCCCTTGTTGGCTTCCTTTGATGCCCATCTCTTCTTACGGAGATCGACGATATCCATAAGCATAAACTTCAGTCGACTTGGCAACTCAGGTGTTTCGATCATGGCAGTAATGCGAGTGAAGTAAACATCCATCAATGGTCTACCCTTCTCGGTGCTGTCGAGGTTGAGACCAATGGTCTTGAGGAGTTTGGTCAAAGACTCAATCTCAGCTTCGTCGGGAAGACCCTGGTAATCCACGAGTTTCTTGACACACTCATGCATGATACGCTCTGTAAGCATGCTAAGCTTGTACAACTCACCAATGAATTGAACAAGACCAAGACCACGTCTCTTAGCAGCTGCGGCGATATAATACTCATCTGAGAGCATAGCAGCTTCCTCGGTCTTGGCATCTTCACGCTCGCCCTCCGGTTTCTCCGGCAAATCAATCTTCCAACCTCTTTCAAACTCTTCTTGACATCTATTGAGCAAGTACTTTCTGAAAAGGTTACCACCAGAAACGATGTTACCATTCTTATCCACGATGCTCTCGTCCTTGATATCAGGGCTCATGGTCTCCAGCATGCGCTTGCAGAACTTGGCATACATGGAAGCCCAGTGTGCCTCGTCAGTTGCCTTCTCAAAAGTAAGTTGGATGACCTGTCGCAATGTGCGTCCATCTGCTTCGTCTCTAGATTGTGCAGCTATAGCTAAGATTTGGTCTGCGATCTTGTCAAACTTCTCGGGAGTCATCTTGTTCAAAGCTGCCTTAACCTTTCTTTGGACCATGTCAGGATCCATATGGCCAGCGCCTGGAACGGCCCCAGGAGCAGGTCCAGCAGCACCGGTAGCTGATTGGGTTTGACCGACACTGCGTGGTTTCCAACCAGTAGAGGAAGTTTGAATAGGCTTAATGTCCATGCCGCTTGTAAGAGGCATCTTTGCGGCTGCTTGGGCTTCCTGCTTAGCATTACTACCTTGGTAACCGCCTTCACGCTTGCTACCACCACGAGTGGATCTGCTTGCTTGACGTGGGGAATGTGGCATGGAAGAGTTGGTAGAATTGGTTCGTTGCATAGAATTTCCACCTGGGAAAGCTCCACCAGGGCGCTGGAATGAGGCCATAGGGTTGAGTGCTGGTCGTGGCATATTGCCTTGAGACATAGCGAAACGCTCGGCACTTGTGGTTCCGGGTGGGAGAGTCTTTCCACCTTGAGCACCAAATTGACCCATGGTAAATTGACCAACGGCATTTCCACCACCACGGTTTGATCCTCTGGAACCCATGCCACCAGGTGTTCTCTGTGATCCACCGGGTCTGGCAGAGCTTGGGTCATCTCCAATAAGAGCCTTGATTTGAGACTCGAATTCCATAGAAGGCTTCTCGGTGAATACCTTCTGGAATTGGAGCAAGAACTCTTTATCATACTTGAAAGTCTTGCCCTTGGCATTAACGGCAGAGTTCAAAGCAGGGTTTGGTGAATTAATGTTGGCTGGATAGATGGAGGAATCAAGCACGGCCAAGAAGCGAGCAGACTTAAGTGACTGAAGAGCTGCGCTAGGTTGAGGTGGTTCAACAGGCTTCGTATTGAGAGGTGCTAGGTTGAGTGCAGCAGGTTTGCCCCGCTTCTCGGCAGCAAATGACTTAGGAGGCGGCCCCATGGAGTCGTCGGAAGTGGGAGTCGATGCACCACTGTCGGTTTCGAGGGTAGCCTTTGATAGTTTGGTGGCGAGAGTATCGGGAGTCTCCTCATCCTTCTTAGAATCACCACCTTTAGCCTTTGCTTCCGCCTCTGCTCTTTTCTTCTCACGCTCATCTTCGAGACGTTCCATCTCACGCTCCTGCTCCCTGAGTTTGCGGTCATTCTCCGCCGCATTGACCTTCTCACGTTCGGCTTTTTCAGCATCCTCCTTTGCTTTGTCGGCAGCGCGCTTGGCGAGTATCTCTTGTTCCTTCTTCTCTCTTTCAGCTTCAAGGGCCTCCATCTCGGCAATCTGTCGATCAAGTTCTTCTTCTGCTTCCTTCTTAGCCTTCTCGGCGGCAGCTTTAGCGTCTGCCTCTTCCTTAGCTTTAGCCTCCTCCGCGGCCTTTGCCAACTCCTTGGCTTTCTCTTCTTCCTTCAATTTGGCTTCAGCAGCGGCCGCGGCTTCAGCGGCCTTTGTGGCCTCCTCGTTCTTGGCCTCATCGATCTTATCGCCACCTGCTGCCATTTTCTTGACTTTCTCTTGCATCTCTTGACGAATTTCTTCAGCAGACTTTGTAGCTAAGCTATCAGCTCGAGCATGTTGAGGAGTAGCAGACTTCGGTGGGGGTGTTGGGGTGGAAGAAGCTATGACAGGTGGTGTTCTAGTTCTGTTACTAGGAGCTGGAGAAGCAGGTGCTTTGATTGCTTCAACATTCAACACGTCGCCATCAGGTCTCTTGATGACGATAGCTGCACTCTTGCGAGCTGGTCTCGAGAATGCGGAAGCTTGAGTTGCAGGCTTTGGCTGCGGTGTAAGTGAAGTGGAAGGAGTCATCGAAGGAGTTTGTGTCTGGCCCATGCTCGAAGCTGGTCGATGTTCGGACATCTGGGAAGAATTGCGAGACATAGGTTGTGCCTGTTGTGCATATTGACCTGCAATATAGGGTTGCTGGTAACCTGGCTGTGGTGATTGGGGTGGAACGGGATGCATGTAACCCACTTGAGGATACTGGAAAGATGGGGGACCACCCATTGGCATCATGCCGGGATAAGGTTGAGCATATGCATTGTGAGTCTGTGTATCTGTTAGAAATTTGTCAAAATTGCCAGAAGCTGGCGAAAAATCAATATTTGAAACATCAGAAGAAACATGGAAATAGGGAGTAGCAGAAGGGAGAGGGGGGAGGCTTGGGTCCGTAGAATTTAGATCTGCACGCTTCTTCGGGATAACTGAATCCTTGGCTGGAGGTGATGGCAAATTCGACTGTTGGTTGGAAACAGGACAGCCATTCTCCTGGTGCTCCAACTGGATGGACTCTTTTCTATTTTTGGCAATACCTTGACCGTTACTCCCACGTAAAGATGGCTCTTCATTGCAGGTGAGGTTGTGACCGAAAAGTTCTGTTGAAGGCTTTCGGTAATGGGTTGAAGACTTATCAAACCACTTCTTGCCTCTACCACCACGATTGAAAGATTGAAAGGGGAGAGAATTGCTGGAATAAGAAGGGCATTGGTTTACCGGGTATTGGTAGGGTGATTGTACTGGAGGACCTCCCATATGAGACGGCTGGTAGTACGCAGCATGAGCGTTGAATTGTTGTGGGCTTTGCATGGGCATGGCCTGGTTCATGTTTGGTGTATTGGGAATCGAGTTGGAAAGGGCCGGGCTTCGTGCAGCTTGGTGGGGGGAATTCTGATATTGTGGGCGGCCTTGATTTTGGAAAGGAGGCATGCCACCACGTCCCGCATTTTGGTTGCCTCTGAATTGAGGTTGACTTTGGGGGGGAAAACCAGAATGACCCGAGTATTGTTGATTAAATCCGCCACGACCACGTCCACCACCTTGTTGATATCCTCCACGGCCTGCTCCGGGACCTTGATTGTTGTCACTTTGTGCCGAATGAGATGATTCACGACGAAGGTGACCACCTGCCTGAGTGTTAGGTGCTAGGGGTCCTTGAGAGGATGCTTGTCTCATGTGTCGCTACGAGTGTGAAAAAAGTTAGTGGATATTCGCTGTGGTTGAATGGAATCAATACTAACGTCACCATCGTTACCCAAACTACCAAAAGTCATGTTTCCTTGCTGGATTCCGGAAGGAGGTCTTCCACCACTTGCAGCTGGTTGAGGGATAGGAGATGGTGAATTGGCGGGCGAAATTACTCTTGGGTTGTTTCCTGGAATAGGAATTGGTGCTGAAGCCGGTTGAGAGATCTGTGGGATACTGTGAGTAGCAGCAGGAGAATCCATAACTGATCCAAACTGAATGCCACCTCTTGAACCACCTACTGGACCTCCATTAGGAACATAACCTGCGGGGCCATTTGCGCTGATTGTAACCGAACTCTTACGGCTGTGGTCAGTCGAACCACCATTAATTGCAGAGCTACTATGGGCAATAGCAGGTGCAGAAACAGCCGGTACAGCGGGAGGAATCGAAGCTCTACCGTTCACCGGTGAGATAGAGGATGATTTTCCATGTTGCTGTACCGGCGCAGAACCTCCGACAGCCACGGCGGGTGAGGGAGTCGAGGAGCTCGTCGCGATAGGTGGCGACGAGACTGCCTTCTTTGCGGTAGAAGCGTACGACTGGGTCGATTGCGACGCGCTGTTGGTGTTTGAGGCCTGGCTTTGGTTTTGAGAAGTTTGAGGAACGGAAGTCATAGGGTGAGCTGTTTGTCGAAGGTGACCTCGGATCTTTTTGTCGTGAGAAGAAGGGATTTGAATTATTTTGTATGACGTTATCGCGATAGGAGTTGGATGACGAGTTGTATTCCTTCGCAGATGTGTCGATAGAATCTGAATCGAAATCTATTAATAAGAGAAAGGCTCTTTTTTTTTAATTCGAATAAATCGATGATAAAAAGGTTGAGTGGAGAGGATTTATGTGTTTTCTTCCTGAGTGGGCAGAAATTAATCGCTCTCAAAAAAAAGTGCGAAGATGGGATAGGTATCGCCCTCTCTTTTCGGGTGGGTGAATGAATGGGAGAATTTGTCGTTACAGTTTCTGAATAACTATAACTGTACAATTCTGGTTAAAGGGATCGATACTTTTGTAAAAAGGTATCGAGGGACTATTCCTGCCGCGATCGTTCTTCTACAGAATAGAAGATGTTCGCCGGGATAGTTTTATCTTGAGGGGAGGTGGTGTTTTCAAGTGTCTTGAAATTAATTGTTGGTGGTGGTTAAAAAAATGTTCGAGAGAAAAAGCAGATATCAGATATCTTTCGGTGGTGGCTCGGCTAGTGGTATCTGCTATTTTTTTCTACAACAGGGAAAAAGGGAAAAGTGTATGTACGCCTTGAATCTGAGGCCAACACAAATAATCAAAAATTATTAAATATTGTTCTCTTTTAAAAATGATTGATGGTTTTTCCTGAGAGGTTTGTTTCTGCTTTGTGTCTGTATGGTAAAATAAGGTAAGGTAAAGTAAAGTAAGGTATTGGTCCAGCCTATGAAATGATTGAAGGATTGAAGGAACTTGTTTGTCTTTTCTTTGAATCCCTTATTGTATGGTCCTTCTAACAAAGTGTGAAGCAGATAAGCTTGATTGAAAATTAAGATTGTACGTACTTCTGTAGAGTACAATGGAAAGTAAGTGTTCAGATGTGTGAAAGAGGCTTCGAGAGACAATGCAATAGCTGGGTATTGTCTTTCGTCTAAAGTATCTACTAAACACCTACTAAACATCTACTAAACACCAACTAAATGTGTAAATGTATACTAAATGTCCGCCAATATCTCTACTTGAATGCCTAGTAGGTGCTAGATGCCAAGTACTAAATCAATTAGGTCATCATATCATCGAGGATTTTCGGTGAAGAAATACCATATCCCGAGTAGTTGTGCTTTGATCTAACTTTTAGGTAGGGTATCTTACTATCTTTCCCTTATATTTATATCATCAGTCTACCTGTCTATTTCAAGAATCCATCGGCGTCTGACATCATGTTTCAAGCAATATTTGTACACTGAAGCAGATATTGATTTTAATCAATCCCTTTCTCTCCTTTTCCCTATCGCCGATGTTCTCGTCCCCCATCCACTCCAGAAAATAGACGGATGAAATTAAAGTTCGACTTGCAATAGTCCGGCCAACCACCAATTCCACTTGAGGGCCTTTTACTAAATCTTGCTTGACAGTCCTGGTGGTCACGGCGAAACTCTGCACTCATCATTACATCAAATCTCAAGAGTTAGCTCTTCAAACACGCTAGTCCTGGTCATGGATAACCAGGCAACTGGGTGAAGGATTTATTCTTGGGCTCTTGTGGCATGGCATAAGCATAATTTGGGCATATCTATCCTTGGTCTGACCCGACTTGCATTACCATACTGTGGTGCTGTATGTTTCTGGTAGCAAACTTCTTATCCAAGCCAGGAGAGAATGTATCTTATGTCTTCTTCTGCGTCTTCTTGCATCATAATTATGTTTATTAAGGATTGCTTCCCTATTTTTTTTAAAAAAGCCCTTTGATAAAGGGGCCAATTTCCAATATTCAGCTGAACACTTCACATAATCATTATCAACAACTCATCAGCTCTGAAACTCCACTCTCAAGCTCGGGCACAGAGCAGTAACTCGATGGATACTCGTGGCACGATTCTGCACCTCGATAACCAACAGATTCCTAACAGATCCTTGATCTCAACCCTACAGCCATTGGAACAGCCTTGGAGAAACACAGCAGGGCGTATGATGCTTCTACGGGGTATCGGTATAACCCAGTCCTCACGTACTATCAATCCGTTTTGATATCAAAATACATATTGATTCAATGGTGCAGCTCAAACACACTTGGAAATTCATCAGACGATGCAACATGATAGAAATCTACCTACCTACCTAACTCAAGGAATATGGCCATTCCCCGAAATTTGTACACATCGCCACCACCCAAAGCATTGGAATATTCGAGAATACATTGAAAGGTTACACCTTCTACTTCTCCAACCTGTTGCATTCTGCATTCTGCACTTGTGTACCATATATCCAACACGAACCTTTACAAACAACTTTATTCGTCAAATATCCCTTGAACCCCCTTTCGGATAATATCTCAAGGAAACTGATGTCAATATTACGTCCAATAACATTTATTACATTTTCTTCATCCCTTACCTTACCTTGATCTTTGAATTCTTGATACATGCGTGTCATTCATTTTCTTCATTCTATATTTGTTCGAGCACCAATCCTACCTGTCACGAACTCCAAATCCAAATTCAACCTTGCCCAATGCTTTCCTATCACCACAAACTCCGCATCTAAACTCCACTGGCAAACGCCAACTACAACACGGCTATACAGTAGTAAGTAAACAGCAAGGTGACTCATTCTGACGGTGCGTCCTGGATATATGCAATAATGCGAGAAAGAACGGATAAATGAATAGACGGATTTAGATATATACGAATTTACGCAGTAATGTATCTTTCAGGTAAGTAAGATCTTAGTAATACACTCAATTCAATACCATAAATGATCACCAGCCCCAAAATCCCATCCTCAACATCAACTCCAAATTATCCTCCACCCAAAATTCCCCAAAACACAATCCAAATGCACATCTTCGTTCGATCACTTTTCGAGAATCTTTCCGTTTCCGCAGCCAGCTTGACGCTCGGACCATAAGCTTGTAAACCAATCAAGGAAAAGTTAAAATAATCTGTACAAACCTGTACACAAAGTTTTTGCATGTGATTTTGATGGATCGATCTTTTAACTTTTAGTGCTTGATGTTTGTTTTTAAGTGAAGTTGTACAAAATGTACTGAAGCCTGAATATTGGAAGTCTTTATAATAAACAGTTTATAAAATCCGAATCCAATCTCTATCAGAATTTTCATCTAGGCATCTTTTTCAATCCCCTCCACTATCACAATCACAATCATTTATCTACTGTACCAGGTATCTATCTACCCCGCCGCAATTGAGTTGTCGATAACTCCGTACGTACTAGATACTTACTAAGAGCTCCACTCAAGCTACCTACCTACCTAGTAACTTATATACTATATATCAACCTAGAAATTTTCATTTGTCAGTACCAATTCATGTGGGACTAAACCAACATTTACTTCGAACCTAACACGAACCTAACTCCAACTTATCCTGCAATCGCATTTTTACCCGTCCGTCCAGACTCCACACATCCACACATCCCATCCATCCATCCATCTCTACTAAAGAAAAAGTCTAAAACCAAGCCCAAAATCAAGCACCGCACAAATCATTCCATTTCTGAAATTACTTTTTAGTATTTTTTACTCTATCCACTCGTTTGTTTAAGGGTTTTCGAAAATGATAACCCTTATCTTATCCCGTGATCTCGAGTACGAGGTTTTCGTCTTCTGTGATATTGTATGGGAGGAATATAGTATATACTCCGTACAAGTACAGGACGGCGATAGGATATAGGAAATAACACATATGGAATACATAGGAATGAGTTGGCATATGGTACTAAATTCCTCATGCTGTGATTGGTAGGTGGGGTGTTTAGGTATTTAGGAAATTTAATTTACCTTACCTACTAGGTATGTACTATGTAACTTATAAGAGGAAAAGAGAAGAGAAGAGGGGAATCAGGCGGGGTTGACTATATGATCGTGAGTGAGCGGCCCGAATGTGGATTCGATTGAACGGGTAGTTCGGGTAGCTCGGGTAGTGGTGAAATTACACCTGAGTGCGAGAGAGGGCAAGTGCCCTGAGTGTGCTTTGTTGAGGGGTTGAGCCTTGACGGGGGTGTTGGTCGTGGGTGAGGGGCTAGGTGAGGTTGAGTTGAGTGTGGAGGGGTTGATTTAAGTGGAGTGGTGTGGTATTGGTGTGGTGGGGTGAGGTTTTGGTGTGAAATCTTTTGGTGAGGGTTGTGAGAGGGAAGGAAAGGGAAGGAAAAGTTTCTGGTAAGTAGTTGGGTATTGTTTTATGGCGGCTTTTTGGTATGTAAGAGTTGAAAGTGTTTGTTTTTTGATGGGTGAATATCATTTTAGGGGTCAAAAGTAATCGAGGTCTAGGGAGATTCTATACTGGTGCACTCGAATGTAAAATTATTCCCCTTTTCACTGCTACAGTGGTGTCTTCGAAGTTGAAGCATGACCGAACTTCTTGAGAAAAATTTGGTTGTGGGAGTCCATTGCCAGTGCAAGTTTACATTCGTAGGTTACTTCAAGTGGTTTTCCCACGTTACTCATTTCTTGTATTTATTGTTGGCTGCAAGTTGGATAGTGTCTGATTTCTCGATACTCTTGTGGGAAGAACTATCTTTATGTGTATATTCAATTTGAATATTTACGTTTACATATGTTCAATACCTAGTGTTTGGTTGCAAAATGATTCCTGCATGCCAATAACCTATCCTCGTTGCTCTTGGCGGGGGAGTAGCTTTTGCGTTTATACATTTATATAAATACATTGAGGATGAGTGGGAATAGAAAGTTCTATACATGATATCATGCAACTCAAAAATTACTATGTATCTTCAGCTGACGCGTGGTAATTATTTCTCGTTGCACATTCAGTTCGAATATTGCCCATTATTCGCAGGCTTTCTGACTGAGTATAGCTCCATATACGCACTCACATCCAGTAACTCAGCATTTCATTGCACCTGGTGCTGATTTTAACATTCACTCTGCCTTGAATATGACTCCACCTCTAGAGGAGAGATCACATCAATGGGTTTTAATGTATATCCATAGTTATTGTTGCCATCACGGACTTTGAATTCTTTCACAGGTATGGTAGTTGGTGATTCTTGTGACATCAATCTCTGATGTGTTATTATTCATTACAAAATTAGTTTCTGGACAGATGATTCTTCTGGTTAGACGCGCGCAGGCAAGCACATTGTGTGATATTTAAAAGATGGAAATAGAGTCATGAAGAAATATTCGGAGTCGAATTTCTTCAGTTTCCTCTGCGGATTACGGGTATGAGTCTATCTGTCTAGTAATATCATTCTTGATGGTTCTTAAGTGCAGAATCATATATATGATGCGTCTTGACTTATACGAGATATTTATCTCACAGTCACTCTAGATAAAGTCAAAGTGGTACTAAAAAGGTTCCAGATTCTTGGATTGGAAGCTTTTTTCTTCTTCCTTACACAATAACACAGTCCTATCAAAAAGTCTTGCTTACCTCTGACCTATTAAATAATACCAAATACACTTACAATCACACAAATGGCAACCAATAATCAAATCACCCGCTATCAGAATCCTCAGCCTGACGACCAGAACCAGTACGGTGCCCAGAACCAATACGATGATGCCTCGGCCTCGCAAAATCTTGTGTCCTACTACTCTACTCCATATCCACATCAATACCAAACTGATCGACCAGATAGCCAATATGGACAACTAGCACCACAAAATCCTGAAACTTTCCAACATGCTCGCCCAAATCAATCACGATACCAAAGCCCGCCGCCAGAGCGCAACGAATATGCTGATGATAGAACAACATCTTCCCGGCGTGCTCATGATGACCATGGAAGACCTCGCCGCCCATGGGAAAAACAAGACAGGGCAAGCGATACACAGAGGGTGCTGGAAAAAGGAGCTGGAAATATAGTTCCAAAGACAAAGAAACGAAAAATTCTCAAAACAGAAAGAGAAAGAGAAACTAAACATTATGAACGGCAGCAGGAAGAAAGTGGTGAAGCGCCGGTTGATAGACAGGGGAGATCACGTGGAGATGTTGATGATGGAAATCATTGCGGAGAGGAAGAACGAGCTGGAAGAGTTCACTGGGGATAGATGTTTTGAGGGCCTGTGTAGTTTCTGGTGGAGGATCTGTTGTTTGGTATTTTTTTCTATGGAGCAGAACCTGCTTGATACTATATGCATCAGTTACTAATCTTTTTAAAAGATTCTCCTTACTATACAGGTGCGAGGATGAGATATTAGTACGCGGCATTCAATGACGCAGTTTGAGGATTTCTTTAGTCATTTCTTTTTTTTCATTTTATGTGGATCCTAGCATGACACTTTCTTAAAGCGGTATCATATCAATGAATGTATGTAAAGTGCAGACTCATATCTAAGGTATGATTGATTCAATGAGACATCTTTTTCTCTTGATTCATAGACATGTCTTTTATATCTGGGAGTCACTCTTCTTGGGTATCTGGATAAGCTTAAAAGGATCGAGTTCGCTGGTTTTATTGTTTTTTTCTTCTTCCCTTTTTTCCTTAAGCCTGTATCAATAATACGAATTTGCTCTCGCTGTATCTAGAATACTACATACCTATCTCAAAACCATCCATCCCTCATCTCATCATAACATCAAACAAAATTGACACGATCCCGAGGCGTCAAATCCAGCAAACTCCTCCCCAGATGCACCACCTGCACCATAACCACCCACATATTCATCTGCGGCCACACCATCGACAAAATCTCTGACACACATCAAAAAAGAACATGTCGAACATGTTATCCCGCCCGCTCTACAACCAACAATCCCAACCATCCAACAACTAGGCACAGACTCAAATACGAATTTGAAGATGGCACTTGCAGTAGAATCGATTGTGCTGCTAGTATGATGGGGAAATATACATGTTCATATGAAGAGTTACCTGTATGTCGGAAAAAAAAACTTGTAGATTTCTTTTGGTGGGTTATGCTTGTCATGTTTCTAGGCCTACGCCTGAAGAAGTGGAACGACAACCCTACTGTTACGAATGTGCATTTACAGATAAAAATGATATTTCGAAAATTCCCATCTCGAAACCACGACCTCAAGCACGCTGCATTCTTGTGAGAGGTTTCTTTGTTTTGAGTGTAG